CAAGAAATCTTTCTTACGCCTCGGATTTATCTCGGAAACACTATTTGCATGTTATTAAGTAGATTTGTACTTTGGGGTCTTACGAGATAAGATGCGATGTTTACGTAGAAAGTCGGTTAATTTAATATATTTAAAAACAACCATTGTTTGGTTGATTCAAGTGTTTAAATTAAGATTGTTTATTATAAATTGATTGCGTCCATTGTTCAATGGTTCGATTTGCCGTTCGATGTCCTGGGTTTTATTTCTGGGAAAACAGCGTGTTGTTTTAGTGGAGCACGACACAGAAGTCTGACCAATTACTTATCTGTAAATGAAATTGATCACTGAAATTTACACAGTAATGTGTGTGTTATAGAGTATATAAGAGGAAATGGGATTCCACTTTTTGAATATTAAACTTATTATATTTTATATATGTACGTGTGATGTTACATTTTGTAAATTTTCTGCTGAAACACTTCACTCAAATATATATTTTAGAAAACGTCAAACATAAATATTTATTAAAACACTTTCTAACAAAAAAGGTTAAAAAAACATAATTTTTGTAATATTTTTTTTCCTGTGATGAGCACTTGCAAATCGTTTGTTTAAAATTATAAGCAATTTCTATTTTTATGTTTAATTATATTTATGGACAATTTTTTTTAAAACATGTTCATGAGCGACTAGCTTTCGAAAATTACAAAGACATCTTTATGTGAAAGTGAGTTCTTATTAGTTGTCTCTTTCACGCCCTAGTAAGCCTCTAATCTAAATCTAATTGGGCTTTTAATACATAATTGGTTAAGATACGACGAAATACGTAGTGGATAAGTGTTGGGTCTTCAAAAGCAATTTCTGAGACAAGGTATGTCCTGGATTCGAACACCGCCTGTGTTGCATTGATTCTATTTTTTACATTTTCTAGGTCTATGCCTAGAATTGTCAAGAATCTAATCTATTTGAAAGTGTTCTTTCGAGTGCTTGTAACCATCAGTCCTTAAGTTTAATGTCAAATGGGTCAAGGGTGAGCGAGATGAGTCGGTTCGGAAGGTCGAGTGCTTGAAACTAGACCGCAGCCCCTGAGTGCTTGGAACATTTAGATATACTTTATTTGCTTCGAATCGAGGTTAGGACACGGTTCTTACAATGTTTAATGACGTCTCTAGATCTGTATAATCGATTTTAATTAATTTCTATGTTCGTCAAATTAAATTAGAATTCATTTATTATTAAACTTACTTTTAAAGTATGTACTTCAAATTTAAAAAAAAAAATATCTTGCCTACCTGCAACAATATCATACCTTAAAAGAGCGTAGTTAATTATACGCGTTTTCGCAGCATTGCATTAAGCGTATGGTCTTGGATTCGAATGCCGGGGATTCATAAGAAAAAGTTTTAGTTGGCTCAGAAGTGACAATAAACTATATGCCTGTTAATAAAAGTGATCAGCTCACACGAAAATATGTATGGTTTGAAATCGTCGTTAAAGACGATAAAAGACCTTAAGAGACCCCGTCCCGTTAACGCAATATTAACGGAAGCGTTTTAGTTCGGAACGTGAAAATTACGTTGAGCGGAATTGAGTTCGAAACGCAATATATTCTCGTGAAATCGATCTATCTGTCGGCAACTGAATTCCAATTTTCGTTATCGAAGAGTTTATTAGACCTGAGATGAATTGCGGAAGCCCTGTTAGGAGAACTAGGAAGTTACGCCAATCAAAACCTGTACATAATATTTATTTGGTATAATAGTTTATTTTTTACTAGTAGATATGTTTCTAAATAGGTTAACTCAACGCCTTTTAAACCGTTAAAACGTAGTGTTTAAATGTGTACTGCTTCCGTAAACTACGAACAATTCACTTCTATTGTTGATATGTCTTTAAAGCTTATTATTTAGAAAATTTTAAATAAAACACTTTTAAGGGTTGAAAACACGGAATGTATTAGTTTAAAAAATATTTTAACTATGGTCCGACTTTTCGGATGCTTTGCAGCAGTCGTGGCCACGGGGAGACTAAAGATGGAGGGTGTCTATAAAGTCAAAGTAAAAGACTGCTACACTTTTTACTGCCATGCAGAACATTGTACGGCATGATTCATAGTAAGTTAACTCCTAAGTTTGATCTTGTGCGGCGCTGTTTGCTCTCGTCACTCTAGCAAAGGTTTTGGAATAATATACGTACCTGCGTGCTATTTACAGTATGTACTTTGCACTGATAGACACATGACATTAAGGTTGAAATGAATTTGCGCGAAATTTACATGTATCAATAGATTAAAATAATTTCAACGATGACGTGTTGAAAAAAAAGAGAATTGTGGATGCCAGTTCAAGTAGTGTCCGTGTCGTAAATTTGTATATTATTTATATTCGATTTTTTTATGTATAATCCTAATGCCGCAGTTTTTCGAGAAAAAATGCGTTGTCAGCTATATTTAGATTTTTATTATCACAATCAGACAAGCCGTTAGTCCAAACGTCCGTTAAGAAATATTGTTCGACGACCCAATTCTTTCTGAGTTGTATTCTATTGTTGCGTCTTATTCTCCCGTTTATTGTGTCATGAGAGGGCTTACCAAACAAAGTATAGAAGCTCAATCTTAAGCAACTTTAGCTCATTTTTGATCTTTTATTTACGGCTATTCAACGGATATTACGAATTTGTATAGATTTATAAAGAAGATGAAGTTTTAGACAATACTATTTTATTCTTTCTAAGAAAAACATCCAGCGTTATGTCAATAAAAATATCTATTTTATTGAACATTTATTTCACATAACATGTGATAATTATAAAGTTCCTTAACAGTGTAATATGTATGAAAAAAATACAGTACTTGGCATAAGAAACAATAATAATAGTTTCCCAATAATTCATAATGTATCATCTGCCGATTACGCAAGTAGATGAAAATTAACTTTTAACGGTTTGAAACGCGACATGGTAAACTTATTAATACTTTACTTTAACTACGACCCGACGTTTCGGATGCTTCTGTCACGGGGGGACTGAAGATGGAGGGTGTCCCTAATGTCAAAGCCAAATTTGCCACACTAGCGCCATTTGTTTCCTCTTAGTTAATACTTGGAGAAACTCGCTGGGTACTCACAGTATGTACGTATACTGTTTTTTGAGACAAATAGAAACGCAAACAGCGGCATACCGCGAAACGAGACCGTTAAATGTGTTTTATTTAAAAGAATAAAGCAATCAAGCCAAATTCAATAACCCAGTTACATAATCGAGTTATTGGAAAATATTCATCTTCAAATACGATCTAATCGCGTTATCGCCGTCGAGTGCTTAATTAAATGAAATACTAAAGAAAACTGAAGCGACTCGTTAATTTCCTACGAAGCGCCGGCTTAAACAGCTTTCCCGGCGTTTTCCTTGATGGAAATTATGTTTTTACACTTTCACTTATTGCGTACGGCTAAGTGATATTGTTTCGCTTTTGAGGCTCTTAAAAGTATGAAGGCTTGTAGTCGAGGCGTAGTTCTAGAAGTTTTACAAGTTTTTTTAGCTCCAGGTAACAGTGTTACTTTTAGTACACCGCTTATAGATATGAAATGGGGTCATGGTTCGATCTCTGTACCAAATATCTACACAGTACCAAAAATGTTTTATCCCACAAGCATTGTCAACATAGGTACCCTCAATAGGGTGCCCATCTTAAAAATATAAGGGGGCAAAAACATTTTGAGTTTAATTATAAATAAAAAATCGTTTTAGATTGTATTTACGACACGGATAGGACTTGACTTTTAGGACTTGGTTGAGCAACAGCACGAAACGCTGTTTCCGGCATACACCCACACGCAAGCTGTTGCTCAACCATTTCAGCTATCCTGTCCTCTCCCCCCCCCCCCCCCGTTATTTTTTTCCCATCCCCCGTGTCGTATTTTTTTTTCAATAAAATCGATTATTCACGGTTATCTTAGATATATATATTATATGTTTTTTTTTGCCTCTATAATCATTTTTGCCAAAAACATATTTGAAATTGTCGAAGCTTATGAAGATAACACGGCAACTGAAATATCAGCAGTTATTATTTTTGTACAGTCAAACGTAAAGATAGTAATAAAAGCACACAATATTACAGAATACAACTCAACTTGAGTTGTATATAGGAGTATGTTTTGTTAGTCCCAAATAAAAACGTATTCAAACTCCCACACAATCGTTATTCTATCACTAATTGGATACTTCACCTGTCTTCGCAATAATTGGGTCGTGTTACCAAACTGCTATTATAATACAATGTTAATTTTTTCTTCGGAATATTCCAAAGGAAGGTAAATATATTTTTATGTTTTGGATACGCAATAAGAGTGCTGTTGTGAATTGAATATTCAAATTATCCTCTCAACTGTCGTGATTTACAGTCTCACCTGTTTCTCTGTCTCAATTCAAAAAATTTCTCAAGTGTATTTTGTGTTAACTAGAATTATAGTTTAAGTTTGGCGAAATCGTCTGATGGTAGCAATGTTTGGCTAATGATCAAGGGGCCGTCAGTTCGATCCCCACCAGGTCCAACATATTTCTAATTACTCGATTAATCATTTTTCTGAAACATGGACTTCGTATGGAATTTTTGATATTAAATGTGTGGTCCAATGAAAAGATGTGGTTCAAAGATGAAGGTTATTCGCGCTTCGGTTTCAATTTGTGGATTTCCGAATATCCAAAACCAAAATACGTCGACTGCGCATCTTGTCTAGATGCTATGAGCTAGAGTAAACCCCATGCTATGTCTGTCCTTCTCTATCATTTAAAAAAGAGTTATACCACAATATCGAAAACGAGTATCTCTGTACACTATTTACATATAACGTAACATATGGTATAATGTCTTAAAGAGCGACCTAATGAATTTAATGTATGTTTAGTTGTTCTTCCAGACTGTACAAAAGATATAATTGTAGATTAACGGTAATAAAAAAGGTAATTTTTTACTTTATATTAAGTACTTTAAATTATATTGAGTTTTTTTGTTCCAGAATCGACATCACCGGACGAATTCACAGTATACGTCGGCCGTTGGACGGAATGTTCGATCCACGATGTGGAAAATATTAAAACTATAGAAAGGTGGGTCCTACTTATAGCACGAACATACCTCTCCTGTTCACGGTTCACTGGCTACGGAGCTACGACGTAGCATTACGCTACGCTGCAACTATAAAAGTTCAAAGAAGTAGGGTTATGCTTTTTTAGAACGTTCGACGAGTTTAAAAATAAATATCTTTTCATTCAATCATTATTGGAAGTACTGTTTTTAGTAGTACTGTTAAGAATAATTCTAGAAATAATGTTATTATAGAAAGTTTGGTCAAAATAGTTTTTATAAACACCTTTTATTTTGAAAATATAACTAAGAATTAACAGGTTGCTTGTCAAAAGAGAGAAAAATCAACTACGGAATCTAAGCGTAGTTAAAACTTTACGAAATAAATGTATAAGAAAAAATAAAAATATAAATAAAAAAAACAGATCAACAATGTGTTAAATTTAGTAAGCTTTTAAATTAAAATTTAATTGACATCAAAGTGTCCATTCTGAAGTTTTATGTATTCAAAAAATATGTCACAGGGAAATATTCTAATAAATTAAATTTTAACTTATATAGAATGTGGATATAAAAATGATTCAAGCTTTAAATAAAGCTTGAAAAGTAGTTTTTTGGTAATACAATAGAAACGTTACTTAATCGCAACAAATGTAATAACGACGGAGCACAAAGGAGAAACGGAAACGGAAGTCACGAAGCGTTGCGGAAGGCACCAAGCGCCTGATTAAATAACTTAGCTATAACTCTGTCACGTTCATTTCAATTAGAATTATACAATACAATTAGTGTAGTGCATATATTACGTAACTCGTTTGTCCCCACTATGTCCCACTGCTGGACTACTGTTTAAGAACCCATCGCGCTGCTTCAATGCAGATGTGTTTTAAGTACTAATCAATGATAGATACTGCCAATAGTTGCTTCCAACTTTAAAATCACAACAACAACGAAAAGTCTAATCCAGAAATGTACAGACTTATTTAGACTATGGGCCACTCGGTTAGATAAATAAAACACTTTAACGGTCAGTCTCCCCGAGACCACGGCTGCTGCAAAGCATCTGAAAGGTCGGGCCGAATGATAAAAACCATATTCAAATAAATTTAAGTAATATATCGCGTTTTAAACCGTTAAAGTGTTTTATTTAAAATAATATTTATATTTTTCTTGTCAGTGTCAGTAACTAGTATTCGACCGGCGAGCCATGGTCAGTGACTCTCTGGTCTAATCCTTTCAAATGCATATTGTGTTGTAAATAACATTTTTTGTTGCCGAGATTCGAATTATACTCGTTAATTTTACTCGTCGTATAGTTAATATACTCGACCATCGATTAAAACTTGATATTATTTTAATTACCTCATGTTTTTTTTTGGTTCAGGTATAACATTCGTGTCGAATCTGACTCACTGGTACATACCCCGCGTCTCGGCTTACAACGGCGACAGGTGCAGTGTAGAAGAAAAGACGGCCAATTCGTTGAAAATATGTAAGTTCTATTTACTTTTATTATTGAGGTTAGTACTAAATAACATAATTAATTCTTATTAAGTTTTATGAACGCAAAAATTCGCTCCTTACAAAATTCGTTACTCCTTCGCAACTAAATTGATTGACCGATTTTGATAAGATTTGTTTTAAATGTCGTCATACCGTTGCAAATGAACAAGCCAAGCATTTCAAAAACATTGAAAAAAATAACTGCTTCAAACACGAAATTAGTTAATCTATGTTATATATGATTGGTGATAAAGACTTTGTGATATTGTGGATACGTCTCTTCAAAAAATCTAAAAACTCGATTCGTAGTTAAATATTTTAATTATTACTTAGTTAAAAGTCTTTCATTTAAACAACTAAAGAAATACTGTCTGTAGCTTACGCGAGTAGTTCACGTTTTAATAAAACACTTTAACGGTTTAACGCCTGCTGCAAAAACTTTGGTCTGTAGTTAAAATCATTTTCAGACAAGTTTAACAATATATCGCGTTTTAAACATTTAAAGTGTTTTACTTAATATAAAGAATTCCGTTAACGTATTACACCGCTTTCCGTAGATCGCAGAGTCAATGCAAATAGTAAGATTCTAAAACAAATATCTAGAGCGCGCAAGTGCTTGCTTGGCAAAGCCGCATCAGTATGCAGAAAAGACATCCAATATTCATCTTGAAAGAAGAGCTCTGTAGATCAGCTGTGTTCGCGAGTGGAATTCTTATGTGATCTGGGTCTCTGCTGATCGATTGTCACTTTAACTCTTGTCTATTTTGATTGAAAAGGTGCAATGGCCTTAATCATCAGAAATATTTTGTCCAGAGTTATTTTGGGCATTAACATTTATATCTCCTCAACTTTATAAACTATAGCTGTCACCCGACGTCGTCCGCGTTTCGTCGTTCTTGCGAGCTAAACTTAAGGCATATAATGTTGCAAACATTTTTACATATCATACATAAATTGGTTTCTTAAACCGCTTTCTCAAATATGTAAAATATTTTTCGATAAATGGTCTATCTAACACAAAATGTTTTTGGAATTCGAACCAGAAGTTCCTAATATTAGCGCATTCAAATAAATAAACTCTTCGGCTTTATAATCTCAATTGGTATTTTATATGAAACTCTGGGAGTGGTCGTGGGAGTGGGGGTGGGAGTGGGAGTTAGAGTAGGAGTGATGTGAGGTGAGAGTGTTGCGGCAACGTAGCACGTACAACATGGATTGGCTGCGACAAAATGCGCAATTACATAAATTAATAAACAGCCTAAATAATTAAAAATTGTACCCCAAGTCACTAGTTACTATATATAGTAGTTTTAAATAAAGTAACGCATTCTCAATTGGCCTAACATGATTAGTTAAGTTTACTTTTCCTAGGTTAACTGTAAAAATTAAAACAATCTATTTAGCTTACTTAATAATTAAAGCTTTCATTTAGCAGTAGTGATAGTATGTTGCCATTTTATCTTACTGTGCTGTGACAAAATGCCGGGAAGCACCATTACTTTGGGAAATAATAAGTATTAGATATAATAATGTATTTATAGGAACACGTTAGTGTTTAACGCTATAAATATATATACATACATATGAAAGATATAATATATCATCAGGTTCTGCGGAGCATCCGTCTCAAACATAGGCGCCACCCGAGTTTGTGTGATGCGTGAAAATTGTTCGCTGGGCGAATGGTTGCCATGGCGACCAAGGCCCGACGGCTCTCTCGTACGCACCAGAAGATTACGAAGGTTACCGCAAGGTATATAAAAATAATGATCTACTTAGAATCTATGTCTTCCCTTTACTATATTAAAGGTAAAAAATCATCTATTCACGCAGATGACTATATACACTTATCGTAATATGTTACTAGTTAAAAAATAAGACTAAATTTTTTAGTCTTTAGTTCCTTTTTTAGTTTTTATTCCTAAATAAAATTATAGTTTAATTTACTTTCCAGATGAATGACTTTCGAAATAAAATATTAATACCATATTTATTTATTTTTACTATCAAATTCACTGAATATGAACTGAGAAAACATAACTTTTTTTCTATATTTTTCAAAGTTTGGGACTCTACGAATAAGTTTTTTCAAGGAGGTGGCAAAGAGTGTGACGTTGTTGAGGAGGTCAGACCAGCTGCGATGGAAGCCAGCGCCCATTGGACGCCTGGTCCCTGGGGATCATGCCGCGTTGCTGTTGAAATTTCTGCCACACCAGCACCTCGTAAGTGTTTTGCTATATCTGTTTTGCTATCTGCAACGTATTTTATCAGCTAAAAAACTTATTTTACTGAAACAATAGACAGCATTTATTTATTTACGAATCGTGTATCGTGTAAGTCATAAGAAAATAGGAAGTAAAGGAAAATATAAATTTTTACTATTTAATAAAATGAAATAAGAGACGTTAAATGATTTAAAACACGAAATATCTCCTTTTTTTTTAATTCCACTCCGAAGCTTCAGATACTTTACAGAAGCCATTCTCCCGTAAACACCGTTAAAAGTGTTGTATTGAAATCTGTACTATACAGATAAAATTGAAGTTATAAATTCGTAACTAAACAAAAACCATAAAATTAAGGGAATATCGAAACTTCGATCTAACAAAATATAAAAGCTTATAAGAATAAATGCACGCTTAAGTTTATATGTTACTTTCCGATATGTTAGTATGCGAAAATTATAGTACTAATCTAATAATGTTTTTAAAGAAAACGACGAAGACGACGACGCAGACGACGATGACGCAATCTACGATGAAGATGATGAATCTGATGAGAATGAAAAGGAGGTGGACGCGAGTTGTGGTGGTGGCGTACAGCGGCGAGAAGCAACTTGTATTCGAGCTGATGGACGTGCTTTACACCCGGCACAATGTGCTCATACCACCATGCCCACTCTAGTACAGCCATGTGAGGTGAGGAATTGGGAACTCAATATTAGACTTATCAGACCACAGATTTAAACCAAAACGCGATTAATCTTCACGACTACTTCATCTATGGACGGTGGTTCGTAACCCGGACGGAATTTCTATATTTCTACCACCCAATTATTCAATCTTATACATATCCAGATTTCAGAAATCTAACATGTTCCAGGAAAATTATAAATAATAAATCATTATATTTGTCGTTACTTTTGCCATACCACGAATGAACTGTATAAGATCGTACGTTAGTTATACAGTTCAGTTGGAAAAACAATTATAGTAATAAAATAATGCAACAGTGTACCAATGTGTTAAATAATACCTACACGACAGGTACCTTGTCCCCGCGACTGTGAAGTGGGTGAATGGAGTGACTGGGGAGCGTGTCAGCCAACTGATGGCTGTCCACTGTATCCTGTTCAGCAGCTTACCACTACAGGTAAAGGCTTTTGAATTATACTTAAATGAATCCCATCTCCTATAAGAGGTTCTCCCACCGCAAGTCACGCACCATACATAAGTCACACACTACACACAACATACAGACTTCATTAAGTTTCCCCGGAATTTCGAGTCAAGAAAGCCTCAAAAGATTGTTTAGCCTATTTTGAGCAAGTTTGATGTATGGGCGATTACCTACAAAAAGGAATATACAAAATTTTAATATACACTGTACATATCGTACAGTGTAAAGCCAATCCTATCCACCATATTACAGGATACAGCGTACGCCGACGTCGTATTATAGCAGCAGCATCTGGCGGTGGGGCCCCGTGTCCGCCTCTAGAAGAAAAACGAACTTGCAGCACACCGCGCTGCGCGTCTTGGAAGGCCCTACCTTGGGGCGCCTGTGTTCTTAATCAACAGCATAGTACTTGTGGCCCAGGGAGACGCAGTCGCGAGCTACGATGTGTTGGTCACGATGGTGTAAGTATTATGAGTGCTCAAAAATAACAGATTGTAATTTGATTATTTGCAAGAATGAATGCTCTATATATATATATATATATATATATATTTATATATATATTAATATATTAAACCTACTTTAGCACCAAAATACTTTTAAACTCATAATTATGATTAAATGGCTTAGCATTCCATTGACGACATTTGAACATTTCTTTGAAATATTTTTAAAGTACCGTTATGATATTAAAAATATCTTTTGTAAAAATCCAAGTAATTGAGGGTCACTTCTCGACCTGATAAAATAATTATTAACATTTTTTCTTTATTCTAATTCTGTTTATATATAATTTATAGTTGTTAAGATTATTTAAACGAAATCCTTAACATTCTTTTAGAAGGAAGCTCAACGTGCATGGTGCAGTGGTAGTGGGGCCCCAGCGCGTACCGAACGATGTCGCATAGCTTGTCCGGGTGATTGCGTCGTCACCTCTTGGGGCGCTTGGTCTGCATGTTCCGCGCCATGTCTATCTCCTGGCCATGCCAGACCCACACGTACTAGACGGAGATTCATTGTAGCACATGCGTCTCCTAGTAAGTACTCAAGCATGGTATAAAATTAGGAACCCTTTTGGTATTAAATACTGTCTGTAACGGTACTGTAACACTTTAAGGGTTTAAAACGCCATATATATTAGTTTAACTTAAAATTATTTTAACTACGGCCCGACGTTCGGGATCTTCCATGACCACGGCTGCTGCAAAGCTTATCTAATATATATATCGCGTTTTAAACCGTTACAGTTACCGTATGTAATAATTATAAAATGTATAAAACTACTTTTATTATTTTTATTTCACTTTCAGATGGCTGGGCCTGTCCCGCTCAAGAGCTATTGATTCAAAATGAAACTTGCAATACCCACGCATGTGGGACGTATTCGTGGCTAGCTACACCGTGGGGCCCCTGCGAACGACGATCCCAAGATTACATTCCTGCCAATAACTACACAGATTTACTCGTAAGTAAAGTAAAATAGGTCTATAATTCTATTAATAAAATTAAATAAGTGTAAAGTGAAACTTAAATCACACATAATACCTTTATTAGGATAGCGATGTCTACAACCAAAGCGACGACGAAGAACCCTGTATTGAAGAGGGTGAAATGACAAGAGACGTTATGTGCGTTCAGAATAATGCAGATGTTGTGCGAGAGGCCCTGTGAGTATTGTAATTCGTAAAAAAGTTGCTTAGAATGTTTTTTTATATAAAGAAGGAATACATGTATTTTCACGTATGTAAATTAACTTTTTCCCTATTTAAAAAGTATAGCGTATTCACTTATATTTAATCTAAAATAAATTATTTCAGATTAAACGCATATTATCAAGTAGTTTATGATGTCAGGCGACAATCGATAAAAATCATTAATAATGTGATTTGATTTTATTATATAATTTTTATGTAAGATTTTATTCTCAAGTAATACAACATTTAATATGTTGTAAATATCTTTTAGGTGCTCACCACTTAAGCGTCCAGCTTCTCGACGCGCTTGTACTATACGTTGTAAGCGAGGCTGTCGTGTTGAATCTTGGATGCCTTGGTCACCGTGCCCTAACACTTGCGGTATGTGAAACAATTTAAATAATAATTAATGGCAGAGAAATTACGACCTGCAGATATAATCGTCATAATACGGTCTCATATTTTTATTTTCTTTTTACTTTTACGCAGATCCCGGTAAGCAAGTACGCGTTCGGCGTGTTCATGGAGGCCCTAATTGCGGGCCCCTGCAAGAATCTCGTGACTGCCCTGTACCTCGCTCTTGTGGGGCCCGAAGCCCTAGTTGGGTAACTGGCGAGTGGAGTACTTGCCGTTTGCCGCCTGCACAACGCTGTGGAATTGGATATCGAGTTAGAAGTAAGTTACTTCATTTTAATTTCATTGAAAAATGTCTTTATTAAAATGTTCTATTAAATCTAGCATATTTTATTTTTCGTATTCACAATTAATAAAGAGAAGCGAAACCTTTTTAAAGATTATTAAATGACATTTACAGGTATTTGGTGTGGATCAGAATCCCACCGAGTAGAAGCCGGCGCTTGCGCAGGCGAGAGTGTGCCTCCGAGTGTGGCGCCGTGCCGCGTCAACTGTGATTTGATTACTCCACTAGACTGTCAGACTGTGTGCCGAAATCCTCTCAAGTGAGTGTTTGGTTTTATAACCCTTATTTCATGAGTTTAATAACAAAGTTTCTTAAATACCCACTGCCTTAAAGCCATAGTTCAATTAATGTATTTTAATATATTTAAATGTAATCTTAACTTATATATTATATGTACACACACAAAGCTTTGCTTTTAATTTCCTACTTCTTATTATTTTAAAGGTATCTAGACGCATCAGACCCTGATGTACCGTCTTGCGTCTGCAAGAATGTATCTTTAGAACTTTTGCCAGCCGACTCGGATTGTATCCTGCCTTCCGGGTAAAGTTTTTTAAAATTCTTTTTTTCTGACGTGAATTATGTATTTTTCATTACAATACATAACATTTAAAAATCGAAAATAAATTGAAAAATTTTCGACTCGGGCAGGACTTGAACCGGCATCGTCAGCTTTCCGTGCTGTTGCTCTACCAATTGAGCTCCCGAGTCCTACACCTCATCGTCGAATTTTTTCAACTTATTGATACATGCACCTCTCGCGCAATGCATAACATAAATACATAACATGTTTTTCAGCTTGGAATGTGGTGAAGGCAGATCATTACGAGCTGCACGCTGCATGGTCGGTGGTCGTGATGTACCAATGGATGTCTGCAAGAAATTCCATCCATTGACAGGTACGTAGCGTTTGCTGTATAACTTATAAAGTTTTTAAATGTATATCTTTATTATTTTAATTACATTAACTGTGTCAGCGACTTCGTCTACGTAGAATAGTATTTAGGTTATCGACATTTATTTTTGCAAACTTCATATTTATAAATTAAAACTGTTACCAACGATGTAGTTCGCGTCCCGATGTTTTTGCAAGTTAATCTTCAAAGATTACATTTACCATCGCGGACATTTTTTTCGATAATTTAAAGAAGAATCCGTCATTCATACATATTTTTTGGGTATCTTGAACCGTTTTCACAACGTACGTAACGGAAACCCTTAACTAAACTTATGTAGGCACTTAGTAACTACAGCCTGACCCCGTTAGATGACTTGGTTTGATTAATTCTAAGATGTCATCAAACAGGCTTTGTTGCACGACCACACACACATATAAATAGCATGTATACCCATGTTGTTGGTTAATAAATTATTACAATCAGTTGATAAATTAATGTTAACTTAACATTCGGTAATTTCATGATGTGATACATTCTGATATCAGTTAATATATATCCTAACAATATTTCAGGGCCCCGTCGTGTTCGCGAAGCGTCAACAGATGGTTTCACATATGACAGCGAATTCGGCTCACTTTTACGTGGAACGTGTACGGTGCGTTGCGCACGAGACTGTACTGTAGGGCCATGGGCAGCGTGGGGCCCCTGTGCTGCTGAGCCCGGTTCCAAAGCCGCATTTCGATTCCGAACTAGGTTAGTAGTTTACATAACATTTAAGATTAAATTTTAAACGCATATTGTTACTCCTGAAGCGATGGCTTCAAGGACCGCTGAAAATCAGTTTTGCAACAAAAGTGTGTTCGTAACATTATGCTGAGGGGCATTATTATGTTTTAGGAGTTGCCATAGTCATTTTTTTGCTAAGCCTTCTATATTTTGTATAATATATATATATAAGTTTCCTTATTAAGTTTATATTAGTTCATAGTTTTTATTTTCGGAAGCAACTTTTAAATAAAATATTTTTTATTATAACTGTAAAGCATATTTTTTAACTTTTAATATTCTACATTATAACGCCAAATATTTTAATATCTAAAAATCTCCAAAAGGACAGAGAAACTAATGCGGCACTAACGTTTAGTTGGCAAAGCCGCTTTGCATGCCGTCTCATGTAGATTTGTGTTTTCAAATGACATTACAATATGATATTTTTTTTGTTTGAGCGCTATGTAAAAGACGAACAGTAGGGTTTTGCTGAAAATCAGTGTGGTATCATTACTGTGCTGTAACTTAAGCGGAGGCAAGACTCTTTTACCATCACTTTTCTTCAAAAATCAATGTAATATTTTTTATTGTTATAACAGCTATTGTTTTTCAGCATTCATATTAATTATTGTTTCCTTTCAAAGGGAAGTAATTGAAGAGGGCTCTGCGGGTGGTCGCGAGTGTGGTGCCACATTGCAGCGCGCTACCTGTTCAGAACTGGAGCCTCGCTGGGTCGTGGGCGAATGGGACGTGTGTACACCAGACCGCAACCTTTGTGGACCTTCCTATATTAAAAGAGACGTCACGTAAGTTTGTTTCAGACGCACTCAAAGGTAACGAAGTTGAAACAGCATTTGCTAATCAAACAATCTGTCATCAAAACAGTGATCAAAGTTTTTAATCTAAACAGTTCCTCATCTTTTTTTTTTATTTTTTTTTATTTTATAAGCCATACATCTCATGATTAAGCCAGCTTAGAAATAAATTACAATGGTTTATTAACTATATTACTTAGGGATAACGATTATTGTAATAATATTCGGATCTAAGAAACAATGACTTTGTGATGAAACTTAAAAAATTAGCACTAAATTTAGCAGTGAACCCTGAGCTCAAGATCTGGTGTACAAAAAAGTGGAAATCCCTCGCAGAGCACTGGCTGTCATTTAGGAGTTCCAACCTAGGTTGTTCGTTGATTTTACATTCTAGAACTAAGTGGAGAAAGTCCTCTACTCTGCTGCACCGTTCACAATTTGGATCGTCTCTAGTTCCTCATCTTCGTCTTAATATAATTCCAAACTTGCTAAACGGCTAAGTGAAAATAGAAAATATTATTATGTGATATAAGATCTCTCATTGATAAGCCTCATAATAATAGCGTCACTATTTTACATTCATTTTTTTTAATATACAGGAGGACAGGAATTTACTTGATGGTCGGTGTAATACCCAGCCATAAACATTAAGCAAGTCGCCAATGACCTGTTTTGGTGTTGGATATTCAGATTTAGTCAGTCGACATTGTATAGATAGGCGAAGCATGTGGCTGATGTATATTCCCTATCTATATCTATACTAATATATAAAGCTGAAGATATAAAATATAACAATTAGTTAAAAAGCTGAGTTTGTTTGAACGCGCTAATTTCATGAATTGCGAATTCTTTTTGTGTTGGTTAGAGCATTTATCGAGGAAGGTTATAGGCTATAAAACATCCCCCTGTGACTAATACAAGCGAAGATACAACGAGATATGTAAAGAAAATTGGGAAAATTATTCATCATTATGAGTTTCCGAGGCGTACGCTGCAAAAACGGTACAAGATACCCAAAAAATGTGTATGGCAGAATGATTCTTTTAGACTCTGGCAGACTTTTTTAAAGGACCGAAAAAAAGTCCCCGACGCTATATGTCTATCTCTAAAGATTATCTTGCAAGAACGACGGGAAGGGACGCGACCGACGTCGTAGGTAAAAATGAATTTGGATGCCCGAAATAACTATTCTACGCGAACGAAGTCGCTGGCTCAGCTTGTCTAAAATAAATATTCGTATTGATCGTCTATGGGCCGCTTCATGTTTGCACACTCAAAACGAGTACATTACCAGCGCTACTCAGTAGATGTAACTGCACTTTAATAACGTAAACAAATAAACTACTGACAGATGCGTAGACGGCCAAGGAAATAAGTTGGACGACTCTGTATGCGAGACTTCCGGTGCTGGGACTACACCAGATCGTGTGACCACCTGTCACATGCCCTGTCCGGCCGATTGCGTACTCAGTCCATGGTCTGAGTGGAGTCCATGTGAAATGGTAAGACTATAAATTGGCCTGAAGCTACTTAGAATATTAAAAAGTATTATAATAATAGTAAGGAGATCATATACCGTTTGCATTATTTGTAAGTGAGAATTCCTTATCAGTATTCAAATAATGTACCAGTCTTTCCTCTCATTTATGCACGCATATTTATTTTAATTTAAATTAGTTTAAATTTCCCGAGTCATTTTTTATATTCTTTGAATTTTGTTCTTAACGTTAACTTCTCCCTACTTAATTTAAAAATGGAAAATAAATTTTCGACTCGGGCAGTACTTGATGATTTACCTACCGAGTCAATTGGTAGAGCAACAGCACGGAACGCTGACGATGCCGGTACAAGTCCTGCCCGAGTCGTGAATGTTTTCTATTTATTTACGATTTTTAAATTATATAGTGCCTTCATGTGCAATAACATGTAATAATAAAAGACTTGCCAAATAAAAGACTAGAGATACTCCAATCCCAAGTAAGATATTTACGAGAAATGGTTTCGAGACGGATCTTCCAACAATTTGTGAAACTCTTAACTGTTACTTTTCTGATATTGGTTTGATCTTGGCCAAGAAAATTACATATAATTCTACCTTTATAAGTAATAGTGACATATCAATAATAAATTGAACACAATAACTAATTTTAAACCTGCTCCAGACACTGAAATAGATGCTATAATAAACAACTTAAACTTAAATACAAGTACAGGGATTAAAGAGATCAACACAAATCTATAAAATTTATTAAAAAAACTTATTTTAAATAACATTACTAACTATAAACTATTGTCTGCATAATATATAAACCGCGTTTTAAACCATTAAATCGTTTTATTAGACTAAATGGGGTGGTCGTCGTGACCGTACACGCGTGGTACTGCGTCCGGCTGAGGTCGGTGGTATGCGCTGTTCGCCATTGGTAGCAGCAGAGCCGTGTGAACCTCTCACTTACTCTTGGCACACTGCGCCATGGGACGACTGTCAACCCTTAGGTAACAAATAGATTCCATCTATTTAAATAAAAAACGTTTTCTAATTTTAATGTAAGTATGTAAAAATTTTAATGTAGGGTCGATTTTTAATTTGTATAGTGTCATCGTGTGAAAGATTGAAGGTTTAAACGTTAATCTTTAAATTCGACGATGACGTGTAAGACACGGTAGCTCAAATGGTTAGAGCAACAGAACCGGACGCTGTGGACTCAAGTCCTGTCCGTGGCGTATTTTTTTATCTTTTCTCTTTATAACTTATATATATATAGCTGAACTGAGCTATGATATCATCGATAGATTATAATGTTTGACATTTATTTAATATGTCTTACATCTTAGTTCTCATACTGATAAAGAACTTCTCTATTTCAGGAGGATCACCCTGTGGTGAAGGAATCAAGAGGAGAGCAGTTCGCTGCCTTCGAAGTGACGGAGTATTCGTCAATGATTCTTTCTGTCCTGTTAGTAGTTCTCCTTACTCTAAGTAAAAGTTAGGAGGAAGTTACCCGTTCTTTAAAATTGTGTATCAACAGTGTTAGAATATTCAAATAATACATTTTAACAGTTTAAAATGCGATATATATTAGTTAAACTTATGTCGAAATATTAGTCTTTTAGTCACCTGACCACTGCTGCAAAGCATCCGAAACGTTGGGCTGTAGTTAAAATAATTCCCAAAAAGTTTATATTAGTTAAACTTTATCGCGTTTTAAACCGTTAAAGTGTTTTATTTAAATGTGTAAAGCTCCCGTAAACTACAGACTGTATTTAGTATTAGAACTTGTTAGGAACATATAGTCTATCTTATGATGATGAGCTAAGTCTTTAACGATTGTTCCAAATTAAGCAAAGACCAGATGAGCAGCATAAACCAACATTTGCCCCTAATTAACCTGAAAAAAATGATTTTTATAGAACGCAACAGCAAGTGAGGCTCGGGAGTCATGGTGCTATGTGCCATGTGGAGTAGATTGCGAAGTAGGAGAATGGGGTTCGTGGGATAGCTCGGCCTGTTCCTGTGGAGACGCTTCTACCACCAGGCATATGAGGAGAACAAGGTGTCTTAACTGTTTAATTAAATTCATTCAGGTATTTTTATTTAAATTCATAGCATCACGTATTTCTATCGCATCTGTTTCAAAGACACCAGGAGCCTGTAACTCCTGGTTAACGAAAGATTTTGAATCAAAGCTTTCGTTTATGCGAAATATATAACATATTATTAGATTCGAATGGTCATAGGATGATTATAATAATAATAATTTATTTCTCAAACAATCAATCGATTTTTTAAATCTAATCAGGGTGTTAGTAACAATTTGACCTGTATCGTATAGCATGTGATACTAGAATAAAAGGTATAAAACAAAATACAATAAATGCTAAGACGGATCATGAACCGCCATAAAAGTAAATTATATTTAAAAAAAAATGTATTTTCTCTTTTATTGTCTCTTCTTTTTATATTTTAAGGACACGATAACTTTAAATAACTTTTTTATGTAATTTGTTCTCTCCATATTAGACAACACCTAAGCTCTGCGGTGTGGCCAGGTCGTGCATGTCCACCAACTGAACAACGAGCGCCATGCCCTCGAGAACCCTGCTTGCGACTTGTGGCAAGACCTCAACTGGGTTGCCATGTACAGGTAAAAAAAGATTAAATAATAAAAATATAATTTTTATTCGAATCCAATTAACCCTTTTCCCTAATAATGAACTGTAAAATGTGAGTCACAGCAACGATAGGATAAGCACAGATTTAATACTATGCATTTTTTGTTAGGGTTTCGTTCGATTTAGGCACACATTTGGATGTAGAATGCTCAATTACTTGTTTTTATGATAGAGGAGGACAGACAAGCTTGATGGTATGTGAAATATCCCAGCCTATAGCATCTAAACAAGATACGCTGTCGACCAAGTTTGGCTATGAATATTCACAGACTGAAAACGAAACTTCACTTTGGCTTTTTCATCTGTGGTCTGATGGTGGTTCCTGACCCTGCCGGAATTTCGATCACTCATTTAATGTCCAAATTTCCAATCGAAGTCCAACATGTTTCAGAAAAATTATAAAGTCATTAGAAAAATATAGAACCCGATGGGGATAGACCCACGACCCGTTGATTTTTAGTCGTACATTGCTACCATACCAACGTGGCGAAAAAAGTATCAGACTAATTCGAATAATGGGATATCACAGATAAGAAGGATGCCCTTTTTCAGACATCATCAGGCGAAGAAGCTGATAGTGCTTGTGGGTGGGGAGTTCGTGTATCGCACGCTCGTTGCGAGCTCACGAGCGTCTCTGATGAATTGCTTACCGACGCTTATCTAGAACCTTGGAGATGCTCTACAGCGCTGCCTGGACGTATTGTGGCTCCACCTATGCATCATCAAGTATGAAGATAACGACTGATAAATTCTTTTACCATTTTTTTATTTTTTCTTCTAAAAGAGTTTCTTTTTTACAAAACAGGAGGACGAATTATGTGAAGTTGAATGTGGTTGCAATGAGTCAGAGTTCGGTCAGCCGGGACCATGGGGCTCCTGGGGCCCTTGCCGTGGTGGAGCCCGATCACGCACGCGCCAACTCTTAGTACCACCCAGACGTGCTTGTCGTACTTCTTCAAGGTATGGAAACTATATAGACTATATAAGGCTGTAAAATTAACTCGTCGTAAATTAACGTCGGAAAACTTTACTGATATTTTAAAATGTTTTTTTTTATTGAACACTTTAACTTTAGAATATTTTTATGCTAGATATGTAACAATCGAATGGGCGAACTGTAGCGGTGATGCAGACGAGATCCCGGATTTGCTAGCCATTGAGCCTCGGGAGGAAAAGCCTCGTCGCGTCGTCGTACGCAAGGAACACGTGTACCAAGACGGATACATTGGTAATTATTCTTTCTAAATAAAATTATTATGTTTTATCGTGTTTGATTAATTTTGTTCAACTTCAGATATACTATTAATGAAATTAAAAATTGATTTTGGATTTTAAATAATTACGACATGGGCAGTATATGAACCGGCATTCGTGCTGTCGCTATAACCAATTAAGCTAACGTGTCCTACACGTTATCGTCGCTTTTTTCTTAATCTATTGATACATATACCTCTAGCGCAATGTAATTTCAGTCTAAACATTTGGGAATCGAGGTTGAAATTACATCACATTTTTTTTTTAATCTAAAATCAATTTTAATTTTTCAAAGTTTAACATATAAATAAATAAATTATTCGCTATATTATGATATATTTAACGAGATATTCAAAGTAAGTAATATCGGGATAATTTTTTTTTTAATTGTATACATTGACTCAGCGAAGTTGAAATACTAATTTTGGGTTTTAATCATCGACAATGAGTGAATTATAGATTATATGCTAAAGTTTTCTTAGTGTGTACTTGATAATCCGTGTTCATTTCATGCTTCAGAGGGGAACCTTACCTTGCTGTCGATAGTATGGTCAGCGACCATAACGAGTACTTTGTACGGGTCGTATATGATTTATCGCGGAATATTAAGGTAAGTCTAGAAATTCTATCGATTATAATAATGTATGTAAAGAGTGGTCACTGAAGAAGGTAAACTAATGAAAATTGATTCGTCATTAAATTAAATTTGTACTATTTAAATAAAACACTTTCACAGCTTCCGAAATGTTGGGTCATAGTTCAAATAATTTGTAAAGTCTAACTAATGCATTTTGCGTTATAAAAAAGAAAAGTGTTTGATTTAAAGTGTACTATTGCGTAAACGACAAACAATGTTTAAATATTGTACTATAGTAAAATTTCATACGTAGTAGTAGTATTAGCAACGCTTTATTAATATATGCCCTTGTGTTAGATGTCTACGAAGCCGAAGAATGAAGACAATCACGAAAGTCTAAGACAGCGGAGAATATTATTGGCAGATGCTTCTGTAAACTCTCTCGTTGAAAATGATAACAGAATGTGTCTGTATTGATTATTTAAGTTGTAAGACATTGTTTATGTTAAATTATATTGTAGTGTTTGTTATTTTTTGCCGAAACCAAAGATGTTCCATGTTTGTATTAAGTGTGAGAAAGTTGTCCCAGAGCGGTACCTTGGCGCACCTCGACTACCATATCAAATCTTTATCACTACTAGTAACAAATTAGTAAATGTATTTTAACCTACGCGTAAATTTACAGTTTTAAAATCTGCAAACAGTCTGTCCGCGGGAGTGCTTCCATGTTTTTAAAATGTTTATGAAAACGCTTTAGAACGGTTTTGCTGCGAACAGGGAGAATTAACCGCATTTGTTCGGGCTCTTCAGATTGACAATATTAGTAGCTGCACCTTTGTGGCGTAGATTTGGTCGAAATCCAATAACGTTTGGATAATACCGGCAGCTATATTTGCGATGTCTAAATTATACGGTATTGTTAAATTTGTGTAAAGTAGTATAAAACGAACTGTAGGACTTTAGTTTATCCTAAAGCGTTACATTTAGTTGCATGCGATTTTAACTGACTGTTCAAATGGTAAATCCGATAAAATGGGCTTCAAGTAGTGACCAATAAGACGTGACACATCATGCCACATATCAGTGTTTTAATATTCCCCGTAAATCATGTACCTCGTAGTTGAAGCGACGTTTACTATGTTCTAGTCCATTGATATCCCGATGCTTACAAAGTTTCACGAGCTTTGTCGCACAAAAGTATTTGTACTTGATAGTTTTAAGCCCTATTATTAATCGTAATATTCTGAGGACGTACTCATGTATAACTTTTTGTAGATTTTGCATTTAAGGCCATGTATTGTGTACGAGTATTTACGACGTGGATGTGTTCTTCAACTATCGACTTCTACCCTCTCTCCGATTCATTCAATCGATATTGTTACTTGTTCTATAGTAGTTTTGACATATTATAAGGCTAACGTTTGATTTACGGGTACAATATATTTACCTACTTCTTGTTCCTTCGAGACAATATGTATCAAATACTATTTTAATATTAAGTACGTTTTGTTCTATGTCACTGTTATTGCTTCGTCTGTCCTTTCACATTCTAAACTTCGCCCTACACTATTTATAACCATAAACATTATAAGAAATTGATGTGAAACAATATGTTAGGTAAGGGATCGTGTTAGACAATACAATATTTGATATTTAAAAAAATTGATTGTGTTTTTGTATAATTGTCTTTTATTTAATACCTCTAATTTAGTACATGGTCCTCTTTTTGTTCAAGGATTGGATACATAAATAAGTTATATTTTACTTTGTTAGTATAGAGTCTGCTTATCATTGCTAATTTATCTATAGAAAGTGTTGAACCGGCTGAAAATTAAGAGAAATAATACTCATAATAACAGGCATCTTAGAAATAATTGCCTTATCATTTAATATCTTAATTTTAACATATGCACTTTACATATACTGTGAGTTGATTTCATCTATGTTTGTAAATTTTCAAGTACCTCGGGTTTATATTGCAAATCGGCTAAACCTCTACGAACAATATCGTTAACCCTTACTGCTCTTAATTGTCTTCTGTATTCTAAAACTTCCTTCTCAGCGACCATTAAATTATCCATGTTGTTTAATAAGACCTAAAAAAACTTCAAAATATAAGTATGACTGTTAGAAATTTTGGTGTCGAATAGATTTAGGTTAGAGTAATTTATTTTTGCAGATTATAAATATAAGTATTTTAGATTCAAAACTAAATATTCTTGGGTCAAATCGCGCCCGGATTATTTTCTTATATTTTAAATTTATTATTAAAAATAATTATTAAAACGGTATTTTTAAATTCCAAGTATATTTTACTACAATATAAATAAATTAAGCACAAACACGATATAAATATCATTAATAACACAACATTAAATACAGGCGTAATTAGATTTTTTATGCAGCTTCGCAGCCTTCTCTGCTTGCCTCATCGTATTAGAATTGCAGGTGTAAATATTTGAGCAGTAATAATCTTTAATTTCTTTCATAGGCACGTTCAAATTTCCACCGCCTCCCTGACCTGGTTTAATAAGACGAGGAATCAACTCGGAAAATAGCTTGTGTTGATAATAATCAAAGTTCACGAAGTTTGGACTTATTTGCGCCAATCTACAGCACAACGTATCCGCGTCACTATAGAAAAGGGATATCCCGGAATATTCCGCTAATGCCCTGAAAATCTTCCAATCATACCGCGCTTTACCTGGTGGCGTGATTGCTGGCAGAGCGAACTGACTCCGGCACTCCATATTCAAAAATACCCCACCCGATTCCGTATAAGCGCTCCCCGGTAGTATTAGGCTTGCAAATTCCGATCCCTTATCTCCTTGGAACCCTACGTATATGATCTTCAGTTCAATCGATGGTTTAATCTTGTAGAATATATCATCAGCACCCAAAGATATTATCACACACGGACATATGGTCTTCATGGCGTTCAAAGCACCCGGTTTCCATCCAGCCTCCAGCGCTGCAGCGAAACCTGCATCGCGAGTGACAATATTGACGATCCCCCATTCTTTATCCACCTTAAAACTACCCGCAAGATTGTATAAAGCCGCCATTATTTGGCCAGCGTTAGGCGAGTCCAATTGATCAATTCCAACAAATATGAGAGGGTTCTTAGCACCTTTCAAACATTCCGCTGCTTGAGACAGAGATCCCGTATCTTGACCGATGTAATTGACGTGGTAATTATAATCACACTGTGGGCCAATTGCGAAAATGTCGCAATCGTTATGTGTGTAAGCCAACCGTATCCACGTATTCAGTATAGGTGCTTCGAATCTCGGATTTGTTCCAACGAGAAGAATCCTATCTGCCTTCGCTATTTCGTTCATTTTGATATTGATTGAATAGCTGGTTCTAAGATCGATATTCCCGTTTATATGAGTCAAATCTTTTTCAACGTACGTGTTCTCACAGCCTAAGATATTTAGATAGTCCTTTGCGACTACTAATGTCTCTGCGTTGCAATAGGGTCCAGCGATTGCCATTATTTTACCCGGGTTCACGTTTTTTATGGTGCTCGCAGTCAGTTTCAGCGCGCAGTCCCATTCTATTGGTACCAAACGGCCTTGATTTCGATACATCGGTGATACCAGTCTTTGCATCTCCAGCGAATCTATAGACCACCGACCCTTGTCAGACAGCCATTCTTGGTTGATCTCTTCGTTCTCACGAGGGAGAACCCTTATCACCCTGTTGAACCTGTGATTTAGAACAATATTCGTTCCCGTGGCATCTGTGGCGTCGATGGAATTGGTCCTACGTATTTCCCAAGGCCTCGCCTTAAACATATACGGGATAGCTGTCAAGGATCCGACTGGGCAGAGGTCTATGATATTCCCGGATACCTCGGATAAAAACATTTTGTCGACATACGTCCCTACAAGCATTTCTCCTCCTCTACCGGCGGTGCCTAAAACATCCATGCCGGCGACTTGCGACGCAAACCTTATACACCGAGTGCAGTGTATGCATCTGGTCATTTCCGTGCGTATTAGAGGACCTAAGTTCTTGTCTTCCACCGCACGTTTCCCTTGAAAGTGTATATCTGTGAATCTCGTTCTGTCATTCCCGAATTTCATTGTCAGATCTTGCAAGTCACATTCTCCACCCTGATCACATATAGGACAGTCGAGCGGGTGATCTACCAGGATAAATTCTAGCACGCTTTCTTGGGCTCTTAAAGTTAGTTTACTGTTTGTCCATATTTTAATGTTTTTGGATACTGGCAGCGCGCACGCTATCTGGGGCTTCCACATTCCCTCTATTTCGACTAAACACATTCGACAATTGCCGGCTATTGAGAGTCTCTCGTGGTAACAGAATGATGGTATTGTTACCCTCTCCTGGCGTAAAGCTTGCATCACTGTGTAGTATTTAGGGACGCATACCGATTTACCGTTGATGAAAATTGGAATTTCCTCGGAATTATACCGTATTTGACTTTTAAATACAGCGTTGTTACGGTATGTTAAAATATTTCTAAAACACTTTAGCATATTTACGTTTTGCTGTTTACTGCATACCAAGCACTTTTCTTGACTTTTATACGTCATGTTAAACTGAACAATGAGGTTTTTTAATATAGAATATTAATTTATTTTTTTAATTAATTTTAATTAACAGAAAATAATATTTTTTTCAAATATTTACCTTATTTATTGATGTATATAGTTTTCCCAAAGTTTCCTTAAATTGAATAAACGTTTCTGTTGCTTTTCGATTCCTAAAAAGAATAATAAATTCTCTACTTTAGAATAAAAGTAATCTAAACCATACATTAAAATTGATTATAAGGCTTAACTATGGACAAGAACTTCTAATTATTTTTTATAATTTTAAGAAATTACTACTTAGTAAACGGTGTTTTTTGTATATAAATAAAACTTTAACCACTTAAGTGTATAGGTTAATATGTCACTAAATTATAAACATAACAAATATAAAATATTCACTTATTTTGTTTTACGAAATTGCTCACTTATGATCATGTAGACAGTCCGTGAATGCGTAGTCTAGCGTCAGTCTGACAGAGCGTGCCGCTCTCGGAGCAGCCTGAGCACCTAAAACACGACGCGCTCCTCGCTCCTGGCATCTAGCTTTTACGAGAAGACTGCATGCCTCTGCGCATGATGACGTACGCTCCCAACCGCTTCTACTGCGAATAACGTTTTAAGTACCTATCGACTACCATAGGTGTATAAACCTTGGAATACAACAGACCTATGGACTATTAGACACTAACACACACAACTCTCTAGCATGTAACACAATAGACACTAATTATAAGTATACATAAGTCAGATTTCAAATATTAGTGCTGTAAACTGGTAGAGACAAGTCACCCACGAACAGGCTTGTCCTAGTGTAGGGCCTAGGGACTTTCTACCTGCATCTTGTATATAGAAAGAGGTCGCTATTTCGAAATATATTTTTCTCGCTCGTTTCGTGGGTTTGAATGATAGGCCATTGTATCGTGTGTTACAATTAATCTAGTCTAATTAAAAATTAGATAATTGCTAAAATCCTTATGTGACATGGCATTGGAAAGTATATATAACATATACCTTCCGATTGAAGATAGTTTCCAAGAACGTAGAGCTTCTTCCAGCAAACGTAAACCGTTTTGCGTATATTCAGCCCCTGCGCGCAAGCGCATGCTCGCTGTGGCCAATGCATCACGAAGTCCTTGGGCATGACGCAGATTCGATTGCGGTGTTGGTTCAGAACTTGGCTTCTCGTACCACAAAGATTCTAATGAATTTTGTTAGGAATTGTGACAAAGATTAATTATGATATGATAATAAATTAATAAAATCATGATAGTATATTACATGATTTTTATCGATAATCACCTTGAATTTCTGATGAGATCTAACGCTAATCTTTTTTCTCGTATGAAACCTTTTCATTAAACAAGATTATTTCTTATGATGTAAATTTTAAAGTAGCTTTTTCTACACTAAATTCTATGAAAACTCGTGCTTGTTCTACGATTTTTCAGTTGACAAAGTGATGCTACAAATGTAAGAAGTAATGACGTATATAAATAAAACACTTTTTAAAACGCAATATTTTAGTTAAACTTATTTGAAAATGATTTTTAACTTCGGCCCGACGCGACGTTTCGGATGCTTTGCAGCAGCCATGGTCACGGGGAGACAATAATAATAGAGTAATGACGTATATAAAACAAAATATTAAAATTGGTGCTATGATTTATGTCGTAGATACTTTGTCTACGAACTCAGTCTACGAACTATGATACAACCATATTCAAACTGAATTCAAAATTCGCAAAATAAAACAAACTTTTTCTTACCTAACAGGTGTTGTTGTTCCCTATACAAGGATCTTAACCGCAACAATTGCGTTTGTAATATTTGACTTTCTCGTTGTAATTCCTTCTGTCGCAGACTTAGGTACAGCACTTCTAAACGATGCATTTCCTAAGGATATATGTAGAATTTTTCAATAAATTAAAATCTTAAAATAATCTAATTATTCGATAAAAGAAATATTTAAGTCTAAGATACACATATGTCCTTCCCGTCGTCGTCTCACCTTCCTATTCACATTGGCTACGAAATCTTCATTTTCTGCCGCCAACATTGGTCGTTTATATAAATGCAGTTCCACGAATATCTGCGATGAATATGATAGTTCAAAATTAATCTAATTTCAATAAACATTAATGACACGGGCGGTACTTAACGCCACAAAACAATAGCATATGTTGCTTGTACCCATTGAGCATGCGTCAGATCAATCTCGTGAGTAATCATTGAATTTTATCAATCATTATAAATAAAACACATTAACAGTTTAAAAGGCGATATATATTAGTTAAACTCATTTAAAAATTATTTTCATTAAGTCTCCCCGTGACCACGGCTGCTGCAAAGCATCGTGAATTAAACGATCAGTAAAAAGGCAACTGCGTAAGATCCTCGAAAATGGCGCTCTTTGGTTTTGGAGGCCAAGTCACTTTGGGTCGATGCGCCAGCGGATTAAGATATTTTTAAAAAGACATGCTAACCCTCTGTATTTGCTGTGAAATAATGCATGACTAGCGTACAAGGTTTAATTTAATTACCTGATGGATTGCCTTCGCATAAGCTTTTTCTGTGACATCAGAATTAATCACTCCCCCAAGTTCTTGAATTTCCTGAAAAAGTAATTTTCATGTTCAGACGACGATTTTAAAAGCAATATGTAACAGACGATACATCGGCGTACCAATTTAACTGACAACACTTTTATATTACTACTGAAAAACGTCGGATGCTCCATCTCCATAAATGTTTATAACAGGGTTGCATAGGTTAAAAGAAATAGCTTGTCCCTCTTTCAAATAGAAGCTAAATACGCACATTAAAAATATGTGTATATAATGCTTATTACATACCAATTGAATACTTTTAAGTTCGGCTGTAACAATAGCCAACCTCTGCGTAGGATATCGTTTTTCACAGGAAGCAATCCCCCTATCAAGTCTCACCAACGTGGCGACTACTGTTTCATTTTTATCAATACGACTGTGCCAGGAGTCTTCTGATTCTGACTACAAAATTAATAATCACTTTTAATCTCATACTCTTTTTTCCCTTTTATCTTTTTTCATGCGTAGGGGGCAAACAGGCAAGGGGCTTGCGATGGAAAGTGAGCCGCCCATGGACATCTGCAGCACTAGAAGTCTTGAAGATGCGTTACAGGCCTTTTAAATAAGATCTTGAAGGTTCGAGGTCGTGTCGTATCTTATACATTTCCATAATATTTAATTTTAAACCTTACTTGTAACACCGAAGATTTTCGTATACTAGCTGCGCACCCCATCCCCTTAAATCTCGTCAGTGTATCGAAAAGTTTATCTTTTAATTAAAACATTTTAATTATTGCGCACTACTCGTATTAACTATAGACAATACGAATTTATTGTCGTAAATTTTTTAATTCTAACGCATAATCAACCTCTCGGTACTGAGCTATTGCACTGACTAACATTATTTTTCATTAATCCCATATGTGCCAAGGCTACTACTACGCTCCTTTGAAACGTGATTCAGGGTCCTTAGTCAGCTTTTATAGAAGAATTGGGACGAAGCGCTGGCTGGTACGATGATGCGGTATCTAATGATAATATAAAATAAGATTTTGATTGTTTTGCCATTTATTAATAGGATTTTATTTAGTTAAGAGTTAAATTTTGCGAAACTAGCTATACAATTATTTTTTCTGTTTTCAAATAACTCCTAAAATCTTGGTCGAGTTTAATAACGCGGTGCTATAGTAAATATACATATATCTAGGAGGTGTAGGACTCGGTAGCTCAATTGGTAGAGCAACAACAATGGAACGCTGACAATGCCGGTTCAGGTCCTGCCCGAGTGGGAATTTTTTCAACTTATTTTAGATTTTTCAATTATATAGTGTCTTCATGTAATAAAATATTAAAGTTTTCAAAATATAACTAATAAATATATATATATTAATTTGTCAGAAAAATTCCGCCTTTTTTAAAACTTCGGAAATATGTACATAAAACAATATGCTGACTCTACATTTACTTTCTAACGACTCTGTGGTTTTAATAGTGGCTATATAGATTTTATTTAATTAGCAAAGTGATGTGTCAATGTCAAGTTAGACGTCAAGGCGTTTCATTTTGTAGCTCCCCGCCCTCCCCGGACCATTCATCAAAACCGATTCATCTTGTCATATCCTATCGTTTAAACTTATATTTTTTCAGTTTGCTAAATTATTTTTAGTTCAATTTTATTTTTCTAGATACATTTTTGTAGTGCCTAGTGTGTCAGTAAAAATCTATCAGTGGTAAGTGCTCCTGTAATGTTTAAATTCAATAATTGCCACATGTCCGTGAAACGTATTTCAAAATTCAGTATTCGATGACGAAATTAAAAATTTCACCTTTCAGATAGATTAGGCAACTTTCACCGAGGCCCCAGGCCTTCGGCCTGTCATCAACAACCGACAGCCGTAGTCAAAAAAACTAACAAGGGTAAAAACACTGCTTGCACTATTTCGAAAGTAATTGAAAATAGTTTTCACTATATATATCCCACAATGTCTCAGTGGAATAACACTTACGCTTATAATAACCAGTACCAGCAACCTAACAACTGGAACACTAATCCGAATGGTCAATATATGAATCAAACCTACTATAATAGACAAATAGATCCCAGTGGAAACCAGTATGTTAGTTTTAATGAGTTTATATCGCAAATGCAATCGGGAGTTCCTACCGCGAGTACTGCCCAGTATAATAACCAATATCAAGATTACTCACCAAGCCAATATAATTCAGATAATTATCAAAATATACCTGTAGAACAAAATACCCAAGCTACCTATGAATATGCTAATACTAATTACTCTAACAGTGAGTCTTATCAAATGAATGATCAAGCACAGTCTTTAGGCCAAGGGCGTAACAGGTACACTAGTACTAATGACATGGTATCTAAGTCTAAGCTAACACCCACTGCCACTGAATTTGTGCCTAAAAGTTCAGCACCCAAGAATGTGCCAGCTACTGTTATTAAACCACAAAATGTAGAAAATAGTGTCAATGATCAAAGTACTTCAAGGCCATCAGATTCAAGAAATTGGAGAGATAGACCGCATAGTTCTGGACAAAGTTTACACCAGGCAAATGGATCTGAAAATGGCACAAACAACAGAGGCCACGAAAGTAATCCAAGATATGAAAGGAATCGAAAAAATGACAGTCAGAACTACAATGCCTATCATAGTAAAGCTGAATCTAGTAGTCAATATCAAGAAACAGGCAGAAATGGCGAAAACAATGTGAATAGTAGGAGAAATAAAAACGACAACACAAATGGTGAATCAAACCGTTATGAAAATCAAAAGGATGGGGGCCAAGGAAAATCTAATTCTAAGGGAAAGAGTAGTACATTTTATAGCAGTTCCAAGCCAAAAGACAGCCAGGATGTTAGGAATGGAAGAGAGGGGTCAGGCAGGCAACGCTGGGCTGGAACCCAGCGGCTGAGGGCTTCAGAAAGAAACAGCTGTGAAGATGAGCATTATGCTAATTCCTATTTACAATACAGGGAAGAAAGAGGGAAGTATGTACCAAGTCCAATAAGAAGTAAGAAACAAGTGAACAATAGTAATGCAGGTAAAAAGTCTTTAATTTCAAATGTTTATGGTTTTATTCTAACTTTTTTTATTTTAATTAATTATATAAATTACCCAGATGACTCATAAAAATATGTACCATTAATATTATGCAATACATCACATTTAATTTTATTTATAATATTTTCAATAAACCATTTTCCTTATTTTGAAATAAAATCAGAAGCATCATTACAATTTTCTTTTAATTAGAAAACATACTTATTTTCAAATACAACTTCTATAGGTGCAAACAAAGAAATGACACAAAGGGAACGTCTCATCGAACAACTTGACAAGGGAACTCTGGAGTGTCTCGTGTGCTGCGAGCGAGTTAAACAAATTGACCCAGTGTGGTACTGCAGCAACTGCTTCCATGTAATGCATTTAAGGTGTATAAGAAAATGGGCAGTTAGCAGCATGGTCGGTGAGTTGAATATTATCTAAAATTGTTGTTGTAATAACTTGTACCATTGTTGTTTTAATATTTGAACTTTGGATAACCTGTAGTGTCTGTATTGCTCAAGTGTGAAATTTTGGTTTAATTACAAATATGCTATTTCATGTTTCCTACTTCAATTCTTTTTTAGAGGGTAAATGGCGTTGTCCAGCGTGTCAGAACACAAGTCAAGACATTCCAACCGAGTATCGTTGTATGTGTGGAGCTGTCAGAAACCCAGACTATCAGCGTGGAGCAAACAATGCGCACACATGCGGAAAGTCATGTAAACGTTCCAGGAACTGTCCTCATCCATGCACACTTCTCTGTCACCCTGGTCCCTGCCCGCCATGTCAAGCAACTATTACCAAGTAAGTTTTAAAAATCATGTAAGAGATTTTTTATTTTAGATTTACTAACTAATAGTTTAATCATTGTTGGTTTCTTTGGTCGCAGCAAGAGTAACTTAAGATATAAAATTAAGAGGTAAACAGATTGTGAAATTAAACAAATTTTCATAATTAGGAAATGCGGATGTGGTGCGGAGAGTCGGTCAGTGATTTGCAGCAGCAAGCTGCCGCAAGAGTGTAGCAGGCAATGCGGCCGTAAACTCAACTGCAGCGTTCATAAATGCGCACGCGACTGCCACGAGGGGCCGTGTGATTCTTGTGAACAGATTGTCGAACAAGGTTGGTAGAGAATTTAAACAACATTAAATAACTTCTAAGTTTTTTGAAGACTGTAAGAATCAGTAATGTACATTTCCATATGTATTTCGCGTTTTAAACTGTTAAACAATGAAATTGATAAAAGTATATTACTAGGCAATATACAATTTAATTCTATTCAAACATTGAATTAACTGAATCAAAGAAAATATAATGTGTAATTACGGATATTGGAATTTCTCTACTCACCAATCCTGTGAAATATTTCAGTATGCCACTGTCCGGCCGCCAAAACGAGATCTATCCCATGCACAGCAGAGAGCGGCGACGTGCTCAGCTGGTCATGCGGAGCGGCTTGCGCACGCGTGCTGTCATGCGGTGCGCATGTGTGTCGCGACGCGTGCCACGCCCCTCCGTGCGCACCGTGCCCCCTACGCGTTGAAAACGTGCCTACCTGCCCCTGCGGGAACACAAAGTTAGTTGTACTTAGTATTATACAAGGACGCTGTGATCGCTACATTGATAGGAACTTTGATGCCATATCAGCGTTAATCTACCGTACTTTTATTCTTCTGATTTCCTAACAATATTTGTCTCGAGCGGACTTGTTGGTCTATTGGTAGATGTATGTATTTACCGCTAATAGCAACGTGAGTTCGGTTTGATCCCCACCGGAACCAAGATTTTTCTAATCAATTCATAATTTTCGTGTCACGTCAACCAAATCCAAAACCAAAGTAGCTTGTTTAGATTTTATATATCATGAAGTGAACTGACCGCCTCTGTAGCCTCTGTGTCTGGGAGGTCCAAATCCCAGGGAAACAAAATTGTTTCGGTCGGCCAGGGCACAGAAGTCTGATCAAATTGCCCGTTAAAAGAACGGATCAGTGGAACGGACACAGAAATGTGTTCGCCCCATGCTCCACGAGTGGGAAATGGGCTTTCACTTTTTTTATGAAGTGAACTCCATGCTATAAACTAATTGCTATTATAAGGAAAATCATAATATTATTTCTCAAAATCAACTATTTTAAATTAAGTGACTAGACTGCAAGCATTCAATAAACTAACTAGTTTGAGTTCTAAAACTACTTCTATATCAGATAACTCCAACGTCGTTCAATGTACCCAGTCTTTTTTAAATAATGTTATTAAAGTGGAATTTACCTATGTAGGTTAAAACAAGGCGAACGCAAGACCTGCTCAGACCCAGTACCGCTCTGCGACAATATCTGTGCGAAACCTTTGTCCTGCGGGCCGGAGAACGACAGACATTTCTGCATGCAAAAGTGTCATCAAGGTTAGTTGTTAGGCCAACAAGACTTTGTTCTGACGGAATTGTCTTGCTCGTGCATACACGAACAAAAAAGTAAAACGTTTATTTTTTGAAATTTTGTCAATATCATTGTCACAGAGCTTACATATATTACATATATAGTGTATAGATCACACCAAAAAATACGAGCAAGACAATTCCGTGTGAACGAAGCCTAATGTGGAAGAAAAAATGAGTTCTTTAAATACTGTCTATAGTTTACGTGAGCAGTACACATTTAAATAAAACACTTTAACGGTTTAAAACGCGATATATTAGTTAAACTTACTTGGTCTCCCCGTGACCACGGCTGCTGCAAAGCATCCAAAATGTCAGGCCGAAGTTAAAAATCATTTTCAAATAAGTTTAACTAACATATTTAAACCGTTAAAGTGTTTTATTTAAAAATGGGTTTTGTATACGATACGTCCCGTTATACTTTGATAGATTATAATATAACGAATTCAAAATAATAAATAAAAAAACAAATATTTTTCACATGTTATATCACATGATAGCGTTGTATTATTTAAAAACCTATTTAAATTGAATCTTCAAATACTTTGACACTGTAGCTCAATTCGTTCGAGCAGTAGCGCAGTCCACGCTGTGGATCCCGGTTCGAGTCTCGCCCGTGTTGTATTTTTTTAATAGATTATTTCATTTATATAATGTGCCAATGTCGATTAAGAAATTACAATATTTTTACTTATTGATTCTTTTCTGCGATTTATAGGTAGCTGTCCAATGTGTCCGGATAGTACTCTGCTTCAATGTCGCTGTGGCCATTCGACCATCGAAGTACCTTGCAAGGACCTATTGGAAACTGGCAGTACCGTGATGTGTCAGAGAAAATGCAATAAGGTATCATGTGTTGAAGTAATAAAACAGTAAATGGTTTCCCAGGGATTAGACCCCAAGACCTCCCTTTTAAAATTCTAGGCAACACTATTTAACTACAGAGGTGGGTCAAACTTCGAGAGAAGAGGTGGACTGTATGTAAATACATTAAGCTAATTAGAAATTGCGTTTTCCAGAAATTGTCGTGTGGTCGACACCGCTGCCGTACAGTGTGTTGCGCTGCGCAGTCGCATCGATGCGCAGTGGTCTGTGGCCGCACCCTTTCCTGCCAACTGCACCGCTGCGAGGACTTCTGCCATACGGGACACTGCGCACCGTGCCCTCGCCTCGGTAAATATTTTAATGGAAATTATTCTTATGCTGCTATTTGTTATTAATAATAATAAAATCAGTAACACTCTCAAAGAAATCTTAGATTGAGTCAAATTTTATTTAAAATGTATATGGAACTGGTGGCAAAAGTCGTGGTCACATTTCTTAACTCCTTATCACTGTTATATTTATTTTAACATTATTTGGCATATACTTCAATACTAAATAACTATGACATATTTTTTTCTCTTTGGTCTATTGGTAGTAATTTATGGCGGTTCATGGGTTTGATTCCCACTTGGTTCTGTGTCCACTATGAACCATGTTGGACTTCGTTTGGAAATCTAAATATTAAATGGGTGTTATAAATATCTAAATTTTGTCCAAGTCACGAACCGTCCACAGATGAATTAGCCGTAAATTTTAATCGCCTTTAGGTTCAGTCTGTGGATTTTTAAATATCCAAAGCCAATCTAGGGCGACATTGCATCTTGTTATTGTATAGTGATTTATGGCTGGGGTATTTCATGCCCAGACCCCATGCTAGTGTGCTCTCTACTATAATAAAAAAAACACACTAAAAGCCTACAACAAACATTGTATCAAGGTTTCGAAGAGCTCCGCTGTGAATGCGGTCTAGAAGTGATCCTACCACCAATCCGTTGCGGGGCAAAGCCTCCCCCTTGCAACGCACCCTGCCGACGAGAGCGCCCCTGCGGGCATCCGCCCCACCACTCGTGCCATTCCGGAGATTGTCCCCCATGTGTGGTACTGACTACAAAGACATGTTATGGAAAGCACGAGGTTAGGAGATTTTGTATTTCTTTGAGTCTATATATTCAAGATGTTGTCTGTTTACCTATGATGAAATTGTTGCCAGAAATATTTACTTTAGTCATAAATTTCAAGAATATTGTGCTCTTTGATGTGTCTAAAATCTAAATAAAACACTTTTACGGTTTAAAACGCGATATATCAGTTAAACTTATTTGAAAATGTTTTTTAACTTCAGCCCGACGTTTCGGCTGCTATAAAGCAACCTATATTCTGCAATAGCCACCGTATTTTTTTTATAGGAACGCAAGACAATACCATGCTCCCAAGAGGAGTTCTCGTGCGGTCTTCCATGCGGAAAGCCCCTTTCGTGTGGGAAACATACTTGCATCAAAACATGTCACAAGGGACCCTGTGATACTGACAAGTTAGTAGATTGCACTTATTGGCTTTTGATAAAATAGAGTCTAGTCTATATGATTGTGGTCAAATTACTGCTATTCAACAACACGCATATCCAACGTCATTTCCAAAAATACTAATATAAAGTATACGGAACTTTTTTTTACTGCCGAGCAAAACTACCTTCATATTTGTAACATAATTATTATGAGTTTATTTTTAATTGTAACTAACTTTTCAACGTATTACAAATATCTATATATACTTATGCTATATACTTTGCCTCTACAAATATGCATATTTCAGATGCAATCAGCCATGCAATGAGAAAAGAAATAGCTGTGGTCATCCATGCGCAGCGCCATGCCATGCAAATAACGTCGGGAACTGTCCCAGCAATGGAGCGTGCAAACGAGCTGTCACCGCCACATGCCCATGCGGGCGGCGTAAGGCGGAGCGAGCGTGTTGCGATAACTCAAGGGATTATGCAAGGTTCGTGACAATAGATGGCGCTGAAAAACCTTTCCTATTAACCTAAGTGTGCCAATACTTAAAAATGTAACTTTTATGACGTTTGCAAACTGGCAGCATTTAGTCCTTCGAGCCGGAATTGCAAACATACTTAAAGCAATGCCTTTTCCTGAGTTCCAATTAGCTTTAACCTTAACTTATCCCAACTTTCAGAATCTTGAACGCATTAGCTGCAACGAAAATTCAAGAGGGCGGTTCTGTTGACCTATCTGACGCGCAACGGCCGAGTGCTATGTTAAAAACGTAAGTGCCCTTCAGTGCAGTTCAACCTTATATTTCCTTTTCGTAAAAAAATATCCCTTTTAAAGTTCGTATAGACTTTTCGAGATAGTCGCAGTTTGCGATAAACAAATCAAAATAATTACTATTACTAAGGCTTGACGGGCTAGTAGATGTTATATGATGGAAGTTGAAAAACCCCAGATATTATACATATAATACTGCATATAATATTTCATGGACCAACGATACAGATACAAATATATAATATTAATATAATAATTTCCATTGCGATAATTTCCACCTTGCAGCTTGGAATGTGACGATGAGTGTCGCCAAGAAGCCCGCAGCAGACAGCTCGCGTTGGCTTTGCAAATCCGCAACCCCGATGTATCTGCGAAGCTGGCCCCGCGCTACAGCGACACGCTGCGTGCTATGGCGGCACGGGAACCCGCGTTTGCGCAACAGATACATGACAAGCTGACGGACTTGGTGCAACTTGCTAAGAAGGTTAGTATTGATTATTAATTGTATGTAAAGTGCTTTCCTTCAGTTTTTCTATTAATGCCATATTATTAACGCTCACAAAAATCGCAATTAATATAAGATATGCTTAATTATTTTTCAAATCGTGGTGTTTTCTAGCCTAAAGCCTTCTTCGATGAACGGTGTAAACCACATAAAAAAATCAGGAGTTCTTAAGATTAGCGCATTCAAAAAACAAACTATTCAGCTTTATAATATTAGTATTGATTTAGGTCTGTCCCAACTTCCAAGATAGGTTCCAAAATATATACACTAATTGTAAAATTATACACAAATTGCAAGTATTCATTTTTTTCTCATATTATAGTCGAAACAAAAAACGCGTGCGCACTCGTTCCCGTCAATGAACCGTCAGAAGCGCCAATTCATTCACGAGATGTGCGAACATTTTGGCTGCGAGAGCGTCGCATACGACGCAGAGCCAAACCGGAATGTCGTGGCTACAGCTGATAAGGAAAAGGTAAGAAGTAGTTTAGTCTCTTTCGCATGGGGCGAACACATTTCTGTGTCCGTTTCACTAGTCAATTTTATATTTACATAAAAGTAGCGGCCTTCTTTCGCCCGATCAAAACATATGTTTCGCGGGAAGTCGAACCCAGGACGCTAAACACAATGCTTAATAACAAGATTAACTAATGTCCTACGGAGGCGGTAGATAAAATAAGATATCTAAATACTAGAGATGCGCCGTAAAAAACGTAACATCTTTATACGCTGATAGTCCTAAGTTCCAATGCGATCTATGTAATGAATTTGTTCAATAAAAAACTTAAATTATTCTTAAACTATGTTAAAAGTTGGAACTTAGAACTACCCCGTTGGAGACCACGTACTACCAAGACGCAGTAATTACGACATCTATTTAAATTTTAACTCCACTTTCACAGTCCTGGTTGCCAGCCATGAGTGTACTCGAGGTGCTCGCTCGTGAAGCTGGAAAACGGCGTGTGCCGGGCCCAATACTTCGATCAGCTGCGCACAGCGCGACTAGTGCGCCTGCGCCGCTTCCGGCTGCCTCAACTACATCTACAAAGTTAGTATCGACACTAACGACCCTTATAGCATTTTTAAGCTTTATGTAATTTTTATTATAAGAAATATTCTAATTTTTAATATTAAGTATAACTTAGGATGTTCCTTGTTGCTATCATCAAAATCTTTGAAATATGTCAATGGTTTAATATGCAAAGATGTCGTGCGATATGCTATCGAGATAACTGTTTTAATATATAAAAAGTTTTATAAAATAAAAATGAAATCACACTTCGTTTGTGAAACATAAAATTGTTTCGGTCAGGCAAGGCACAGAAGTCTTATCAACTACTTGCCCGTTAAAAGAACGGATCAGTTAAACGGACACAGAAATGTGTGGTTGGTTAGTATTTGTTAATATTATTTTTGTATATATCACCTAATTGTATAATTCTTTTGCAATATATTATTTACAACGTTAAAAATTTGTTTTTTTTTTGTTTTAGATCTTTCGGTGGCTGGGCGACATTAACGTCTACGAACGCTTGGGCGAGCCGCAGCCAGCCTTCCACCTCGACACCCGTAGCTGCGAAGACTACAGCAATTAAACCAGAGCCACGCCCCAAGATAGACTATTTCGATAATCCACCGGAAAGTTAGATGTTCACTTGCGTGTGATGACGATATTTTATATAGCCTTTTCTGAAACTAAGGAATGGTACAGTAACTATAATGATATTGGTCTTAGAAATAAAATTAAAAAATAAGAGACCGTTTCCGTCACGAAATCCTTGGGTTGAGCAAGAGTGGCTCTTGGCTTTGATAAATTGTTTCCGTCGGGTACAGAATCAGCCCATGCCCCATTAAGGGAAAAGGGATTTTACTTTTATTTTTACATATTAATGAATATCGTCATCATGCCAAATATTATGGCCAGGCGATGACCTCCAAACAATTTTCCCTTTTTAATTTCATACAATTTATCACTCGCCTGTGTCGTAAATTCTAAAATAAGAAAAATCGCAGTGGTCTTATTCTTATTACTTTTATTGACAAACGTCAATACGAAATCTATGAAATAAATTGTATCCCTTTCATTTATATCTTAATTACTGTCGCGTAAAAGAGACGAAGATATTGAACAGATTGACAATGAGAAATAAGGCCACTGTTACGTTAGCGTCAATTTTTATAAACGTAACTTATTACTTAATTATATTTAATCGAGTTCAACGCGAATATACAACGCTCGCATATACAGGGTGTTTTTGGCAGTGTTCGACTAAATTAACACGTAAGGCTTATGAAAAGATTCATTCTTTACTAACATCAGATTTTAGAGATAATTAAAATTTCTTTAAAAACCTTCTTGGTAACATTAAAGTCTAAAAATACATTAATTGTTACATTCATATAAGTCAGTGAACAGGGAATTCTCTAAATGTCATATTTTCTGTTTAATTTATTTGGACTTTGCCTAAGTACCCTGTGATTGCACATTTTACAATTCTATTAGTGATACAAGTTCATAAATTAAAATAAAATGTTAACTTATGCATGATGAATATTTATTGTAAAATGTATTGTGCACTTCTTTTAAAAAAATGTTGGCAAATTGTTTCTTTTAAATAACACTGCATCATTTAGACATAATATTCACGAAGAGTGAGTTCATCATTCGAACAGAGCAAAATTTGTTTTCCGCGTTCAAATTAAATTTTTATTTGTCGTTGCAAATGACATTTAAAATATAGCAGTCTGTAGTCAAGCACTACAGATAAAAGACAATTTTCAATGACAATATTTGGTCATTCATTTATACTCAATTGTATTGGCTGCCAGGCGTTTTAGGAGTTACAATCGCTCCGGTGACGGGTTTCTTAGGATTTATTGTACACCGATGTAAGAAATCTTAGTAAAAATTTTCCGTTGTACAGAGACGACACAGTGTATTAAAGTGTTACATATTCGTTTTTGATGAAGTCGTTTTACTTTCGTACCTCAGGCCTCCCTGGTAAACAAAAAAACTTGCCCTCATCTATGTTACACAACATTTACGCTAACAAAAAGTGCAAATTGTTAAATTTGTATAAAACAGACAAAAGGTACCTATATCTTCTCGTCTTATATGGAAGGTCCTACAGACTAAATCTAATTTACCGTGTATAGAAAATTAATTAGTTAAATGAACATGCGCTTATCTCTTGGAGAGTCGGAATCGCAATAATATGAGAAAACTTTACATGTTATTGCATATGACAGCATTATGTAAGTTGCTAGATATAGAATAGACGAAATAGCCCCGTCCATCTCGTATTTTTTTTTTAGATCTAAAATCAATTTTTAATGATACAGGAGATTCTATGAAATTTGTTTTATTGTATAATATATTTTAAAAAATATTTATAACATCGTCTCAAAATATTTCAAGCATAATTTACGCTTCGCACCTCTCGTAGCACATAGTCCAAATGTCGAGATAGTTGCAGCATTGAATTCACCACGCTTTTAATTTTAACGCATTTACAATTTGATTTAGACGAAGGCACTTTCAAATCGCTTGGCCACAGACTGCTACTGGATTCGCCGGACTTATTATATCTGGCAACACTGCGCCGCGGCTCACTCATTCCGCGCGATTTCCATTCCGTCGCTCTATGGTCAATGGGCCGACATTTGTATTCCGAACGATAGTGCGCTCTTATTGCTTTCTTTTTACAGACGTGTGGTAGTAACTGAAAAAAAATACTTATCTCACTACACCTAGAGATCGATTCCTGTCTGTTCCAATAAATTTTATCAGGTACTATATAGTCTATTCATGATGTAATATTTGATGTCGTGGGTTCCCGCGAAACACGACAAAAATAATGGTTATAAGAAAAGTCATAAAAGCCAGATATGAGAACCTGTTTTTTTGGAGATGTTTAAATGTTGAAAAGTAAAAAAAATTAAGCATAAAGGATCGTCCTTTATGCTTTTAATATATTATACATGAAATTCGTACTTTAGATGTTGTTTGCGGTTTTCGGTATTGTTTGTCCTTAACTTCTTTTTTTGTTTCTGTTAGATCTTCTTGACTAGGAGCGAACTTTACCGGTGAAACATAGGGCTGCAAAACATAACCTAAAATTATCTTATTGTAAGTAACTATTTACTTAGACTGAAGAAAACTTTTTTTAATAATGCTTATTTTTGATATTGCGTATTGCGACAAGAGCCAGAGTTCTTAGGTTTGAATACCGAGGAAAACTCTTCAAAACTTTGTCGGGTACGGACTACTCCTCTTAAAATAATACTTATAGATCAAGATATTTAATACAATACTAAGAAAACCATTAATTTTAAATTAATAATAAAAAAGAAATGCAAAGAAGACGTCTTCGCATGTTTTAAATAAAAAGAAAATATTACACATCTTGTTCAGTCCTTGACGAAGCATGTCGCATGCCAAAATCGCTACTAAGAGCTGAGTCCCATAGTCATGATAACAGTTACCTGTAAATAATAAATTTGGTAAAGAATAGCTAGCTTTGCATTAATAATTTTTCACGTTGGAATACCAGGGATAAATACTTTCGTTCGCATAGGGAACAGAAATCTTATGAACTGTGTCCAACCCGTGTCTTATGTAGGAGGAGCGAGGTTAATTTTAATGACTATAGATGCTATAAAATATGGTTATAGTACAATAAATAATATAGCATGTCGATCTCGGCATAGAAATGCATACATTATTTTATCAATAAGAGCATCTTTAGCTTGTTATAAACAAAAAAATTGCAAACCCCATTAATCCATATTCGTTGTCAAAGTAGTACTTTGTTTAATTTTGTTATAATGTAAGTAACCCGAAATCAAACAGGCCTGCTCAGTTACTAGTAATTATTATATCTATAGTCATTCTTACAAGAAGTTGTCTATATATAAAGGTGTAATTTAATATATTCTACACACCCCAATTATTTATTTGCATATTCCGATACGAGAACTCAACAAGCTTACTCCACGCAGATAAAACAGTTAAAAATATGCATTTACTCTCCTTTAAAACGACAAAATCTGCCAATTTCTCTTTATCACACTCGTCTACCGAATTATAGCTGTCATCCGATAGTTTTCCATCGTCGCTCATTTTTGTATACTCATTGATATAGTCGATATTCTCTCTGACAGTCTCCAATTGGTTGTTTATATTCTCCACTATATCTCTCTGTACAATCTGTAGATCTTCTTTAACTGTATCTGTTAAATTATCTTCTTGATTTATATTCTGTAGCACGCTTGTAACGCTATCCGAATTTCCGATCCCATCGCGGTACTGCAGTCTGCATTCCTGGTAGGTCTTGCTGGATTGCGAGCCGTCCCAGCTGGACATATCTACGTCGTCATTGTGCAGCCTGCAGAAGCTCTCGTAGAAGTCATCAGCGCTGGAGGTGAGGAGAGTTTTTGAGTTCACGCTTCTGCCGAGCTTCGATTCGCTCTGGCATAGCCCGAATTGGTCGCACAGACGTCGCCTCGCGCGGCGCTCCGTCAGTTCTTGGCGGAGAATTCTCTCCTGATATGATTTGTCTTTTAGTTGGCGCGCGGCATCCAGCTGACTTCTCTCGAGCGATTTGAACTGCTCGTACAGATACCATGACCGCACACGGCGCGATCTCTTACATGAATCATCTGAAACGCAAATGTATGAACCAAAATAGTGCATCTAGTAATAGGCGCGTTTCGAGCTGAAGTATTTAATTAAAATTTTAATAAACAATGATTATAAATTGTATAAGGCTTCCGCGAGCTTCAAGGTAACTAAACACTATATAATTATTATTACCTGTCGCATTAGAAAAATCCATCCAGTTTATCTAGAAAATCATGCTAATATTTCACTTGAAATTAATTTATATGATGTTAAAAATGCATCCTGGTGCATGCATTAAAAATTCTACGAAATTGACTTTTTATTTGACAGATTTATAAACCTTTTTAAAAACTATAAAGAGTCTCTTTTTTTAGAGAATAACACAGGCTGCAGAACACACTTATAAAATAAAAAAACCTTTATTTCCTATAAATGACTGTTTACTTTTACTTTACTTTATCTTTTAACTTAATCTAGTTTATCGAGCTTGTATTATTTAAAGTGATTTTAAAAACATTTTTAGGTCATTAGGAACCCTCTCGGGTGTAGTTGTCCATGCTTCCCGGTTTTGGGCTGTTTGGGCAGCACACATTTATGTATATTATAGTCGTAAATACCAACATTATTAGGCTAGGATTGAGGACATACAATAGAAAATCGTTGTATCTTCCAAACGGCATAAAAATGAAAATGCGCATTTAATTATTAAAGCTCTAATAAACAAACACGAGACTATATTTTGTACATAAACAAATAATTGAATGAAACCTTTTACAAAACCTGAAAGAATTTATCAAATAGTTCTTATACAATTCCTAATCAGTCTTAATAGAAGAATATAGCTCCTCCAGCTGCTTGCCTGCTGTAACCCGGGTTCGTCTGCGATGAGTGAACTCCAGAATTCATCAATTTTACACTAAAGGGTGAATGTTTCTGTGTTATACCACCACGCTTCATCGGATGACCCTTAATAAGAAAAATGTATTAGTTCGTTTATAAAATAAAAAACCCTCATGACACGAGCGGAACTCGAACCAACGAGTACGCTCTCATTCAGATCATTAAATTTTTAAATACTGTCTATAGTTTACGCGAGTAGTACACATTTAAATAAAACATTTTAAGCCGTGGTCACGGCTGCTGCAAAGCATCCGAAACGTCGGGCCGAAGTTAAAAATCATTTTCCAAATAAGTTTAACTAATATATCGCGTCTTAAACTGTTAAAGTATTTTATTTAAATTAAATTTTTAATATTTTTCATCGGGCAATGCAATTGTAACACTAAAGCACGTATTGACGTTTAATGTCTTATGCTTTTCTAAAATCTTAGATCAATCATTATTGTTGCTAAGTAGCTATTCTGGGTGCCGAGTAAGCAGTTACTGATTCCCGATTAGTTCTGTCACATACCTACAAAAACGGCGGCACTTGAACCGGGGCGTTCTGTGGTCTAACCACTAAGCTACCGTGTCGCACAGATCATGGTCACACAATCTAAATAGATCTTTAATTTATATAATGCCATCATTTGCAAAAACACGTGAAATATATTAAAGTAACGTACCAATGGTATCACAATTGGAGGTAGTTTATCAAATGTGTTTCTTAAACGGCGCCAAGTGTCGCAGCCGATTGTTTCTGGTTGTAAATATAAATCCTCCTTATCAGCAAAGCGTTCTGTTGAATGGTTATACACCGCTGCCAATACTATATCCAGGCTATCTTCTGGCAAACTAAGAAAAAAACTATTGTAATAGACCAAATAACAACTACATAGTGCAATGATTCCACATTAATTTCCATGACCACAGACTCTATTAAACAAAATAATCTATAACAGTAAATCGTGTTTTATTCGTTTGAATTGGTCTTCTTTTTTATTTCATATAAAAAATGTAATTCAGTTACTATCTATTAAGAAACTTACAAAAAAGGATGGAAAAAGCTTAATTTCCGAACACTGGCCAACGTGTGGTGGGAATACAGTCGGGACCCTGTAGCGACGCCGTGTTTTTCTTTAGTCGATAATACTATTGGTTTTGTAAGTTCGCCCTCTTTCCGTAAATCGGGAAGAAGCTTCTTATTCCTAACTTGTTTGATTCCCCGCGTTTTATCCGCCATGATTTTTTTTAACAAAATAAATTTAGAATAAGCAGGAAATTTAAAAGATATTTAATTAATACTCATAGACAATGTGTGTAATTGTTATTTTGATTGCTATAGTTACTTGCACAGTATATGGAGAATATAATGACATCACACTCTTATGAAAAATACGTTGACTATTTTCTCTAAGCAACCTCTATTATTTAATTTTATAAATAACGTAAAAGAGTGATTCATGTGTTTTTATATGATACATTCTATTATCATTAAAAAAACATTTGAATAACTCTTAAAATGCGCGCTTTTTACACATACAGATTAAAAACATAACTTTATGTATTTAAAGTATTTATGGCAATAATCTATGGAAGAGGACGCTATTTCGAAGCTTTGGTCTACTGTCTTTGACACTTGAATCTATCAATCTATTTCACTAAGAAATTTCAGATCACGGAGCGCCATTTTGTCTGTAACGTGCTACATTCATTGAGGACGCTCTTGTGTTTAACGCAAAGAACTGAATAAAATTAGCAAAATGAGTTACGGAAGACCGCCGCCCCGTATTGACGGGATGGTTTCCCTAAAGGTAGACAATTTAACATACCGAACAACGCCCGAAGATTTGCGCCGCGTATTCGAAAGATGTGGTGATGTCGGAGATATATACATCCCAAGAGATAGATACACAAGGGAGAGTCGAGGATTTGCATTTGTCAGGTAAATATTTATTCCTACTTACTAAAAAGCTAAACCTGATTTCGCAAGGGATATTTGTAGGTTATGTGATAACAAATTCGGCGTTTTTAGATTCTATGACAGGCGCGACGCTGAGGAAGCCCTAGATTCACTTGATGGACGTATGTTGGACGGAAGGGAACTGCGAGTTCAGATGGCAAGATATGGACGACCATCTTCCCCATACAGGAGCCGTTACGATCGTCGCCGCAGGTACTTAATTGAAAAAATACTTAAATATTGCACAGTACATCAAAGGTTTATATTTAATATTTATAATATCACGACATAGCTCCATAACAAATGTTATAAGTTCTTTTTTATCTAGATTTAGAGTAAAAAATTTCTGCACTTGTATAATTGTTAACAATAATGGACAGCCAGATGCAATGCATCACAAAAAATGATGCTTATGGTTTTATGCTTGATGTGGGAAAAGTCTGCTTGTACAATAAATAGCAACAGAGTTGGTAGCAATACTATGTTATCGTTGCCATGGTGTATTTTTTAGCAAATCCCGTTCACGTGGTCGCTCCAGGTCTAGATCCCGTTCTCGCCGTCGTTCCTACTCGCGCAGCCGTTCCCGCTCCAGGGGTTCAAGATCGAGGTCTCGCTCAGACTCGAAGAGCTCTCGGGGACGCTCCCGTAGCCGTTCTAGGTCTCGCTCCCGTTCCAGGCATTGAAGTATATGGTAAGTTTATATACCTATCTACTGGGAAGTGCTTGGTTCTATATTTTCTTTCCAAGAAATGGCATTTGATCGATTTTTATTCATAGTAGATGATTTGGCTATTCTATAAAATTAATTATTTCAAAGTATTTTGTTTTGTAAAATTTCCCACAATTTGGATTTCCTTTAGTATCAGTAATCTTTTTAAGTTGGTTAGTTGAAATTGACTTATAAATTAAATTTTCTCCCCCACAGGTTGAGTACCAAAATGGGCTGATTAGCTGCACTTGTCCCGTCTCAAGCAGCTTCAGCTAAGGTACTATCCTTCAATCTAAATTAAGCAACACAGACATAACTATGATCAACATAGTGGCAATTATGAAACTACTTTTAGTTCTAAGTAATCTATTGTATTTTGCATTTTGTTTAGTTATTTTCCTAACAATACTCTAACATCTTTGGTTGTAAAATGTAACCCAAAGTTAAAATTGTAAAATGTGTTCGAAATCCGATTGATACAATAAAACTGTGTAATATGTAATTCTGAACTCGAAGCCCTTTATTGCAGGAAAACTAAAATTTGTGCATCTTATACTTAATTGGATGTAAAAACAACAATCTATTTGGTAACTACCCTCGATATCTTATTACACTTGTAATTTTATATGAACAAAGAATTGTTTAGTTTAAGGCTTTTTGTAAAGTAAATAAGATGAAATCAATAAATTAACATTGATGTTGGTATGCTCAGGGCGTGGAGAACGCGTGGAGCGAGGCAGTGCAGGGGGGTGGGTTTGCTGATAGCTGACAACTGCTGAATTGCTGTTGCAGTGCATAAGTTATGAGTAATATTTTATACTTATTGACAAACCGAGACACGCATCGGCTCTTTGGGGAGCCGCATTCATATCATTTCTTAACAATTCACGACGGATGCATTGGGTTACACCACCGATGTGGTGTTTCCACAATCATTGCCAGTTATTATCATTAGATCAGTAATAGTGTAAGCAGCGACTAACATTTGGATTTGTTTGGCAGGCCGGTGGTGCCGCTGGCCTGTTTGCTGATGCAGTATGCTGTGCTGTTTCCTGTGATTTGCAGATTGCGTCTAGGTTTCTCGGTAAAACGGAACCCCCTCCCTGCTTTTTTTTTAAGTACATATAGTTTCAAGGGCGGCGCAATTTTAAAGAAAAGGCTTTTTAGTTTTACACCATATGAAAATCTTTTCTCTAAAATTCTTATCAAGATCAAGATGAATTTGTTTGCAAGGATGCAACACCGATGGACATCTTACACTATTTACGTATACTAGTTTTACTTGTCGTTAATAAAGTATTCTTAAAAAATATTGACTTTTATTTTGTGGTGTAAAATATATAACGGACAGAGTACACTACTTCGTGTTTGAAAGTAATGAATTAAAATTACCATGATTAAAAATTCAATTCGTCTGCCTATATATTACGATGCGTGTATTCGTATGTAGAACGATATAAATAAGCCTATAAAATAATGTATTTTCGTTATTATATAAACATTATAGTCTGGCAATAAGTTTAATTTTTAAAATCGATTCAAAGCCATCTGTGGTTGACAGAAATGTCAAAGATAAGTTGGCAAGTTATATTTGGCAGCTAACTTCAAAAAAACGTGGTATACTGTGTACTTCCCGTTCTGTCACCAAAGACACAAGAATACTAACATTTATTATTGAATGAAGGTTTCCAGAGTTTAATGAAAGTGTATTCGTTTTGGTTTAAATAAAATGTCTTCCACATTTTTCCTGAAAGGAAAATCTAGGCAGGTCTACAAGAGGAAGGGTGAAAACATAAAAAAGAAAGTTAAAAAGGCAAACGTTCCTAACCTCGAAAATGGTCATGAATCTTCGGATAGTGATTTGGAAATAAAGAAGTTTTCTGACGCTGAGCAGTCTGAAAGCGATCACGAAACTGCTGAACAAAAGAAATTAAGATTAGCTAAAAAGTATTTGGAAGAAATCGAACGAGAAGAAGCAAAGAGGGCAGAGTTTAAAGACGTTGAAGATGCTGTAGAGAAACGACTACAGCGGGATTACCTAGAGCAAAAGGGTAAATTAAGAGTAGAAGTAGCTAATAAATACAATGTTCCAACTAAAGAAAACGTACGTTTGATTCGAGTGAAAGAACATCGATTGACACTCACTTCGGTAGCAGTAAGTAATGATAATGAGTATGTATTTTCTGGTTGCAAAAGTGGCACGTTTATAAAATGGAGCTTAAAAGAAAAACGAAGGCTGGGTACAGTCACATACAAGACACATTCAAAGTACATTAAAGGTGGAATTACATCATTAGCATTAACCACAGATTGCAAATATTTAGCAATGGCTGATGAATCAAATGATATACATATTTGGGATCCACACACTTTAAGTCACCTTCACACCTTCAAGGGACATAAAGGTCCTGTTATAGGATTGGTTTTTAGAAAAAATACTCACGACTTGTACTCTGCCTCAAAAGACAGGTCTGTTAAAATATGGTCATTGGATGAAATGGCTTATGTAGAAACATTGTTTGGACACCAATCTCCAATAACAGCCATTGATGCTTTAACTAGAGAGAGAGCAATCACCGCTGGAGGTAGAGATACAACAGTCAGAATTTGGAAGATAGTGGAAGAATCACAACTTATATTCAACGGACCACAAGGCAGTTTGGATGAAGTCAAGTTATTAGATGAAGAGCATTTCATATCTGGTAGTGATAATGGTACAATTAGTTTGTGGAGTGTTTTAAAAAAGAAACCACTTTTTTCTGTAACTGAAGCCCATGGAGTGGACAATGCTGTACCCAGATGGATCACTAGTCTTGCAACATTACTAAACTCAGATCTTTTTGCATCTGGTTCCTATGATAATAATATACGCCTATGGAAAATATACGACTCCTACAAAAAGTTTGAGCAAATGTTTAGTATAGAAGTTAATGGTTTCATCAATTGTATACAATTTACAAGCGATGGACAACAGTTATTTGCAGCTGTTGGGCAAGAACACAAATCAGGACGATGGTTTAAAGATAGTAATGCAAAGAATGGATTAATTGTTGCAAATTTTAATTTAAGTAATAAATAGTACTTCAACAAATGTATGGTTTAATTTTTTTCATATATTAAATAGAAACCACTCATGCCTTGAAACCAAATAGCCAAAGCAATAGGTCGACAGCACATTCTGTAGAGATGTTATATATATGGCTGGGGTATCGCCCTTTAGTGCCTCAAGTTGACCATGCCAATTTGTCCTTGTATTATAAAAAATAATAATTATGAACCAAAATTAAGTCCTAAAAAGTTTTATTATAAACTATAACTGAGTAAAATACAGGATAAACAAGCATTGTCATAGAAGAAGTAGATACTAGGACACTTAAAAATGTAAATATTTCAGAGGTGTTTTTTATTGAAAACTAATAATTTTTGTGATTATAATTATTAAAAATGTATTTGAAAAAAGGCAGGATATAAGGGAAATGTTTTTCTTTTTTGATGTTATATTAACAATCATAATATGTTTGATTTACTTTCCATATACAAGGGTTAAGTAGTAACTGACATGAGGCAGTTTTCATATTTTAGTGTCAGCATTTACCCAAATATCTAGTAAGCATTTCTTGTTGTGCAGCATATTTAACCTACAATAGTGCTAGCTCCTCTCAATTGTAGGTATCCTGCTGTTATATCCATTGGAAGATTTCTGACTGTCGCAAACTCTTCGGCATTACTGTAATATAACTTAGAGTGGCGATCCATATAGGGCGCTGGCAAGCCGGATATGTCGGAGTACTTTTTAGTAGGCTTAAATGTTGGTGGTGCATTTATTGAGTAATCTGTAAATAGTTAAATTACATAAAAGTTTAGATTCACGAGGTACGAGTTATTTTGTACTCTACTTATAGGAACGTACATAGAACAGCATCGTCCGGCCAAGGTAAAGCTCTATCTGCAGCCAATATTTGCTTCAAAGATCTCCACATACGCTTTTTACATCCACTTTTAACAATAAACTTATTCTCGCTTTTAAAACAATAAGTTTTCTCTAAGTCACCAGTCATTTTTTTTAATTTGCTAAACTTGCTTTTGCTCTGCTTTTTAAACAATTAGTTGCTACTTGCTAATTTTGTTTTTAAAATTCTTTATTTAGGTACCTTTTTAATAGCCTTGTGTATTTGACAATTGACATCAAAAAATTAAATAAAACTAATCCACAGAACCAATGCGCAACTAGGTAAACGGAACTTTGACCGGTGACATCTAATATATAAAAGTCAGAAAAGAACATGTGGTTTGTGAGTGGTTTTCAATAACAAAAATAAAAGGAGAGGTTACATACATTTAATAAATTGATGTCCTCAATTAGTTACTCTACACTCTTATAAAACTAATGCAATGGATATAGTTAATGACATATTAGAAAGGGAGCAAAAGAAAGCTGAAAAATATAAACCTATTGTAGTTGAAAAACATTTAGAGCTCGAATTTGATGTCGGCACATTGCTTACTTCTGATACTAACGATCTCGATTCTAAACTTATCAAGTAAGTAATATGTACTTTTCGCAATAAAAATAAATGACTCTGACGACGTTTTAATATAGACAACTGTTGTTTTGGATTTTAACACCACATGATTAAAATCTAAACTCTGGTTTTCTTTATAGAAACTAACGGCGTAATTTTTCAGGTCCGATCAAGAAAGGGACATATACTTACAATCTTTAGCTCGTGATAATACACAGCTATTGCTAAACAAAATATGGGAGCTTCCAACAGAGAGAATAGATGAAGCAATTGTAGTAAGACTTCCACAACCAACAACAGTCTTGCCTCGGGCTAAACCAGTGCCGAAGCCCAAGCCACTTACGAAATGGCAAGAATTTGCTAAAGCTAAGGGTATAACTAAGACAAAGAAGTCAAAATTGGAATGGGATGAGCAGTTACAGAAATGGGTTCCACTATATGGGTAAGATTTATATTAATGATAGATTTACATTGAAAAAGTATTATAAATCTGTAAAAGTTAAACATAATACTTTTTTTATTCACCTGAAAAGATAATTATATAAATAATAATAAATTCATTATTAAAACAGATTTAGAAAAGCAGCAGCAGAAAAGGAAAAGAATTGGTTGATACCAGTGCCACAGAACTTAGACCCTATGACAGACATGTACGAAAAGAAAGCGACAGAAAAGTCAGAGAAAGTGGCTAAGAATGAACTGCAAAGGTTGAAAAACATTGCTAGAGCAAGGAAAGTAAAAATACCTAGAGTGGGGCTGCCTATCACATCTGATAAAGCATCATCAACGCAGGTTTGCTGAATTATATCTATTAATCTGATCTGTGGTATAAGTTCTTTGAAAAGAGGAATAAAAGCAATTGCTACCACTTGCTTTGCCCAAGAGCAGTACTTCAATATTAAAAAATTATAATCATTTAGAAAACATTTTTCGATTACATAAGCTGCACATTTATTTTATTGAGTATCTTATTAAGTGCCTCTTGTTTGTGAGCAATAATTCAAATTAATTTTTTTTAGTTGGCCACAGCAACAAGTGTAGCAAAAGCCTCAACGGCATCATTGGGCAAATTCCAAGATAAACTTCCTAAGGAAAAGGAAGCAAGAGGTAAAGGAGTTCATGAGCTTATTCCTGGAAAGGAAAGAAAACGTAAGCTACCAGTCCCCACACCGGCTGCTGAAAAGGAACAAAACTTAAGTATGATAGATAGAATTCTAAGGAAACGACCCAAGATTGATATGGAGAAAGCAGTATCTAAACATATTAATGAAGAACAATTACAGTAAGTATTAGGGTTGTATATATATTTAACAACTTGAAAGTACCAAACAGAAGTTGTAATGGTATGCATGTATGGTTATATATTCACTGGTGGACTTCTGACCCACAACCACAGCATTTGTTGTTGCTTAATTAAGTAATGAGGAATGTCACCTCTATTGCTTGCAGACTACAGTGTTATTATTATTAATTTTTTAGACGTTCTGAAGAGAAAAAGAGCATGAAACCAATGAAAGGAAGGGGAAAGCCCAAAGGCAAGGGCAACGCAACTAACTTCTCTGCCAAGAAGCCAAAGGGAGGCAAGGGTCAAAGAAATCCCAGCAAAAAGAACCCGGGCAGAAAACGGAGGTGAAAATGTATGACACATTTCTATATTACACAATAAATCACTGTATAACATATTTTTTTTATTTGTGAAGTTTAGGCAGTGAGTTACTGAAAAGTAGAGTAGCAGTATTTAAGTAAAATCAACAAATATGTATAACATATAACAAATATGTGGATATTCATCAATTTAATGATAGAGAAGGACAGATAAACATGCGGTACACTTGATGGTAGATAAAATACCCCTAGCCATATAACATCCAAAGAAGATGTGCTGTCAACCTTTTTTGGATTTATATCTGCTGGATCAGCCACCCAAAGTAACTTGACCTACCAGGATAAGGAGGATCTTGTGTAGCTGCTTATCAATCGGCCACCATGCGGTCTAGCAATATTTGGCCCAAATTCTGAAATACAGTTTTGGTCGTATGAACATACTTTTTATTTTAGCATGCTGATGTAAGCTTTATCAGGGAACTATACAATCAATCTTCGTAAACTCAAATTATTTCAATATGAGACATCCTAATGTGTCCACAGTAGACAATATTAAGTACCTCTACCAAATTTAGCCAAATATAAAATAAATACTCATATGTTACTACAAAAGTGAATCAAGTGATTACCATTGAGTCAAAACACTCTTATTTTTATTTGCTTAAGGATTGGAATAACAAACAGTCGACATAATATAGTCTTTATTTAGTATAAACTATGTTTTTTTTACATTTCACAACGAATAACCGAATAAGATATAATATTTACTTATCCATAAACAACTCTAAATTGCCAGATATTAGTTAATACAGTATAGCAGAAAATGGAAGTATGAAAGTAAACTAAGGAAAAATGTAAACATCCTTCTTGATTTGAATAAAACCCTTAACGGCGTATCTTTCTTGTTTTTTATTGTTTACACAAAACAGACTGAACAAGGGTGAGTTGTTTTAATTTTTTTCAAATAATGACTGGGTATTAATTATGTGCATTAAATAACATTGCTTCATGTATTAAAAATACATTTGCTTTGAAAAAGCTCAAATCACCTGTCAAAAATGAAAAAAACATATTTTGACAGGAAACTTCCGGAATCTTGTTTAGACAGTATATAATATTTGTAACTACAATTTCCTATCACAACTAGTAACGAAAATCTATAAAGCTATTTTGGAAGCATCTACGTTTGTTATAATTTACGTTCGCCTAAGGCCTATTTATGAACGAGGCGTAATGCATTGCCTCTGCTCCCTAAATGTAATTTATAATGTAAGTGAAAGATAATATCCTACTACTACCTATCCTACTAGTCCTGAAAATGTTAAATACTTAATGTATATTTAAATATCACCAGTATTTTTGGTATCTAGTCTTTTTGACGTAGTTCTTTCACATTATTATGTTTTAAGCCAATAGACATCCTACATATACGCCTGACTCTCACTTGATGAGTTTTATGCTTGTATTAATAGGTACTAGTAGTCTTATAAGCACTTGATAACAACTAAGTCCTAAATAGACAATTAATGGTAGTTATACAGGACACTACTACATAAACTGATTTAACAGTAGATATAGTACCTACTTTAGGATTTTACGACTTGAATATTGCCATAACAAGATTATTAATACTATTTTATACAATTTTATTTTCATACACAAAATATATTTGTCTATTTCTTATACTATAAGTCAACTAAATCTCAAACTCAATAAAGCAATATGCATAGTATAGAATAGTAACATAGTGTTTGACTTTTTCCAAACAAAGAAGTTCTAACTAAACGCTTTATTTTTGTTCGCCTTAAGTAAAGTTGAAATTACTGAAAAAAAATACATTAAAAAGAAATGTCAACAGCTATTGAAAAGGTAAAAAAATCTACCCATATACTACTTTTGGTAAAATCTGTAAGAAAATATTACTCTTCACAAAGTATGTAAACAAAAACCTATATTTTTGCTATCTATAACCCTGTTTCGAGTACCTAAAACACATAAAGGTAAACACGTAGTCTAGATATTGATGTGAAAACTGAACTGCGTTAGCAAGATAAATTCGATTTCGTCAAATTTAAATTTATATCTTAAATTAACAGTTTTAATGTTGGGATGGCTTTAGATTATTTATTCCTAATCTGACTAGCTGAAAATTATAATAATACCTGATTATTATGCAAATATAAGCATGTTTCTATAAGCTCCATTAAAAAACAGCAACACATAGTTTAGTTACATAAAGGAATTAATATCTAAAGCCAGCCTTGTCCTTATACTAACTTAGGGTAAAGGAGATCAATTAAGGAATAGAAAAATTCATCTAACAATAAATAGTTACAACAACAATAAAATGTAAATAATCACTACATAGAAAGGCTACTTGATAAAGGACAGTTACCCATCTTCGGGCAACAATGTATATTATTGTTCTTAATAATTATTACAATAATATTTCACTGTCATATATTTTATGTACACTCTCATTACATGGATTTTAATTTATATTTTTGTTAAATGTAAATAATGTATTAAATACTTCTTTCATTTAAAAATATATACTGGCAACACAGAACATGTTAGCTGTGATTTTCTTTAACCAACATTTTTACAATTAGTAGTCAATTACTATAGGCAATGGGTTACTCACTTGTGCGATTCTTAACAAGACACTTTTGGCAAATCGTGTACAAATCAGACGCTGCATCGTGTTTTCCCTTATAATGGCACACAATGTGTACTAACTTTAAGTTTTCTCGCGTAAATATCTGTAGATAATACCGTTCCGTTTCAATGTTGCCATAATTTGTGTTACTCCTACAATCTGTGCAATATAGTTTGCCAATGTAAATATTGTTTAGTGCTTGCAAAATTGTGGGTATGATGGACCTGGATAATTCAATTCTGTGATCCAAATTCCATGTTTGAAACAGGATTCTTTCTTCACGACTCCTATATGGGTTTATGATATGTTCATTTTCATATACACACCTATTGTTATTCCACAAACCACCACATTCAAACAGACCAGTCTCATCACACATTCTTTGTTCCTTTTCATACTTTCTGTTAAAATATCCTTCATTATACTTGCTACCTTCAAGGAGCTTGCGTAAATCGACGAGAAATTGATCTATGTATTTCTTACTGCCGCCATTTTTTGAATGCACATACAGTTCTGAAGATTGCAATGCTGTTTTCGTTTTGTAGTAGTATCCCCGCATTCTTTCTTTTATTCTTTTTGACATAGATTGTTCTTTCGTTTTTTCAGATGGCTCAAGTCCTGAGTCAAAAATTAATTTTAATAGCACCACAAGACATGACTATGACTGCTAAATGTAAATATTGATTAGACGTGTCACTGAATGCAAACCTGTATGGTTCGTGTCTAATGACACACTTAAACTTAACCAGTAAATAATTCAGCAAAAAGTTCAACAGGACATCTCACAGGAAAAGTGGAGTAAAAATTTTATTTTAAAATAATATACTGCTAATACAATCAATCTGCCCCATGCCCCACCAATTTGCAATGCCCTTCCCACATATATTTGTTATTTTTTATGCTGATAATATTTACTGTTTATATTTTTAGAGCTAAAATTTTATTACCTGCAAACCAATCAGGATCCTGACTACGCTCACTAAGTAATGTCTTAGCATTATCTGCTGCATTAATGTACCTTTGGAACAACTTAAACTTATCCCGTAAATTGGTGTCGAGAAATTCTTTTGCTGCCCTTCCAGTGTCAATATAATCCTTCTTGGTAGATCTGATCATATTATAGTAGTAATCAAAGTCTGTAAATGATCAGAATTTAGATGAAATAATATAATAATTATAATTTTTATTGAGGGGAGAACTTATAGAGCTCAGTAATTATTTTAAAATATAAAAGTAATTTAAAAGCATATAATAATTATATATATGTGCTATTTTATTTTATATTTTAGTGTTAAAAAAAACAACAAAAGTAGTATTTAGTGGTAAGATTTGGAAAACAGAGGTTATTTTTATAAGGACCTTTTTTTTCAACACAAATCCCAGATAAGTTAGTTTATTTTTATAGGTGACAGAAGAGGTAAGATTATAATTAGCAATCCTTATAAAGAAACTATATAACTATGTTTTTTCTGTGAGACCCATAAGCATAATAAATTTTTGAAACTATCCTAAAAGTATTACAACATACCAGTTACCATTTTTTCTGATTTTTGTAATAAAATGAAAAGAGTTTGTGGTGGTAAGGTTTTGAGATACTCGTCGTCGTCTACCAAAGTCCCGTCTTCGGCCACGTACAGCCGACATTCCGCGCAGCTGACATTGAACTGGAAACCAGAGAAAATAGGTCACGGCTTCGGAATTATGTCAAGGACGCTATCCTTGGCCTACTTTAATTACAGATGCAATTTACACAAATTACATCTTAGAAAAATATACTTAAAGCATATAAAATAAGAACGTAATTCGAAGGAGAACAATTTAAAAAATAAACAATAATATATTTTAAACTTACACCAAACTTTTTGCATGATTTCTCTATCAATTCCTGTAGACTTTCAGCGGCAATACCGATTTTTTTCTCTCGGCGCACATCGGTTACTTTGTATCCTTTTTTCATAGTTATTTTGTTGTAATGTTTGTTTAAACAAAGGAGATTTAGAAAGAACTACATATAAATATTCCTCTACACGGAGAGCGAGCCAATGATATAGGATAAATTATTAAAATGCAACTTAGTTAACGTCACATTGACGTTACAATTTTGACAGAAAGGTGACTGCAGATTAGCCAGCAAAAACACAGATTGTTAATAAGCCCGCAAAAAGTAGTAAGTTTTTATTAACATTTATAACTTATTTTATTTTCCCGAGAGCTAAAGAAAAGTCTCAATTTTTACTGTATACCTAAAGAGCTTGTAAAGAATCAGATCAACCTGATCTGTAATTATTTTGGTCAATAAAGTCTGTCAAGTGTCAAACATTTTTTATGTCATTTACGTTTTCCCTCCAAATACCAAATTATGATCTCATACTGAGTAGCTAATTATTCACAAAGTAAAACGTTATTTTATAAAATTCAATTTTGTTTACAATTAACGCGGCCCAGATTAATAGATAAGCAGTTTATTGCTTCATATTATCTTCCTCGAAGCCAAAGATAACCCAAAAATTTCTGTAAAAGAAGTAAATCTTAGCATTCATCATATTAAAACTTGGGATCTAAAGTTTTTACTTTAAATACCTCGTAATTCAGAATGATTGTGAAACGCGGCGCGCTGATTGTGATCGAAGGTGTAGACAGAACCGGCAAAACAACCCAAGCAAAATTATTAGGTAAGAAGTTTGTATTTTGTTAATTATTTTCGCTCAACTAGATGTAAGGTTGTGTTTATGTTTCTTTTAGTTGAAAGCTTGAAAAAGAGGCAGATACAAGCGGAATACACGAATTTTCCCAATAGAAACACAGAAATTGGGAGAGTCATCAACAGTTATTTGACATCACAGGTAAATTACAACTTAAAATGCATCACCAATATGCAACTGTGTTTAAAATATTATTAAAAATACTACATTTACAGTTAAATCTGATGATGCCGGCTTATAACTTACTTCAATCTTTGTTCCTTTTTAAAAATAGATTAAAGCTAAATTAATATGTTCTTCAGAAAGAGCTATCTGATGAGGCAATTCATTTGCTGTTTTCTGCAAACCGCTGGGAAAAATGCAGAGACATTATTAATCTTCTTGAGAAGGGAGTTACTGTGATTGTGGACAGATATTGCTATTCGGGAGTTGCATTTTCAGCTGCCAAAGGTAAATATATTAAGAAATGGCTATGTACTGTGTTTGTTTTTTTTTACAGTATCTTTATCATCAGTAGGTATTATTAATACTTTCTAATTTTTAATCTCACTTCTACATTAGAACACAAAGAAAGACCCAGTTCTAACATCAAAATTTGGGAACATATTGCAAAATTTTTCATTGTAGTATAGATGAAAATAAATTGTATTTTAGGTCTCGACTTAAACTGGTGTAAATCATCTGATGTTGGATTACCGAAACCTGACAAAGTGTTCTTTTTGACAATTCCCTTAGAAGTGATGCAGCAAAGAAATGGATTTGGAAATGAAAGGTATGTTTTATTTGCACCTTATATTCAAAACTAGAAGTCTTAACTTTCTATGTAAATAATTTATATACTAATGAATTTTCATAAAAAAATAACTGATTTGTTATCTTGTGTATTTACTAAAAATGTTTAATTATGAACTTGTAGATATGAAGTACCAGAATTCCAAAAAAAAGTGACAGAAGTCTACAAACAGCTGAAAGATCATGACTGGGATGTGTTGGATGCTAATAGGTAATGTTGTTTAGCTTAAGCACCAATTATATAACAAATAAGAAATACATGGTGGTGGTGGCTTCTTACTGAAACAGTTACAAGTAGTGTAGTAGTTTGGGAAACAATGGTTGAATGTCTTGCTATGCATTGGTTCCCTAGCTTGGGTTTGATTCCTGTGGTATGTTTCAATTGGACTGGACACAGTCTAATCAAGTCAAGAACTACACTCCTGTAGATTTTATTCAGAACATGAGTCTTTAAGAATAGGCTAAAGCTAGTTTCTTGTCAAATAGAGACAATATTTATTGTTTCCTAGTAACATTTGGTCAAAATTTAAATCAATCATTCAAGAAAACATCTCGACTATTGATCAGTTTTTGCTTGCTGGGACCACGGCTGCTGCAAAGCATCTGAAACGTCAGGCTTTAGTTAAAAATCATTTTCAAATAAGTTTAACTAATATATCGCGTTTTAAACCGTTAAAGTGTTTTATTTCTAATTTTTCCCTAAATTGTATTAAAAACTGTTCTTAGACACATTCTCAATTTTGACACTTAAGGCATGAATTGCGCAGTGCTTGCCTCTCTTCTACGTCAAGCACTGTGCAATGTTTGGATGTTGAGAAACATTGTCTGAAATGTTCAAACTTGTACATCATTGTATCTTTTCATGCGGTTAATGACTATTATAATGATTAATATATAATGTATGGCTTATAATTATCGGGATTAATCCCCACCGAGTCGAACATGTTTCAAATCAATTATTTTTTTATTCTGAAACTTAGTCTGAAAATCTACATGGTTGGTGAGATATTGAAATTTCGGCTGGTTCTCCTAATGACTACTGTTCCTTGGAACTACTGTCAACAGGTGAAAATGCCATGAAGTTTAATCGCGTTCAAATTTCAGTCTATGGATTTCGGAATATCCATAGCGCCGTCGACTGCGCATCTTGATGAGATATTATAAGAGGGTATTTTCACCTTTTATCACGTGAAAAAATTGCTTGTCTGTTCTCATCTATCAGTTAAAATTTCGTGTACAATTAAGGACATACAAAAGTAATATTATAACTTGAATTTTTTGCTTTATCCAGAACCCTCGATGCCATTCAAGAGGAGCTCGTGCAAAGGACTCTAAATGTGATGAATGTGGTTGAGCACACATCAATTGGTAAAGTATGGACTAAGAAATAAGACCCAATGAATAATTAGAATAATTTAAATAACTGTGACCTCAGTGGTATTGGATTAGGAATTGTTTAGATTAAGTGCAAACTCCCGTCTGTAATTATAAATATATTATTGACTTTAAAAATATCAATATACAATAATATTTTAAATCTATTTAATACCAAGTTTATTAAATAGATTTAAAAATAGTTAATCTGTGATCTACTTTAAATTAAAAAAAAAGAACAAGCTCTACTTATTTCTGTGTATTTATTGCGCCTAATCTGCAAAATATAAATCTAAGCTAAGACTATCACAAAACCAATATATAATATACATTTTCCATGATGTTCTACTTAAATTGTACGATTATTAGTTGAATAGATGTTAACAATATTGTTAGGCATTGACAGTAGTACAGCATATAACAAAATAACATTAAATCGCCGTCGGTGTCCGTCCGTCCCAATGTATGCTTAAATCTTCTACGAAACCAATTCTGAAGCGGTTTTTAGATAGAATGATATAAGAAGAAGATTTATATGTAATACTTGCATTATATTTTAGATACTGATAAATTTGGATGTTTCTAATGTGATGTCGTAAATGAACATTTCTTTGGCTGAACTTTACGAAATATAACAACATTTTTTTTTTAACAAAAAGTCCGTTATGGTATATGCACATCTCCTAAGGTTTACTCACAATAACCATTTTTCATCTTAAAAATGGCTTTATTATTTGTAGTGATTTTATAGCATTAAATTACAAATTTATAAAATGCTATGACATAACGGCGCGTGCCTATATTTTTTGTGGATTAATTCGGATATTTTGGCTAGCGCGCTAGTGTTTGCCGCGTCTAGATAACGGATGCCCCTAGGGAGGCACTGGAAACGGCTTGTACCACCGCTATGTGGGTGCGAGCTTGCCAGGACCTTCGCCGGCGAAGGTGGACGATCGGCGGTGGCTTTTATTGTAAACGTTGTTTATAAGGACATTCTGTATTGGCTATATTTCGTATCATAGCACTCGTGAAGACGGGAAAAATCACTTATTATAGATGAAATAGTATTCTTGATCTACCTGTTATATATAAATAGCCTTACCAGTGTATAATTACTGACATATTTCTATGTATAAAATGACACATCACATTTTGTTATTAAGAATTTAAGAGTAAAAAATAACCAATAACTATTGCTAAAAAACTATATGTTGTGTAGGTTAATATGAAATGTTTTAGATATATGTAATTATCTTATTTATAGAGTATGAACTGCAGATTTGAAATAAAAATGTATATATAAAAATTAAGCATACTGTCCGCGGTTCTCGACTTTAGTGATAACCAACAATCCAAAATCGCAACAAAGCATTGGAATAGTATACTCTCCTAGATAACGAGATATTAGTGTTGTCTCTTATGCATATTAAGAAAGAAAGAAAGGTCCGCTGTCTTGGTTTTGTCATAAATCGTTATTATGAAGCCTCTAGAGGTATGCAGACTAACTCCAATTTCATGACTTGAATGATTTATTTTTAATAGTCTAAAAATAGTTATTTATAAGAATACAGTGACCGAAAATTGTTAAGCTAATTTTTACACAAATAATAGCACAAAATTATGTTTTGTGTTATTAGACCACTCTGCCTATAGCAGCATCATATAATTGTTACTATATTGTGTTACAAATAAATTTGTAGAGAATGTTAACAAGTACCTAATTTGCTGCCGATAATATTCAACTACACATTTCTTAATAAATTTCACTATTTTTCAGTGGTTAAGACTTTTACATTAGTTTTAATATCATGAAAAGTAAATAATGAAACCAAACAATTTTTCAGTAATGTTATTGAGTCATACAAAATGTTTTTAAGAATTTGTGAAATTGAATAGAAATATGGGATATAAACTGCGTAACATCACCATAACAAATTTAGGGGTTGTTGACCTCATTGTTTAACTTTTCTACAAATTTATTTGAAACATAGAAACTGCAGTACATACTCTGTATGTATCTATTTTTATAAGAATATAATTTGACATTGTCAATTTTGTAATTGTGTGATTCTAAATAAAACTTAATTATAATTGAGTGGTTTATTTACTTTCAACAGATTGTATAAGTAGCTTTGCACCTTCAAACACTTGTTGCTTCAAAATTGACTTGTGTGAAGATATCTTCTTTTTTAACTTCTTAGCAATAGTATCATCGTTATTTTCGATCAGTTTCAAAAGGAAGAAACATCCTCTATTAGTTGGAAGCCACACTTGCAACTGCAAAAAGAAAGGTTTTTACAAAAATATTACAATGTTATTTAAGCAGAATGTACACATTTAAATAAAACACTTAATGGTTTAAAACGCGAAATATATTAGTTAACTTATAACGTTAACTAATATATTTTATGGAAGGACTCCCCATGGCAAAGGCTGCTGCAATCGGAAACATGGTTTAAATAAATTGTAAAATGTTAACTTAATATATTTCGCGTTTCAACCAGTGAAATTTGTTTTATTTAGATAACACAAGTTTATCCACACCAATTTAGATCTTAAACTTAAACTTCATACCGTTTCATCTTCCAAAGATTCATGAATGGCATCCCCGAATTTGCACTCTGTCTCAGTCTTGTCAAGCACAGCAAGTTTTTTCAGACACATATGTATGCCTGCATCTTCAATGGCTGAAACCTCTTTTCCATTCACCAATATCTTCCACTCGGGACGGCATATCACGCGCGCTAGGGCTTCTAGGACTTCTCGAGATGATTCTGTATGAAGTAAGAAATCCAGATATACCAATTTCTTACATGTCTTACAAACTTCTGTCATTTAATTATAAAAAAAAGAGTTACTCAAAGGTGTTAATAAACTACACGTACACTATTCTGCTATATGTCGCTTAAAATTTTCATCTATTAAAATGGAACAATCTACCCCCATATTAATATATCTTACATAGTTTCCTACAAACCTATTGATAACACAGCAATAGCAAATAACATGGCCGCTTTGCTGCTGAGCCAATATTCTGGTTCTTCTGTCATCTCCTTCTTTAATGCTGGCAGGATTGCCTCTCGGAGTTCTGAGATACGGAGTTCAGCATCTTTTTTGGAGGTTCCACTCTTAAAGCCCTCTTCTAGAAACTTTATAAAAGTCGGATGGAAAGCAGCTGGATCCTTCGGTTTTACAAGCCAATGTAATGTCTGCAAAAGAAGATCGTATAATAGTAAGAGCTAGCCAAGCGTTTTCTTAAAAGAGCTACACAACACATTCAAATTCAAAGGATCAAAATTGTGTTCATATAATTAGTAAAATAAGTTTGCTTATTAATGAAAAAAGATATTAATAATAAATAAGATTTTGTTAATTAGCCTTTCCACAGCAACTTATTGCACAGGGATGGACTAGCATTAGTAAAAATAATATACTCACCATGTTACCCCAATGGTCCTTAGCAATATCTTTTATGTTAGTAGCTATTGTGGACACAATAGTCTTTTTAACCAGCACTGTGTCATCAACAGAGTCGAAGATAGCAATGAGCAACCTGTACCCAGTCTTATGCTTGCACAAAGGTACCACATGTTCTTTAACAACTTTTAGGATGCCCTGAAATATAAAACATAATTTATATAATATATATTATTATATCATATTATAACTGCTCTCTTTGTTCAGAATAGGTTACAGAAATTTTGGTTCTAGGTAATAAGGATGTTAGAATGCTTTGCATGTTGGATTTTTACTAGGCAAAAAGCATAGCCAAACTATGTTGAAAAAATTTTTAATTGCAAATGGACAAAAAAGACAGGTAGACAGCAGCTTGACACATATTGATGATACATTCTTTTATCTTTATCTTCTAGAAGCCAAGGATTACAAAAGGGCAAATTGAATTTTAACCTTCTTATCCTTATTTGTGCCTTGCCATACACAAATGCTAGCCGCGTTGATACCTGGTAATGAGTTACTTAGAGGTACTATAAGTGTACTCAATGTTGATATTAACTCTGCTCTGTCTTCTGCTGAACACTCCCTGATGTAGTCATATAGTACCGAGTGCAGTAATCTGAAAAAGTAAATATACATACACAATTTCAACAAATATAAATTGTAATTTTCCATATACATTGTATAAATTAGTGGAACATCATTTTTAAGTTTTGCTTTTTTGATATTGATGGTTTGATTGCATAGGCTTCACTCGATAGGTGAAATATTCCAGCCAGACAACAACTAAACAAGATGGGCAGTCACTCTGCTATGGTTAGGTATAACACTGTTGAAAATTTGAAATCTAATTTAAACAGCTGTATACAGTAGGAAAACAATTATAACTTACTCTCCATCATGAAGGTTTTTATCAAGAATCTTTTGTATATTTGCTTTACAGGACTGTAGTATCGCTGACTTCATTTCGGGACTGTCCTTATATGTGTCATTAAGCGTTTTGACTTTGTCATCTTTAGTCTGCAAAAATATTAATATTTGAAATAAAATTCTTTAAATAGTTTGTTATTTGTATTTTTCGTTCAGCGTGAATAGCGGGAAAATCTTTTTTTTGGATTTTAGATTATGGATATAAATACATCTATAGAACATACAACTTGACAAATAGCATATGTGGAGCAGCATCTTTTGGTTTGAATCAGATTGTAATACAAAAACACCTTTGTGTTAAACCAAGCTCAATCTATTAATGACACTTGAATGGCTAGCTTTTTGACATCTAATTTAGTATTAACTTACATTTTTATACATATCACCATAAAACTCTTGTTGCATATACAGCTTTTCCTTTTTATTTGCAAATTCACCATATGCAAAGTCCAATACCGGGGCGCTTACGGTGTGTGTAGCTAGGCTTATAATGTGTCCAAAAAACTTATTGATAACTTGATGCCTGATAGCGTCTGTGCCATATTTCAATATCCGTTTGACAGAATGATGTGCATACTTAGATTGCATCATTGGCACCATAATATCCATTACCTCCTTGGTAATATCACTTTTGATCTCCTCATTACCATGCTTCAATAGAACTTGTATAACTCTACTTAGATCATGAGTAAGTGCAATGGACTTATATTGATTTTTTAACAGCCCATGTAGTTCTTTACATGCGTTTTCTCGAAATTCCGGCTTCACAACTTTCCTGGAAGTTAAATTAATATTGTTATAGATTTTTCCAAATAAAGTAATGTTTTTTTTACTAAAAGATAAGTAAATTATAATGTTAAGAATTATTGATTAAATAACAACAAAAATAGAACTTTATATTATAAAACATTACAAAATAAATGAACACTATTGGGAGTATAACAAAGATGCAACCTTTGAATTTGTGCAGACAATAATTTAGCTTTGTGTGATATTTCAAATAATTCAGGTGTAGCTTTTGCTTTACGCCTTTCCAATCTTAGCGATTTCTTTTCTTTTTTCATATCTGACCATTTTGGCTTCTCTGTTTGTTCGCCCTCTTGCACAGTTTTCTTTCCCTTAAAATCCTTTTTTAAACCAGGCTTACCTTTACCCTTTTCAAAATTCGGTTTACCCTTCACAAAACTTGGCTTATTTTTCTGATATTTGGCATTATCAGGCTTATTAAACTTCTTTCCGCCTTCTTTTGGAAACTCTTTTTTAGGCTTTTTGTTAAATTTTTCTTTCTTAACATTTTTTGGTGCGAAATCCGTAACTGTGTCCGGTTTTGATTCATCGAAATGTACTTTCTTTTTCTTTGGAGGTGAAGCACTATCTTCTCCTAGTTTTCTTTTAACTTTTTGCATGATAAGCCTTTAAAGGTTAGTTCCTCTTAAAGTAAATGTTGTTATTATTATACCCAGTAATTGACCGAAGTGTCGCCAAGAGCCTTTTTCTTAAGTATAACTAAAAAGGGAAACAATTAATTATTTCATAAGGCTAAATAAAAATCCACATGGATAAACCAGCACTTATAAATTATAACCTATCAGACCACCAATAATTACAAACACAACTGACAACATCGACAAATGACAGATTGAATATCACTTTGAATCAATGTGAATTGTCAACTAAAGATATTAGCCAGTCCGTCAATGTCAAAACATATTTGTTATTAAATTAATTTAAAAAAAATAACAAGTTGAAACAAGTTTTTTGAATTAAGATTTAAAAATATTTTTCATAATTTAGAACCGTAGTAATGAATTAATTAGTACACTACAATATGAAACATTAAATATATATAAATATGGTCGACACTGTTATTAATAAGTACCTCGAAACACAATTAGCGTTAGCTAAACAAAAACAAGTTTCAAAAACTACGTCAAAAGAGGATCACATTTCTGATAAGAGTAAAGCAGCTGCTGGTCGTCTCTCAAAGAAGCAAAGCAAACAAAAAAACCAACACCGTCATCAGGAAAATCATGACAAATCGTCAAAAGATGTAGATGATGAAGAGGAATATGTCGCCTCATCAGAAGACGATTGCGAATTGCGATTACCAAATATTGCAGGCTCGTCTCGTTCAAAACACCATGTTTCCAAAATAGTAGACGACGGCGATACTAAACTCTACAACGACAGGGTAGCGAAGTGGAGACAAAGTTTAAGTGACGTTCAAAGTGGAAACTTAAGTGTGCCGTACATATCTGCTGATATACAGTATGTTTTAGATGGCAATAAACAACCTTTAGAAAGTCATGAACTACAAAATGGTCTGTGTATCCCTAACTACATTTGGAAACAACTTTATAGATACCAGAGGGTTGGTGTTAAGTGGTTATGGGAGCTCCACCAGTCACAGTCAGGTGGCTTATTAGGTGATGAAATGGGCTTAGGCAAAACTGTTCAAGTAATAGCATTTTTAGCTGGTTTAGCAAATACTGATAGTCTCACACGCAGCGGTCTGGGGGCATCTATTATTGTTGCACCAGCTACAGTCATATTTCAATGGGTGTCACACTTCCACTACTGGAGTCCATCATTGAGGGTATCTGTTCTTCATCAAGCTGGTTCACACTGTGGAAATCATCACAAGCTAATTAGAAATTTACATGAATCACATGGAGTTCTCTTGATAACATATGCAGGCTTAGTCAAATATGCGAAAGATCTCCAGGCTAGAAAGTGGCAGTATATAATTCTTGATGAGGGTCATAAAATCAGAAATCCTGAAACACAAGTGAGTAAGCTGGTTAGAAAGTTTGATACTCCACACAAACTTCTTATTACAGGGTCACCTATGCAGAATAGTCTGCAAGAATTGTGGTCACTCTTTGATTTTATGAGACCAGGCCTCCTAGGGACTCATACTGCTTTTATGGAACATTTTGCAGTACCTATCACTCAGGGTGGGTATGCTAATGCTACTGAGATTCAAGAAGCTACTGCCCTAGAAATTGCAAAGGCCTTAAAAGCAATAATAACTCCATACATGTTAAGAAGAACAAAAGCAGAGGTTCAAGAATTTATTCACCTGCCAGAAAAGAATGAGCAGGTACTCTTCTGTGCTCTATCTCAAGAACAAAGAGACTTGTATATGGGTTACCTAATGAGCTCAACTGTACGATCTATTCTGGATAAAGATAACAAGCTAGGAGATCCACTTAGAGCTAGAATTCTAGTTGCATTGTCAACATTAAGGAAGATTTGCAATCACCCTGATATTTATCTTTATGAAGCATTTGATGATAGTCAAGAAGTCAATGAAGAAACATTTGGCCATTGGAAGAGATCTGGTAAAATGTCTGTTGTTCACTCATTACTTAAAATTTGGCACAAGCAAGGACACAGGAGTTTAATTTTTACTCAATCCCGAGCTATGCTCTGTATTTTAGAGCAACATTTACAGAAGCATCAGTTTAAATACCTCAGAATGGATGGCACTGTAAGTGTTAGTCAAAGACAAAGCATGATTAAGACTTTCAATGAAAATGCAGAATATTTAGTATTTCTAGCTACTACTAGGGTTGGTGGTCTAGGTGTTAATTTAACTGGAGCGGATAGGGTAATCATATATGACCCAGATTGGAATCCAGCCACTGATAATCAGGCTAAAGAAAGAGCATGGAGGATAGGGCAGCAAAGAAATGTTACAGTTTACAGACTTCTTTCTGCTGGAACAATAGAGGAAAAAATTTACCAAAGGCAAATATTCAAAAACTTTTTAAGCAACAGGATACTGGTAGACCCCAATCAAAAAAATGTTCTTACAACAAGTACCTTACAAGGTCTTTTTACTCTTGAAGAACTGAATTGTGAAGGAGATACAGAAACTGCATCCCTGTTCAAACATACAAAAGTTGCTATTCATGAAAAGAGAAAATTAAATTGCAAGAAAAATACTTTAACATTGGCTAAAAATAAAATAGCAGCAATGAAGAAATTAGCTAAGCAAATAAGTAGAAAAATTGCCAAATCAGCAGAATCTAAAGCTGCAGTAACGGAAGATCCTAGAGAGGCATATAAAAAGAAAAGGGAACTGACATTACACCCTCCACATCAAGAAGAAGCACCAAAAGTTAATACACTTGATGGAAAGGCGGTGAATGCTCCATTTGAAAATGTGTTGTCTGAATTAGACATAATAAATCAACATGTAAAAAAGGATTATGAAGAGAACCTAATAAATGAAACCCTTAACAAAGCTGAAGTTGAAGTCTCTTGTATTGAAGAGGAGGTAGTAGGCAATACAGAAAATAAAGTTGATATCACTGAAACACTAACAAAGACAAATAGTGATGATAATGAGAAAAGTAGAAAAAGAAAACATTCTGAATCAGAACCTAAAATAGAAAGTTTAGTTGCTGTTAAGAAAGTGAAACTTAAGAAGGATAAAAAAGAAAAAGATAAAAATCTAAATGATGATGACTATGTTCTAACTAAACTATTTGCAAAGGCTGGTGTAAAAAATGCCTTGCAACATGATGTAGTTGTCGGTTTAGCTGAAAAGGAGAAACGATTAAGAATGAAAGAAGAGGCTACCATGAAAGCGAAGAAAGCTGTTCGAGCTTTAAAGTTTTCGTCGTAAATATATTAAGTTCTAATAAGAATTACTTTTGTACCTTAAACATGATTATATGATTTCTAGAGAACATTATATTTTTTTTCTCGCAGAAATATAATCTATTTTCTTACGACTCACGACCGTAAATTGTGATTTTTATCTTAAAATATTATAAATGTGATAATTTACACTATCGAAAACGAAAATCGAATTTCGATCTATTTTAAATTATTTTCTGTATAATGTTTGATTGACCACAGACTTATTCTAAACTGTCAAGCACCATGTCAATTTTGAGTTAAATAATTAATTGAACAAGGTTGAAGTCGAAATCGAAAGAATTATTTAATAAATACAGCGTTAAAGATAATACTAACACTGATTAAGGTTTCTTATATTTTGGCGAGTATGCTGATCAACAGGAGAATCATTTGTATTACATATTACTAACACGAGTCTTATCGTATCGCGCTATTGGCTTTGGTAGACGTTAAGGTCTAAATTGAAATTTAAGGCTTGATTAGGATTGAATAACAGTGCCATAATGTCGAGCAGAAGGAAGCCACCACCTCCAGGGTTCAATTTTAAACCTCAGGAGGAACAAGTGGATGTGTAAGTAATCCAGAGTGGAAGATGTAATTTCTTACTATTGTTATGAATGAAAATTAGCTTTAAAATTAATCTTTGTATCGCTACAATTGCTTAAGTAAACATTATGTAGCCAATATTTGTAAAGCCAAGTCTTTTTGTAGCAATTGTTAGTGTAGAAGGTAGTCAATGTTAGGAGGCACCACCTTCTAACTAGAAGTTAAGGTCAACTTAATTAGAATTTGAAATATTAAACATAATTAACAGTTTCAAACGCAGAATATATTTGTGAATTTATTTTCAATCAGAATTTCTAAGTAGAAATGTTAGGATCTTCACCCAAATTTATAGTTATGTTGCTCTGGATTTTACTGTAAAAGCTATATGTGTTATGTACTTTTTGTTCCTTCTAGTACTCCCCCAAGAAACCTTGACAAACAAACTACTATTACAGTAGATGATAAAACATTTACTGTACATGCTGATGATTTGGTAAAGATATGTGACCTTGGCCGAGGTGCCTATGGTATTGTGGAGAAAATGCACCATAAACCTAGCAACACCACTATGGCAGTTAAGGTAAAATACATACATACAATTATTTAATCTAAATTAAAGAAGTATTTAACTCAAAAGTCTTAAGTATATAATTTAACCAAAATTGAGTATTGTACCTTCTTACAAGCAAAAATCTACTCAATCTTGAGGGATATTTCATTAAGACTTAAATAATATCATTTTGGACTATTAACTAAAAGGGTGTAATTCACTTATTTACCTTTATTCTCTTTTAGAGAATATCAGCATCATTCAACAGTCAGTCCTTGGAACTTAAGAGATTGTTGATGGATCTTGATGTGTCTATGAGAGCTAGCGCTTGTCCATACACAGTTCACTTCTACGGCGCTATGTTCCGAGAAGGAGATGTTTGGATCTGCATGGAAGTTATGGATATGAGCCTTGACAAATTCTACACAAAAGTATACAAGAATAATAAAACTATCACTGAAAATATCCTTGGCAAAATAGCCTTTTCAGTTGTCAGCGCATTGCATTACCTTTATTCAAAATTGAGAGTCATTCACAGAGATGTCAAACCTTCAAACATCCTTATCAATAGAAAAGGAGAGGTTAAAATGTGTGATTTTGGAATTTCTGGATATCTAGTTGATTCGGTAGCTAAAACTATTGATGCAGGCTGCAAACCTTATATGGCACCTGAACGAATTGACCCCACTGGAAACCCTGGACAGTATGACATCCGAAGTGATGTTTGGTCACTTGGTATATCAATGATTGAATTAGCGACTGGAAAATTTCCTTATAACACGTGGGGTACTCCCTTTGAACAATTAAAACAAGTGGTGAAGGACGATCCACCTAGGCTTCCAACTGGGCAGTTTACTTCGGAATTTGAGGATTTAATCACAAAATGTCTACAGAAGGACTTTAAGAAACGACCTAACTATGACGCCCTTCTAACGCATCCGTTCTGTCTAGAACATAGTCAAAAGGAGACAGACGTTGCATCATTTGTCCAAGAAATTCTTGATATACCAGATGACTCCTAGTACTAAAATCTATAACTACTTACCGATAAGTACAAGTTTAGTTACTAACAATTTATTCTATGGAGAGAAAACAATCAACACTAAACATTATGCTAAGTCATCTGATAATACTATTGAGCAGACCACAGAAATGGTCAATTAACTTTAAATATACACAATTAAAACATTTCAACTAAATGAAACGCGATATTTATAGCGTCATCTGGTACATAATAATCCCGTGTTGACCCGATGAAGTGGCTTTATTGAAAAAATGGCAATTGTATGGTTTTTGGTCTCCAATGAGTTTGAAAACATTCATAGTATATTTGTTTGTAATTGTTAAGGAGTCATGTAGATACATGCGCATAATAATTGTAAGTGTAAATTCTAACCTCAAAATGTGGCTTCAGTCAGCTCATTTTGTTAGGACTGCTATTTATATAGCATTAGTTATACATCACAAGTAAATTAGTGGAAATAAAGATATTTGTTTAAACCATCTGTATTTTATTGAAATATTTATTAAAAATTGTCATTTTAAATAAATTAAGTACAAAATAATCTTATCTACTCTTAGAACTATAGTCATGATATAAGATTTGTAGGTATTAAGCGTAATTGACTAGAAGTTGTATTGCTTCTTAGAATGGTGAGTTCATTCCCAGTTTGGTGCCAAAGTCTAATCTGGCACGTCGTTGGTTCCTTTCGTCCACTCTACAAGAATAGAAAAAAAAATGTCCTTTTATTAGAAATTCGAAAAATAAACGAAACTAGAGCCCCACTGCCGAAAATGCATACATCTATGGCACAATGTAAATTCAACCCTAACTATTGGTAGGCAAAATTCGCTCAGGTAAAGTCTAAAGATGAAATTAAGAAGTGTTTACTTTTATACAGTTTACTTTTATTATTTCTTCCACATATTCCTCTGTACCTCAGCTCCTATTGGTCGCATCATGTTTTATAGCCAAAAAAAGCCTTGCTCGATAAATGCTCTAGCTAGCACAACACAAAAAAATTCTCAATTCGATCCAGTAGTTCCCGAGAAAAGCGCGTTCAAACAAACTCTTCAGCTTTATAGAATTTCTATATTTTATCAACCAAAATAAAGCAAGGTCTTACTCAATTTCCTGATATTTAATTAGTTCGTTCAGTATAAGTGCAAGTATGGGCGACACAGCATAACCGACGAGCAAGGGCCATTCCAAGTGGTACTCTGGACAGGGCCAAGCACCGCAGGACCCATAACTTTGATTTGACAGCATCGTACCACTGAATATACTCTGTAATATTACCCTGTAAGACATTATTAATATGTCACTATTTACTTCTTAGGTAAGATCAAGTCTAACAGTTTAAAACGTTAATTAACCGAAATGTCGCGGTCATAGTGAAAGACGCGTTTTAAACCATCTAAAATGTTTAACTTAATGTGTTGCATGTGTTGATTAATTTTTTTATGTACTTCCGATCGCATAACCATAATAAAATAAGCAATAATAGAGAACAATAGCTTGAAAAGACAACTTACAAAACTACAACAGCGACGCACCAAACTTTGTTTGCCCAAAACCCCCTTCGCCATAAAGATGAGTGCCGATGTATAAATGATATCGATATGGCGACTGAAAAACAGAATTTTCATACATACGGTTTAAAAATTTACGGGTTGTTCTCTGCTAGATTGATAACAACAACGTCGAAGAGTTTTGATTAAATTATGCAAGAATTACTTATAAGTATAAGAGTTCTATCATTTATTTGGTAAAATACAATATTTATTTATGTGCTATCGTACGTACACACAAAAATGAATATTATCTACTATCCGACTTACGAATTTTTTATCCTTAAAAAGTGTAAAGCTTTCATTTCGAAAAATAAGTAATCATTTCTATTAAAAGTCTGTCTCAAAATGTTTTTTTTTCCAAATTGAATATAAATTATTAGATTACTAAATTCAATTAAATTTAGATATTTCAAGAACGATCATTTATTTAGTAGGTTTGAGTCCTGTCAGTTTTAGATTAGTTTTTGTAATGTCAAACGAAACGTTACATACACTAAAACTTACTTAGATGCAAAGTTACCAACGCCAAGGTAATGTGCTGCGCCAAATAAAATCCTTCATAGAACAGATCGCCCCACCCGTGCCAACTGTGCAAAGTCAGATCGTGATCGATAGAGTAATTCCCTGTGTTGATCGGGTACACCAACCAACAGCCTGTGCTGTTCGTGGCGACTGATATTTGTTCGCAAAAGCTGCGCAACGTGAAACCGTATAGAACTAATATCGATATCACTGAGGGTAGAAACTTGCAGGCGTAACACCAAAACACGAATAGCGCCATCTGTTGAGGAAAATATTAAGCTTTTTTAAGGAAAAAAGATTTAGTAAATAATAAATATACATTAAATAATAGATTTGAATAGGTACAAGGAAACCACCGAATTTTAATAATATCTGTCAAGCTTTTTTACTATAAATCTATCCCGTCTGATACTCATTTATAACTTTAAAAATAATTATTGTACTGGCGTACTAAGCTATAAACTATTTGTCACAGAGCATAATGTGCAATTAGATCAACTTTATAAATATGGCAAACTTAACACTCGGAAATACGACATTTTTATGAAATCAACTACCAAATTTCATATAACAGTTTTAGTGGAACAAAATATTGCGTGTTTTTTTTTAAAATGCCACTTAAATTTATTTTTATTTAAATTATTCCAACTTTTGGCACCTAAAAGCACTATTTCTGAAAAACGTATCATTTTAATACGGGCACCTTAGCAGTGAATTCCAATGGTGGTCTGGTAGCAGCGCGCTGCATAACATGCCTATCCGCGGGAGTGAAAGCCAGCGACGTCGCTAGTAACGGCACGCTAGCAGCACTGCACCACATCGCTCCGCCGGTATTTAGCACAAGGGGTAGAAACGCGTAGAGTGAGAACACCTATTTAAAAATCGTATGACTTAAAAAACAGTGAAATTCCGTTCCACTCTTTGGGGCATGGGACAAACACTGTTTTTAGAGGGAAAAAAAAAAAAAAAAAAAAAAATAAACACATTTCTGTGTCCGTTTCGCGGATCGATACAAAAAAATAGATCTATAATCATTTTTGGGTACCAATAGATTTTATAGACCGATCACATGATTCGTGTTTCTAACAGTTTTTGATTTCGGATATCCATAGTCAAGTAAGTGCGTGTAGCGCGTCTAGCGTAGATGTTACGGCTGTGGTATTCCGCCTCCCATCAAGTGAACGACATGCTTGTCCATTTTATCATTAAAAAATATGACTCCAGGGTCCGAACTTTGTAAATTCAACAATTGCTTTTTTTTAAAAAAAAAAAGTTTTTTTTAAGGTTTTTTTAAAAAATTTTTTGGGGTGTTCGGCGATCCCATAAGTCAGACCGCTACTCGGATGTTTAAAGAGATAATTACGGCTATTTACAGCTTAGTCTGTTCTGTCTGCTGTCTGTCTGTTTGACAATACATAGGGGAGAAAAGAAACTTAATTATCATTTCCTTATTTGACAAAAAGCCTGCTAATGACTATGTATTTTCAATGTACTGATATTGTCTTAAACGGTACCTGCAAAAGGGATATAAAGCAAGCACTGCAGATCCAGAACTGTGTGCAGTTCCAGAGGCACGCGGTAAAATGTCTCGACATCGTGATCAATGTGAACAGCGACACGTCCGTCTCGCGCGCCATCTGTTGTTTGAAAAGAGAAAACATTAAAAAATACACGATCATGTTAAATATAATAATTATGTAAGAGAATATTAAAAATTAAATGACGTAAGTGTTTTTTCAATTTTTATTAGACAAACTTTGACAAACATTTGTCGAAGTGGTAAATGATTTGACTATGGAGTTATAGAATAAACTGCACTAAATCAATAAAAAATTTACTCACGTGGGTAAATCCAATTTAAATCAAAATGACGTAAATTTTTATTCACGATCAGATTTTAAATTAAGAGCGTAGACGGATCGAGAAGAGCTGACAAGAAAGTAGCCCATGATTCTTATCACCGATTTTGTATATAATAAAATATAATTAGTTAATAAAAACTAAAAACAATTATTGTGGAATGGTTATAAATATTTAAATAAAACACCTTAACGGTTTAAAACGCGATACATATTTAAATATATAAAGTTAAAGTGTTTTATTTAGTGTACTACTCGCGTAAACTACATACAGTATTTCGTTAGAAATAAAATGGTTCTAATCGATTAATAAGATTTTTTTTTTACAATTGGTAACATTTATCTCACCTGTGGACTGCAGTAATTCGTATAAGGATTGTGTTGCCACTTATTTTTTAACTTTAAAAGGGCAGCGTGCAAGGAAAGTTGCAGATTAGATAGGGTCTTTGTAACCATAGATATTTAAGACTACATCAATGTATACGAGGTCTCTACACTAATTCTATATACGTTTAAGGGGTACTATATTATACATAACACACTTTCATACACTTGCAAGAGCCTAGTATATTTAGACGTTCTAAACCTCGATCTGCAGAATAATTTGAGATTTCGGTTTTATAACACGACATCGAAGCTATAATTTATTAATAAATTGTGTAAGGCTTTCACGCCAATAGTTCAATATATCATTGTCGTTGGTTCTGTTCGGCCGATGTGAGCGAGGAGAGGTTGGCATCAGGAGACGTGCTAACTCTTCGATTGCTCCAAGAATTAGTGATAGCGAAACGTCGAGAACCTCTTCTCGCTCACGTCGGCCAAACAGCCCGAAAGATAATGAATGCTATAATTTATTAATCTATCCAGACGTCGCAGTGCTACTAAAACACACACGCCTTCAATTAATTAAAAAAAAAGTAATTCATAAGCTGGTTTAGTTTAGCAAAAGCATGTAATATAAAATCAATGTACTTATATTGTGCAATGCCCGCGAATACAGATAGCTGAGGAGAAGAATAATTAGTATTTTGTTCACACACATATAACTCCTTAAATTCATCAGAAAACAATTAGCCACGCCTGGACGTAGCGATCAACAAGTTTTTGTATTTGCAAAATGCATTTATAATGATCCTCTTATGGACAAACAACCACACCATTTAAAATATGTATACTTATTTAAACAAAATACTTTGAACGGTTTAAAACGCGAACCAGTTACTTATTTAAAGTTAAAGCAAAGCATTTAAAACTACGGCGCGACGTTTAAGATGCTTTGCAACACCCGTGGTCACGGGGGGACAGACGATGGAGATGGACAGAGAATGGAGAGTGTCTAATGTCAAAGTCAAAATCCGCTACGCTAGCGCCATCTTTTCCCTCGTAGTTGGTATTTGGAGAAATTCTTTAGTTAAAATGGATTTTAAATAACTTTACTTAATACATTTCGCTTTTTACTCCGTTAAAAGTGTTTTATTTAAAGGTGTCCTATTCGCGTAAACTAAACAGACAGTACTTAAGCTTATTATCTAAAGTAAAGCGCTCACCGATAGAGAGCAGGGTAGCGAGTTCAAAGCCCGGGCGAGGTCGATTGGTCCAATACAGCCTTGTGGTAGTCGGTAGGGCGGTAGTTTTTGGCATAGGACCGGGTACAGTGGTTCTACTGCAACACTGTAAATAGATGTGTATAATATCATTGAGGCTATACCAGTAAGTTTATAACTAACTTGCGTTGGAACAGCTTTGTTTCTTCCTGCGTTACATTATTAAACAATAACACATGATATGATTTTTGTTTAAAATCAATTATTGTTTAAGCCAGCAACAAAAATAAATAAAATTTTATTTATGTCTAATATATAAATGTTTCAGCGTCGTAAAATGTATCGAAAACTGTTGAAGTGTCGTTCTTAGACGGCATCCCTATTTTCACACTTGAGGCGCTAGTTTAGAATCTTTTGAGTAATCTTTGCAGTTTAAAACAGACACGAACTAATGTCCAAAAAGAGACATAACTGGCTTTAGTACCAGTTTTTAGGGCTGCCAAATTAAAATGTGTTAGCTACCTACACCCCCTACGTTGTACACCCCGTGCAGTATGTTAATAAAACCTTCCGAAGTAATATTACATTGTAGAAACTAAGCTGTTAAGCTTTTTCGAAATCTGCGCATAGGAGTTTTTAATTAAAAAAAATTACCTTAAAAATTAAGGATTTTTAATATTTGTGGAAAGTATCAGTACCTAGCATCCGCTTGCATAAATATCTCCATGTTGAGACAATTCGCTGCCGATCCCATCACGCACACAACTTCACCGTAATCCTGAAATTTTATGAACATGTTGTGAAATATTTTGTTGTTTGTGAAAGTTGTAACTACATGTTACCTTTGTGCACCTACATTGTTAATTAAGCAAAACAAATAGTGTAAAGCATTTTTTTAATACCCTAGAACCACATTCGGTATTTCATTGTTAATCGTACCTAGATGAACCCTGTGGGTCTTTATACACATATGTCCCTTAGTGTGTGTGTGTGTGTTTTCTATAACATCTTGAACTGTTGATGATTTAACATAAAAATGGTGCTAGTCATTTTTGAATAAACCTTTTTCGTCAGAAGCAGTTAGTGGGGAGGAGGGATTGGTCTCACTCGCTTGCCTGGCTTGGTATGTTTAGTAGCCATGATAAATTTACCGCATCGTCCGTTTTGCTTGCATTTTATATAAACAACGATTCCTACATTCTTCGTCTCTATAGGACACTTATTGATTAACAAACTTAAGATATGTGCCAAGTTAAATTATGTTGGGTGTGCAAGTTTGGAAAGACTGGGAATACATACACAAGAACATCAAGAAAGAGCATGAACGTCGACCGCGTTTGCCAGTCTCTTGTGGATGACCCACGACAGTCGTTGAAATTGCACGCGTTTTCTCTTAATTTAAACAACTCTATGGTTTTTAGTTCGGTCAGTTCCATACTTGCATAATCTGTATCATCCTTTGCACAGACCGCGGAGTGCAGTCTGTGAACAGCGAGACAAGGAGAGGCACGTTGTCCACTTGCTCTATGTGAGGACGAATATTTTCAATGCCTCGCGGTAGTTTTGCCTGGAACATATTACGATTTATTTATTGGTGCTTTAAGAAATAAGTATGAATAACATATACAAACGAGGAGATATGAAATTGGCATTGATTCCATTGAAAATATTAAAACATTTCGGCTTAGGCTTGTCTGTTAACTATATTTTATTTTGAGTATTTATAAAAATTGCATACTATATTAAATATAGATATGAAAAGATGTTTAAATTATTTTATTAAGATGGATATATTTTTATTAAACACACAGCACACCGTACACAAAATCATATAACGAAATTGATGCGCTAACTTACCAGCAGATGGCAGTGTACTAAAAAAGTTCTTACTCGATTGCTCATATCAAAATGTAACGGCGCAGAGTGGTCTGTGGAATCAGTAAGACAGGATAGTGACCGGCAGGCATCACCAGGGGACTCCGTTCCCTCGTCTTCCAGTACTGAGTCGGTCGATCTTCCTCCTGGAATGCTGTTCCGCTCCAGGTGCTAAAGATGTCACGAGTTAGTTACCCATGTACCACATGGGTGCTACTATATACATGTACGGTTCGCAACGGTTCATTTGTAAGAAAAATGGATTAAAAGGAAAAAGCTTTGTAGATATTTTAATCGGGATTGCAAGGGTGATTTGTGGCACCAACGTTGACGGTAGTTGTATACAATCGCAATATTTTAATTAAATCATATATTTTTTTACAGACAATGATGATTATTTGGTAAACATTGTAAATAAATTTGAATTCAAAATGGAAATTTCATCAATCAATTGTCCTCATAAAACCTCGTTTAAGATCCCTCAGAAGGCGTTAGACTCATGAAGAGAACAGCAATCAAATCTAGTGCCACAATCATTCTATATACACACTCGTCAAAATAAAAATCTTTCGTTAAAGTGCGCTGTGCAAACGTGGTGCAAAGGCAAATATTCTGTTACGGGGACCTAAATTAATATTAATAAAATCCTTACCTTCAAAGTATTCTGTGTGGTAATTGAATGTCTGTTCTTCTTAATTTCGTTGTCAAACTTGACAGTTCCTTGTTCCAAATTAATAGCACCCGGGGCGGACATCGACAACGCTTTTGAAGATGTAATATTACCACTGTGTAATTAAATTTAAGATGAAAACTTTAATACTTTTACATGTTATTGCATATGATGGCAATGTGTAAATATATATGCATGTATCAATTGGTTAAAAAGAAATTCGACGATGAGGTGTAGGACTCTATAGCTCAATTAGTTAGAACAACAGGTCGGAACGCTGACGATGCCGGTTCAAGTCCTGCCCGAGTCGAAAATATTTCAACTTATTTTCGATTTTCATTTTACATTTGGGTTTCATATATTAAAACAAAGTACTTGATAATATCAAACTTTAGAAAGAGACGCATGACCATTTTTGGTATCAGTTAATAAAGAATTGTTGTTAATATGTCAAAGTAGACCTTACGTAGAAACTCTATCGGTCTCTTTCTTGCAAAGAGATACATGTACTGTGTCTATGGAACAGGCATTAGTGCATAAGCACGTATATACGACCAAACTATCAAATATTCTTAGATTTTTAAGTATAACTTAGTATTATTTAATTCTATAAATTAATATATTGGTGTAAAGTGATACATGTAACAATTTGTGTGTTAGCAAAGCGAAATCATAAAGAGCCTTTAGCAATAAACTACCCATGGTTAATTGTGAAATTTAAATCGTGACCAATACAGGTACTAAATTATTACCACTTCACATTAAACCTTATGCCAGCTAACGTGAAGTTGATTTTCACTTTTGAAATATTAGACAATAACTATTGTACACGATTTAGTGAAATTTTACAGATTAACCATAGGCTGTCCTTAGCTAAATTATTTTTTTAAATAAAGGCGAAATACAGATAGAAAAACAAATGAAAATTAGAAGCAGCATATCATGTCTCTTGGAAAAATTAAAAATAACTTCAAATAAATAATACGTTATATTACGTTATCGTTTAGTATTTAAGTTTACTATGTAACATAATATCTCAATTCTCATATTCTTTAATAGAGAATATACGGTAGAATAATTTGCCATTTTAGATAATTATATAATAATTAAAATATATTAATATTAATAATATATATGACCACGAAATTAAAAGTGAACCTCGATTTCGCTTAAAACAATCGCAGCAGACATGTACTGTAAAACTACAACGTAAGAGATATGACATGCGCAAGCGCAGGTTAAAACAACGAACCTATAAGGAAAGGCGTCACCCGTATCGGGTCTAGTGAGTTGCGTGGCGGTGTTAGGACGCTCGCGTGACAGCGTTTGAGACGACAAGGGCGAACTCGGCTTGCTGTCGACAAGTTTATCTCTCAATTATTATTAGAGTTATCACATTTGTTTGTACATTAATAACAATAAAAATTTAGTTAATCATTAAGTTGTATTATTTACATAATGATTTAAATACACACTTAGTCGTTGTTGTTACAGAATAGTGTAGTACTTTCTTATGTTAAGCTATCTGAATAGTTAAATAACACACTCGGTGTAAAGTTTTTACGCTGTAGCATGCATTTAGGCTGTGTAAGCCATCAAAAAACGTCATTATAATCTGTGACCATGACTATTGTATGTGTTAGAAATTAATATTCGTTGCTCTTCGAGTTGAAAATTTGCTTGAAATTAAGATAGAAAGAAGTAATCTATAAAAAAATCAAATACACAACATCTAACATCTTAAATCAAATTTCTAGAAATTATAAAAGATGTCGCTGTGTTCAGTGTTTTTGTGTTTTGTAATACTTTAGTTTCTTAGTGATAACTATTGAGATTTAAAAAGTATAAAGTTTGCTTGTTCAAAGTATAACAAAAAATCTAAAGTAATTAATTTAATTCAAATTTACATCCTACTTTATTAGACACATTCTAATAGGTTTCCATTGCACTCCTTTGTTTATAGCTATAGAAATGTATAGTGTATTTTTTCTACTTGGCATTTTTGGTAAATGAACACAATACATAAAATCTCTTTTTTCTCACAAGGTTTACATTTATTCGCACTAAACACTTTGTGACAATGGATTATTTATTAAAGTAATGAAATAATATACTCCCATTAATTCACTTACTAAAAATCACTATTTCATGTTAAAATTAATAAAAATAAATTGGGTTGAAATCGGCCTTTTTTGTTGTGCTCTTTTGCCCAGTCTTGTAAAATATAATATTTTTTTATATTACATAATATTAAATGAATCTTTTTGTTGCTTGACTATAACCAAGATTTATTAACATACTTACCTCTGTGGCGGCTGGCTCATGAGCGAAATATGACAATTCCAGCCAGACTCCAATCCCATCTTCTCGCTAAAGACTCGTGACCTCAGCTCATTCTCCTTGCTGAAATGCACAAACCGTATGCATGCGCGCTCCAATCGCTCTATCAGCTCTACCATGTCGCTTTGCGCCTGGTATTGCATTGTTACCATGCCTATGAAAACCTAGAACATTCATAAATATAATTATTTGCTAGTAAATACAAAAATATAAAAAGTCATTATTGAATTAAGAATCGATTTTAGATTAATTTTTTTTTCAACGGGCGTCTACAGCGTTCCGTGCTGTTGCTCTTACCAATAAAGCTACAATACCCTACACTACGTCATCGACTTTTTCAAAATCTATTGAAACTTGCACCTCTCACGCAATGTATTGCGTATTAAATTTTTCTTTTCAAACCGAATTCGATTTTTAAATATTAAATAAATAATGTTCTTGTATCGTATTGCAATATTGTTTTTTCTAAAAAGTAATATTGCAAGATTTACTCGTAACCACACATTAGAATCAAAACAATTTAGATTCTGTGAAATCAACCATTTGTATTAATTTTGTATCTGTAAACGATGCAATGGCAGGAAACCTTAATTGAGAAAAAGATCAAAATATACCTGGTTACACTGCAGGTCGAAGTATCCGTCTACGTCGGTCACATCGTCATCTGTCACTTCGTTAAATAGGAGGGAATCTGAAAAGGTGAAAGATATATTATACCCCATGTATGTGTTATCTCGTGATTCAAACTCATACCCTCCCCCCCCGCTTAACGTAAGGCTAAAGGTACATAACCTATTTAAATCCTAACTAAAAAACTACTAACGAACCGCGGGTCTCGGGAAATCTAGTACTCCATAGTCTATCAATTTTCTAACCTGTTGAATGGAAATGTAGCGCCGGCGCATCTGCCCACAGCTGGGAATGTGGTGCGTATAGCTGGCGACTGTCAGCAGGCAGCTCGAGGTATGTTTGCGCAAGGGACGGCGATATATTTCTTGTGATGGGCCTATTAAAAGTAAGTAATAGACAACAAACGAAACGCTCGTATTAGTCACAGGTCGATGTTTTATTGCCTATAGCCTTCCTCAATAAATACTCTAAACAACACAAAGAATTTTATAATTCAAACCCGTAGTTCCTGATATTAGCGTGTTCAAACAAACAAACAAACTTTCTAACTCTATATATTAGTATAGATAATAGCTATTTTTTGGTTTATGTAACAAAAAAATATACGTGCTTATAAGCAAATGCTGTGCAGTACGCTGTAAGGGAATTCCTTTGATAGAAATCGATGATTTTCTTCCTGTCTGATGGGGATATGGGTGTTAGATCTTTCCCGTTCCAGTAGTCCACGCACGAATCGAGAACTATGTCTGCCGTACCCTGCAACATTTACGAAACGTAGTTATGTAATATATATAACACTAGCTGTTCCCGCGACTTCGTCTGCGTGGAATAGTGACTTGGGGTAGAATGTAAAATTATTAAGGAAGTTTATTAATTTATGTAAGGACGCATTTAAGGTAGCCAATTTATGTTGTAAGTGCTACTTTGCCGCAAAACTCTCACCTCACATCACTCCTACGCTAACTCCCACTCTCACTCTCACTCCCACTACCACTCCTATTCCCAAAAATCCAAAGAAGGAAGTTTCATTGTCTTCAAAAACCACGAATTTCCATACAAACTTTACAACAAAGTGTGTTATTTAAAGGCAAGTAGTTAATCAGACTTCTTTAAATTGTCCGAATAAAACAATGTATTGTCTCTCCTGGAATTCGAACCCAGGACCTCTGGTGCTTAACGCAATACTATGCAGTACTTTGAAGCTAAACATTTAGCTACAGAGTCGGTTAAAAGTAAAGGAAGGGCTGAATAATTATTATTTACTATTATTATTTAATTTTATTAAATTATCTTATATATTAAAATTTGTAAACAGAAAGCAACTATTGTACTATATTGAATAAACTGAATGAAACGCCATTAAGTGAGGTGAATTAACAATATACCTGTGTTAACATCTGCAGTTGATTCGCCTGGTCCTTAACTATAACAGCGAGCATATGCGGTAAAGGCACTTTCACACGCGTACTGAGATGAAGGGAGCGTACGAAAGCGTGTTTCGCGCCTTATTGTATCCGCTTGCTGAAATTTTTTATTAAAATTAAAAAAATAGTATAATGTACAGGTAGTGTGGAATAGTATATAACAAATGACTATTTTGTTTTGCAGGATGAAGTAACTATGGGCTTGTGCGGTCATGTCTGCCGAAGTTAAGATGGCGTTATGCAAGCACGACAAAGTAGGCGTAGCACTAAAGTAGTAACAAGTCTAACAGTTATCCGGCTCAAAGGACCAAATCGAAAATCTGTAAAAAAATAAATAAACCTAGTTGAACTTAACAGACTCTTACCAAATGTCTAAAAATGGCCAGACATTCCTGTGTTGTGTAGGCATCTATGACTGAGTCATTAAACCCGATTTGCTTCGCAAGTTCACACAGACAACGACGATTCGTTACCGGCACTAAATCTTCGCTGTAATAAGACAACCAATTCTTCTATAAATTTTATGAATAATTTTGAAAGATTTAATGCTGTGTAATGTTTACCAATAAATGAAATCCTTTAGAAATTATATATAGTTGTTGTGCTACGTTAGCAAGGACTTATCTATTCAATTAATCATCTATTATTTTATAGAATCCTATAAACTGCACAGCATATATGACAGAAAACAAACCATAAACAATGGCACAATTGCCATCCTAAATTAGACAAAGCATCTTAAACCTGATGGAGTATATGTACCTGTATTGTGCTTCACATGTGAGATGCGCACAGAAATGCGCATAGTTGTGCGTGTGTTCGGGCGCGCAAGTGTTCAATAGCGCGGCTAAGCCGAGCGGTTTGAGTCGTGTAATGTGCTGCCGCCATCTTTGCTCGTCGAACTCGACGCGAAATGGCGCATTTTGATCGTGAGTCAAATCGAGTACCTGTGACGACAATGAAAAATAAACAAGGATATAAATAAAGAAAACTATTAAAATAACAAATTTGTATTAAATTAAACGTCAATATAAAATTGCTGAACAACTTTGTTATAAATTAAAGCTTTAAAAAGACAATATATTTAAAAAGTATGTAAGAAACGGTCATTAATACGGGCACTGAACGTGTTTTAGGATGACATTATAAACCGGGTGAACCAAATGCCTCACACGAGGACATGTGAGATGTCATGATGCCATTTATAACATTTACCAAAACGAATGGATAGTTTTTTTAAGTCATTGATTTGTTTCTTTATTTTCATAATAATACAGAATGGCTTTGTTAGGACTCTTTTAATCTTTTAATACTTGTGAATTAATAAACCAAACCTCAACGATAGTAGACGGTTCTGGATTATTCCTGTCCTGCAATTGATCTAGTGTAGTATCACTCTGATGCCCCATAGATGTTACAAGGCTGGTCTTGCTAGAATTATTTGAAGCAGGACTTGAATTACGGAGAAAAAACACTTTCTCCGCTGTTGGGTTTGGCCAAGATAGGATACCCTTTTTATCTACACAGCATAATGCCTGAAACAGTGTAAGAATATTTAAAGTAGACAAAAATAACGTTTTTAACGCGGGTAGTACACATGTAAATGAAACTTAACGGTTTAAAACGCGTATTATATTGTTAACAAACATAAAGTGTTTTATTTAAAGGGACAGTTTGCTTTTATCTACGACAGCGACATAACGACTTAATAATTATATATTATTTTAAATGACGTTGACGTTCGTAATAAATACATTATTTTTTAAAGGATTACTCCTTACCGATAATGATCCCAAAACATGAACAATGTTAGACGTTCGCGTGACCATATCCTCCCTCCCAAAGAGGATATTGAAGAATGTTTTTCCCAGCGTTTTCATTATTTGTGGATGCAGAGTGGACTCACTTAAAGCTTGAATCAGAGGATCGCTCGCGTCCTCTGATATGGAACATGATTTCGGACGGGTGTATTTCTGTCGTACCTCAGATATTGATTTGAATCTGAAATTCATTGAATATCTAAAATAAATTTGGGTCTTGATGGACCCTGGTCTGAAGTTTGATTAAGTACCTTTAATTGTTTATGTTACACTAATATATATAGCTGAAGGGTTTGTTTGTTTGAACGCGCTAATCTCAGAAACTATTCGATCAGGTTCGAATTGAAAAAATATTTTTGTGTTGGTTAGACCATTTACCAAGGAAGGCTTTAGGCTATAAAACTACTACTACTACTAGGATTGAACACATAGCAGATAATTTGGAAAAAAAGGGGAAATTATTCATCTTTGTGGGTTTCCGATGGGTACGATGAGAGAACGGTTCAAAATAACTATTCTACGCGGACGAAGTCGCTGACACAGCTAGTTTTTGCACACACCATTTGTATACTCACGTCTAGCGCAATGTAATTTCAAACTAAATACTTACGTATTGAGATTAAATGTATTATGATTTGCTTAAGATGAAGATGTAATTACATGGTCCCACGTTTGAAAACTTTATTATTTTTCACATATTATTGCACACGATGACATTATAAAAAAAATGTTCGAAAAACATTTGGTTGTCCTGTTTACATTTGTTTATGGTCATCACTTTCATTGACTTTATGATACTCAGTCGCAAAGATACAATAAAAAATATAATATAATTCTTCGTACTTACCTAGCTAATCCGTAACAATTAAGTGTTACCCAGGCTATAGGAAATATTATCTGTAGTAAAGGCAGTGAGGCAGCTATGGTCTGGAGGAAGTATATCTCAGTCCAATGCGTCACACCAGGGAGGTGGTATATGTGACGGAATAAACTAGCAAATACCATTAAAAGGATAACTAACGGCAGTACTATTCCCTCCATTATTTTCACTGTGCACTGTAAAAAAATTAACATTGAAAAAAAAAAAGAAAGATAATTTCTTGTCAGAAGTAAATAAATTTAGGAGTGACAGCTGTGTCTTCAACCTAATCTGTGTTATTTATTTTTTTAACTATTTTACTTATAGCAGGTAGTGAATAATTAAAATGAAGCAACTTATAATTAAAAAATCGAAAATTAATTGTAAAATTTTTCGACTCAGCCAGGACTTGAGCCGGCATCGTCAGCGTTCCGTGCTGTTACTCTACCAATTGAGCTACCGAGTCCTTCACATCATCGTCCAATTTTTTCAACTTATTGATACATGCACCTCTCGCGCAATATAATTTAGGTCTCGGTCGGTATAGTCCCTTCCTGTGCATTAACATGTAAAAATATTAAAGTTTTCAAATTATGCAACTTATTAAACTTACCAAATACCTCTGCTTCTCAAAAACAGTGACTGGCCTAGTAGTAGCCTGCTCTAGCGCCAGCTTCAAATTCTTTAAGTAAGGTGTCTCACACATTTTGTATGCCTTGTTCTGATGTGGTGCCCGGGAGCGAGGCACACTAGAGTTCTCTTTAGCCTGAAAGAAAATCATTTCAAGGCCACGATTCACCTGTGGGCTGATTATTATGCAAAAATGTTGTGTAACACCGTACCTGTGACCCTGGAGTAAATATCTGCCCAAAAAATAATTCTGGGTCATCTGATTGCAATCCTTGACAATGCCCAGGAACTTCCTGACCAGGCCTTAATACTATAACATCTCCTTCCACAAGCAAAGCCCATGGTAAGTTTACTATTGTACCTATAATATTTAAAATAAAATATGAATATGGGTCACAGAAATATAGAGTTTAGTGTATGTATTTTTAGTATTTTTTTGTTGATTTCGTACACAGATAAACTTTTATGGATTTATATTTTACCAATAATAAATTTAATAAGATTTATTTTAATTCAAGAGTCAATGATCACAACCAAGTTAGGGTACAATATACAGAAGCTAATTACATCCAAGATAAACTTATAAATATACTGTAAAAATTATGTATAACCATCTCTATAAGTCCACTGCAATATAACACAAGGCGAGAAAGGAGCACACAAATGTGGATAATATTCTTCCTTCCAGAGGCATAAGTCAATTGCTTCATTTAATGTTTCTGAAACATGGAATTTAGGTAAAGATAAGAATAAGAAGTTTCCGGTTATTCTGTTATGGTACATAGAGTTACATTTTAGAAACATTTTGAAACATAACAGATGTTAAGTCTTAATAAGTTGGTGCATCTTGCTTCAATTGCATATTTGTGTATATTTAAAGAGAATACTTTTAGAGGAAATAACATTAATCATTATTTATTGCTTTAGTTCCCAATAAAGAGATAAAATAATTCATACAGTATATTAAAATATACTCACCAAGTACTTTTGCTATTCTGTGAGGTATTTCGTTTCTGTGTAAGTATTCCTCATTTAAGGCAACCAGAAAGTTAATAATCAGTATAAAAAATAAAAACAGTGCTTCCCACAATAAATAACCTTGGGCCAAAGCAGTACCATCAATTAAATAAGTCAGAATCAAACAAATAATGTTTATGACTGTTACCGTATACGCTACGCCGGAAAGGAGGACTTTTTCAGACGAAAATGATATAATATTTCGTATAATGTCAAACCTGGAATTAAATATGTAATTATATTTTTAAATAAACACAACACACAAGAGATAAAGGGGACAAACGATAACATAACAAAAGATAACATTAACTACCTAAGGGGATTCTTCTGCTTATGCTCTTCTATTACCCTTTGAATATCATCACGTAACTTTTTTAGTGCACTTTTCGTAGAATATCCTAATATTTGTTCGTTGGTATCACCCATTATTTAATGAGTGCTATCAATGGACATGTCCTAATTTATAGCAGATACCGATAGAACAGTAATCTATTATTCATTTTCTCTATTAAAAACTCACAGTATTAAACGAAAAAGAAATTTCAGGATTATTAATATCTTAACTCAAGGCGCGAGGGCTCAAAATAGTAATTTTTGTAAACATAAACCTCAACTGACACTTGTGGACAGTTGACATCGCTGAGTGTCACTTAGGTTGACATTGTAAAGTTAATAGATGATTGTCATTACTATATTAGTTTAGGAACTTACAATTTAATGTAATACACATAATATAAGAGTGTTAATTAAAAAACATACGAACTAAAATAATTTATTAATTATATTTCTAAATACCAAAAAACTTTTCGCACTTATGCTGATTTCTAATTATTATTTAATGGACTCGTGAATAAGAAAATTAGTGTTTCGTAATTATTAATGATCAAAACAATAGTTCCAATCAATTATTAATTGTATTCATTAATTACTGAAATAATTAAAAAAATATCAGTGAATTTAAATAAACACTTTAACGGTTTAACGACTGCTGTACAGCTCCCGAAACGTCGGGCCGAGGTTAAAAATCATTTACAAATAAGTTTAACTAATATATCGCGTTTTAAACCGTTAAAGTGTTTTATTTAAATGTGTACTACTCGCGTAAACTATAGACAGTATTTAAAAATCAGTGAAGTTTGTTGACTCATTAATTAATAGTTCTGGTAACATTTCCCCATTTGATATTGACAGTTGACATCAATTAGCGAAGTGAAGTTGGCGTTTTCCTGGAATTTGGAAACACTTCAAAGTTTTTCTTTTAATTTTATGTAAGTACATTGTAGTTAGTCCACGAAATTTTCAGTTTTTCATGTGTCCTCCAGCGCTTAGGTCTCGATGTTTGGAGTTAACAGTTAGCACCTTTAGTTCGCGAAATGAGCAGTGATGAAAGATAAATAAAAGTGCCGTTCCACGACCGAGCATAGTCAGTCAGTCTCGTGTCAACATTTCAAGTGCAGTGCGCCATTGAGCTTGCGAGATAAAAAAAATAAGGAATGTGTTTATCGTTTCTCGTAATTTTGTTGTAACAACGGCCAGTGTTCTAGTTCGTAATGTGGCAAATGGAAAACATTTAGTACGTATCAGTTATGGCAGATTGTTTGGATACGCGTAAAAAATCAAAGTGTAGTTCAAGAACGAACAGAGGGCCAAAGTTACGGACATGGTTTTGGTGTTTTGTTATAAAGTTCTTAGGCCTTCCTTGCATATTTTCAAAATGTTTGAGCGTCGATATTACAGTGGCATCATATCCAGCGGGCGACATAAATGTTCTTTATGGGCAACCGTTGGAAATGTTTTGTGTGGCTGAGAATTATTCATCCAGTGACCTCGAATTTACACTCTCAGGAAAACGCCTGGAGTCAGAGATTGTAAACAGTTCCACTATACGCTTGTATATTGACAAACCAGAAAAGCAAGTCAACACATACTATTGTAAAAATACTAAAACAAATAAAAACTGCATCAACCGAGTGTTAGTAGACTCCCCACCACCTGATGTAACGGATTTTAAGTGCATTTCAAACAATCTGGAATCTCTCAACTGCTCCTGGACAAAACCTGAGTCCTTAAGTGCTATCACATATAATTTGACATTTGCAGTCAATGGAAATTTTGTGACACCACCTTGTACACATAACAACACTAAAAAAGACCTTACAAATACAAGATTTTGTGTATGGGACTCAAATAGTACTCCAAGATATAGGCAACAGGCAGATGTCTTATTCTTTACATTGATATCATGCAATGTGTTCGGATGTAATAGTCAAAACTACAGTATTGATCATTTTTCAATTGTAAGACCCGACCCTCCATTTAATTTGAAGGATGTCAAAATTGGTACACACAGTGTTGTCTTAAAATGGTGGATCCCGAATAACATAGTTGATTTCCTTCACTGTGGCATAGATCACAAAATAGAATATCAAATTGCAAAAATTGATAACACTACATTCTTCCATGAAGTAAATGCATCCTCATTACCAGCCAAGAATAGGACATATAAGTTTCAGCTCACAAATCTACCTTATTCCCATATGCAATATGAAGTAAGAATATACATCAAATCCAAGAAGGCACCAGATTCAAAGGAGTTTTGGTCTGATTTTAGCTATAAGGTCTTCTATACAGATAGTGAGAGACCAAGAAGACCACCGGACACAACTGCTGGTGCTTTTGATAGAGCTGTGTTTGTCGATAGAAGAGTAATATACATATACTGGAAGCAGCTTGAGGAGTATGAAGAAGCAGGTGCCAATTTTACGTATAAAGTGCTGGTATCTCAAGACAATAGGACTCAAACTTTGTTTCCAGACAAAAACAAAAGCTTGAGCTATGTCATGCTTAACTCGTCTTTGAGTTCTATGGATGTGACCATTTGGTCATTTAATCAGATTGGCTCATCATTAAATAGCAGTCATTTATATATTCCGTCTGAAAAGAACATACGTTCTTTAGGATTAACATCATTTACAAAATTAGCATATGAGAATGGGACATATGAACTGGCTTGGGGTGGGAACAAAAGAATTGACAATTACACACTGTTTTGGTGCCAACACAACAGCACAAATATATGCATCGGACAAATGAACTTTACTGTCCTTGATCCAACAAAGAGCAGATATGTTATTGACTTACCAAGAGACCAGAGATATCAATTTGCTATCTCTGCAAATAATGGAACTACTACAAGTGGTATAGTGTGGGCTAAATGTGATATTTCAAAGGAGGGCTTTGTTATGTACCGTTTCAATATGCACTTAAAATATGATGCCCCTGGTAAATCATTTGTAAATCTGAGATGGGAGATGGAATGTGTGTTACAAGATGGAATAATTACTGGCTACAATATAAGCTACTGCCCCATTGTTCAGACAAGCAGCTATTGTGATAAGTCTTTTGGAAGTAAGTATGTATATATTTCCAACCCTAAGCAGATGAACCAAACAATTGAGAATTTATTACCATTCAGAACTTATCAGTTTACAATAGCTATAAATACAATATATGGTCAGAAAACAGTAGAAAATGCTACTGCTGTGATAACAACATCTGAGGACACACCCACAAGTCCTGTCAATGTGGTAATATCAGATGTACGCAATGACTCAGTAGTGTTATCATGGGATCCACCATTACAAAGGAATGGTAATATTGGAAAATATGTCATTTACAATAACAAAAATGAGTTCTATGTTGATAAGGTTTCTGGAACTGATATATCTAGAAGAAAAGTGATTCTGACGGGCCTGCAGGGTTTTAGTAACTATTCATTCACTGTTCAAGCATGTAATATACCTATTGGATTGTGTTCTAAAGAGAGTCGCCCAGAGTATGTCCGAACTAGAATTGGGGCTCCCAGCAGGTTAAAAGCACCGGCTCTTGAAAATAATCCTGATAAATTAAAATGGGAACCTCCCGAAATTCCCGGAGGCACTGTTGATAGGTATCAGATAAAAATAATTAAAGATGATAATCCACCTGAAATAATAAATACCACCAACCTATCTTACACATTAACACATTGTGAAGGGGTAGTGTCCACTGAGACATATCAAGTAAGAGCAGTGAATTTAGATGAAGATTTGTACCATGGAGTTATAGGAAATGCTGTGGTCACAGAGAGATCGTCAGATAATATTGAAGAGTTTCCTGGTCCCTGGAGTGAACCCAGTACAGTTGCTTGTAGAAGTAGAGATGGGCTTACCATGATCATAATATTTATGGCTGTATTTGCTCTAGTGGGAATGGGTTATGGATCTATCAAAATATACAAAAAATATAGGAAAATGGAAGACATCAAACCAGTTTTACCATACGGTTTAGGAGAGCCCGAAAAGGACAGGACGAAATTTCCTTACCCAGAGTGGAATCCAACCAATAAAGATGAAAAGCCTTCATCTGATGAAATGCTTCTTTTGCCCAACAGCAAGACCAACACGGTATCGTCTACTGAAACGAAAGAAAAGGATGATAACTGTGCTGCTAGTGATCACACTGATAGCACTGCCCTATCTGATTCATCTGCTGGGCAAGTAGATCGTCAAATCTCGACATCCGACGATAGCTCGAATTCGTCGTTGCACCTAGAAGCAGAGGTTGATAAGGGTGACGAGAGCACAATAGTGCAGGAGGACTCATCTAACGAAGACTCGGAGAGCTCGCGAGAGAGCTCGCCCTACTTTAGTGATAAGAATTTCAAGAAAAATCCGACAAGCGGCTACGTTTTGCCCGTGGTGAATCCAGTTTCTGGTTATGTTCAGTCTGCACCCGCGCCCGTTAAGACTTCGCCGATGCCGCAGATGCCAAACCCACAGCCTACGACGTCGAGCTACGTTATGGCGGGTTTGCCCCCACCACTGTTCACGACTCGTCCGAACCCCGCCCCCTCTTCGGGATACGTGATGCCCGAGGACGTCCAGGCGAAATCTATGTCAAGTTTTCCTAAGTTAACGCCGACGGCACCCAAAGAAATGGGGCCAGAAAGCTTGCCAACGTTGCCTACCTTGCCACCACCGGTTAAACCCAGCGCAGATAGTAGCTATATACAATTGCAATCATTAGATTCGTTGCCTAGTCTTAAACCGAGCGTAAGGAATACAGTGCCATTGAAACCGCCCGCGTCCAGCGGGTACGTTAGTCAGGGAGACGTCGTCATCAACAAGCACCTGAACCATATGTTGTCCGCGGGTCAGCTCGCTGAGGAATCCGCCATTTTGGACCCGACGATGTCCCCGGACGCCTACTGTCGTTTCTCGTGGAGCACGGACCCGGCTAACGACAACCTTCACTCGCTTCTCGCCGAATCGCCTAATAGAAACGTATCGAAGAATTAATTTACGTCAACAATCCTGACACAGTACTGATAAATGTATGAAATGTAGTAATTTGTAAATACATAATTTGTAGCTTTACAAAGTGGACATTATTATTTAACACGAGTAAAACAATGTGTTGTATAGTGATAATTCTTGTGCCTTATTAATTTATTTTAGGTCATTAAAATATATACTATAGGTAAGACATAACAGATATCGTCATATAGATCCTTTCTTCTACGAAGCTGCGTGGGCTTAACATGGAACTATTGTTTCAGAGAGCATTTGCATACTCATTAAGTAGTTATGGAGGGTATCTACAAAATTAATTTGATACCCAACGATCTGAGCGTTGAGGAGACAATTCTTCAAATCGCCGATAGTTTGGATAATCTCAACGGCATTGTCGACGACGTATTTACACGAATATCCACTAAAATTAATCGGAACATGGAAAAAACAGCGAAGCTCCAAGAGAGGATAGTATCATCTAGAACGAAAGTCGAGAAGTTGGCGGGCATGCAGAAGGCTATAAAAGTGTTCTCCGGCGCTAAATATCCCGCCGCAATCGTGCACGAACACTATCAATCCATCTTTGATAAAAGCTCTTACCATTATGAGCCTAAAAAGGTGGCTCTTAGCGGCAAGTCGCGACCGCCGAACGAAAAAGCGATACAGGTAAGTGTTTAAAACTGAATGTGCTGTATAATTCATTACACAAACAATAAATCGTTTTCTTTCATAGGAAAAATTACATTTCTTCCACGTCAAAGTGGCGGAACCAAAAGCGGCGGGACCTAAACGAGAAGTAGATTTAGAGTCTGTAATCGATAAAGCGACGTCTGTGGGGGAACTGTTGATTTTCAACACGGATGAGAGTCCGTATGTAGCGGCGCCATGCCATCGGCCCTATGTACCCAGGACTATAGAAGACGTCAAGAAAGCTGTACTGGACGACCCGCCCCCGTCCATCAAGAGAGGGAATATACTGAAGAGGGAAGTCGACGAGTATATGTACGCGCCCGGCATGGGAATGGTAAGGAAACTTTACGATTTTTTAAGATACGCGAGACTAGAACCCGCCACCTCTGCCTGCAATACTCTATACTCGTCTTATTATTAACTGGAAGCAATTTTTCTATCTAAAAATGGTTATTATCCATTCTAAGTTGAAAAATATATCTTAGTTTTTCCTTACTCTACTTTTTTCCTTCCTAGAAAATAATTAAACAATCTTAACTGCAGTCGCCTCCTATAATAAATCTATTTTTAGGTTAGCTTTGAACAGCTAATTCCCTCCGTATTAGAGTTTGAACAGGGCTCAAACAATGTTATATATTTTCATTATTAGCGTACAAACCTATATTGAAACTAATCGCTAGATTATTATTAACGTTAAGCAATATATTCTATAACTAATTGGCAATTAAGTACCTTACATCGTTAGATAATAACAATTAGCTGAGTATTAACGAGGCGTTTGTCCTCATTTCGGAAATCCTATCAAAATTTTGTTTATTCAATTAACTAACGTTACATTTGTTCCTGCGCGATAGTGGTAAAAATGAAATTGACGTTGATTTTGTGGGTTAATATTAAAAAAATCCCAGATAGTATTGAACGTGCTAATTAAGGTGAATTGCATCAAAAATAAAATAAAAAGCGTAACTATATATAGAAAAAATACTATACCAAAATAATAAATTTGATCTTATTGATATGATAAAATAATGAGTCATTGTTGTGAGAATTGCTGATTAACCACTGTGCTTATTGAATACATTTGGTTTGTAAGTTTTTAACTCTGTTGACCTTCCTGGTATTATTTCAAAGCCTTTCTTGTTTTGAGGGAATGTATTATATGTATAGTCTATCACGCAGAAACTGATGAATCATTGTTGATAAACTCAAGATTATCATATCTTCATAATAAATATTTAAATGATTCAAGAAAAGATGCCACATCAATTATGGTTACAAAATAAGTAAAATAGTAGATATTATAGTGTAGGATAGATATTAGGTATTATAGTGGAGATGAACCCATCCATATAAAATCTACACAAGATGTCGACCCATTTTGGCTTTGGACATTCGGAATTTGTCGTTTTGTCATTATTTCAATTATGAAATGTTAAGAGTAAAATGTGAAATTTTTAATAAAACACTTTAACAGTTTAAACCCCGTTTAAAACGCGTAAAAATATTTGGTAAACTTTATCTTTAACAAGTTTAATTAATATATCGCGTTTTAAACCGTTAAATGTTTTCTTTAAATGTGTACTACTCGCGTAAACTATAGACAGTATGTGAAATTTTGGTAATGGCTGGACAAATAGTTTTTGAAGCTTATATTTCTGTCGGAGGTCAAAATAAATATTCCTTCTTCTGCCCTCTAAGTCTTGTTGTAAGGAAGTTATGTTAGATCAAAGACCAAAAGGACGGAGCCTAAAAAATATGAACGACTCGAGTATTTACATTTTTCCTCAGTACTTAAAAACACTACAATTTAGTAAACGGTCGGTTTGCGTTTCGACTTAAAAATGATTAAATCGTTTCTATCTAAAAACATGAAAATACGTATTACTGTTGAAGTTGTTAACTTTTTTTATTATGAACTATATAACTACTCGGCGTCACACACGCTAATTCAGCTAGCCAACAATGGTATGTGATACGTCTAAATTAACTGTTTGCCCTTCAATTTTAATTATGAACCACGATTTGGTATTACCACATTTGCTGCATAGCCGGGATCGAAATAATGTGTACCTTTGAAACTAGACTCGTTAAAACCTCAAATTAACCTCTGGTTTGCGTAGTGATAGCGCTCTGTGTATGTAGGAACTATTTCATGACAAGTCGTAATTGTCATCAGCTGTCTGTACATAAGTTATGACGGTTTATAGTTAAATTGGCCTGTATCTGATTAAACTAGTGGTAGGTCTAATTCATTTAAAGTAGAACGCTAACCCGCTATACGCATATGGACTAAATACGGTAGATTGTTGCTATAGGCCCTATGGTATCTTTATGACTCGCCTAGGTCTTTAGCTAATGAAGTTAAACGTAATCCACTAACGCATATGGCATAAAACGATATGTTCGATACGGTCAAAGTTCCGGTGAAAGAAAAATATGTTTCGGTCAGGCAGGGCACAGTAGTCTGATCAACTACTTGCCTATTAAATAAACGGATCAGTGAAACGGACCAAGAAATGTATTCGCCCCATGCCCCACGAGGGGGAAACGTGATTTCACACTTCACACACCTATGGTAGCTTTTCTTTCTTCTCTACTGATTTACTTACTTAATTATTTCTGTGACTGTAATTTATACGTATAGATTTAAAGAACCTTCAGTTTAGCAAGTGTTAATAGGCTATACGTTCTCAACAGGTTCCCGAACTGGATATGCCCTTGGACTTACCCCACCTATCGGGTATAGCCGGCGACATACAATACTCCATCACCGATGATGGAACCATCGCCCCATCCGCAGTCACATCACCGGTCCAACCCACTGTGTCAATACCGGAACTTCCCGATATTTCTGTACTGCCCGATGTCATGCCGGACGTCCAGCTACCGTCCGTTGATGCAGGGGGTAAAACGGTGCCGGATGTGCCGGATGCCCCTCCAGCACCCCCTACAATGCCGGCACCATCTATGCCGTCACCTCCGCCCCCACCACCGCCGCCGCCGCCGATGGACGTGACACCGATTAAGACGAGGTAAGTGCTAAAATTAAAACTTATAGAATATAGAGAAAGTATTTTGACATCATTTATTTTTCTATTAGTTTTTTCGATTTTTCTGTATTTTAATCTTTGAAAAACAATAGAATTACGATATTTTGCTGTTCTTCACGTCTCTATACTCATAACTAATAAGCGCGCAGATAATTCTATCTATTCATACTAAACATATGACGTCAACAAATTAGTTTTTCTATATACAATGCAGTCGTATAAATAGACTCGACTTTCAGAATTGATAAGACTCATTATTTTGCAGCTTCCGCGATTTTCCTTTATTTTTGAATACCCATATTATGTCTATGTGGTAGGATTTAGAGCCGTGAAATATATTTTTTCGTTGAAAATTTTCAATCGAGATACACGAGTCACAGCGTACGTTGATAAGGTTAATGCCCCGTGCGGGGCTACTCATGAAACGGGTGTCAATCTCAATTTAGCTAATACTCATGAAATGAGAAAAATATCACCAGGGAAAGTGTGTGTACCGTTTACAAGTAAGGAAACGAGAGGTTTACGTCAATACACCATATCACACAGTATATTATGTAGTTTGACATAATGAAGGACGACTATTACTTAATATTATTTTATCACAAATATATAATTTGTCATTGAAAAAGATATATTTGTTATCTAAGACAAGCATGTCCAAACCAATTTATCTTAGACAGTCACTTCTGTCGTTTAGTTGTGTGAAAAACATTTTAATTAGACGCCGGATAGCGTTTTCTATAACAAGAAACGTTTTCGTTCATTATGTTCTGAGCGTTATAAAGAAAACAATTTTAAATCAAATATTTTCATTCGCTTTCCGAGAACTGGCTGAAAACATTCTTGACAATACACGACTATTAGGAACTTACCTTTTTCCAGGTTTATTCTACTTTCTTTCTAGAATTTACCCTTTCGTGGAGACATTTGTGAACATCACTAAAGAAATTATATGCGATCGTTTTTAATAATTGTGTTCTCTGAATATACGAGTATTGGGCAACAGAAGCATGATTACCTATTGATCTGGTATACAATACTTAGATTAGCATAACTGACACAAAAATGTATCTACCTTACACAGCGAAGACGAAATCTATAAAATGTACGATAATCAAGACTTGATCATTATATTTGCACCATATAAGCATCTTTTTGTGTTGGTTAGAGCATTTATCGAGGAAGGCTATAAAACATCGCCCTGTGACTAATACAAGCAAAGATACGGCGTCAAATGTAAATCATTGGGAAAATTATTCATTATTATGGGTTTCCGAGGCGTACGCTGCAGAAAAGGTTCAAGATGCCCAAAAAATATGTATGAGAGAATGATTTCTCTTAAAATGATCTAAAAAATGTCCAGGACACTATATGTCTATCTTGTTAAGATTACCTTGCAAGAACGATGGGACCCGGGACCCCATCATGGACAGCTTAAATTATAAAGATGTAGAGGTTTGCAAAAACAAATTTGTCTGTCGCTGACACAGCTAGTAAGCTATGAAAAAGTTCACTTATTAAAATTTACTATTACTTACGTGCAAGAGTATCCCCGCTGAATAGTTAGCAGTTTACAGTCTTCACAAGCGTAAATAGGAATTAATGATGCGCCCACATGAACGGCACAATAGGGTTTCGTTAGCACGTACTTACTACACGACACTCCAAGTTTCGATCTCATTATGCACTAATGGACCCCGGTTCACCAAATTACATTACGAAGTACATCCGTGTTCTAAACGATGATAGCGTTGGACCGAACGAAGTTAGTTTTCATATTACTTCCTTTACTAACTTTAGTCGATACAAACAGGTAAGCTTCTGAAATAAAACACTTCTCGGTTCAAAATAGGTTAGTCAATTTGTTTTTCTCTTATTTTATCTACAGCCCGACGTTTCGGATGCTTCGTTGCAGCCGTTGTCACGGAAATGGAGTAATACTTGTCGCGTTTTAAACCGTTAAAAATGTTTTATTTAAATACTCGCATAAACTACAGATGATACTAAAAATAATTACGCGGACGAAGTCGCTGGCACAGCTAGTAATATTATATGAAGAGACTCACGCTTAACATTATTTACCTATAGCTGGTGCCCGCGACTTCGTCTACGCAGGATTAGTAGTTGGAGTAACTTATATTAGCGTGTCGTAGAAAAGAACTAACATAAATGTGTGTAACTAAAGTTTATGACAGGTTTATGAAAGGTAGGTTGTTTCCTAGTTATATGACACTTAATGTCATAATTTGGACAGCTCACACAATATCTTTATAAATTGTAGCCTATGTGTTATTCTGGTGTATAAGCTATATTATTGGAAAGTTTAATTGAAATCCATTCAGTCGTGAAAGAGTAACAAACATCCATCCACACATACAAACTTTCACGTTTATAATATTAATAGGATTACCAAATCGACGTATTGACTACGAAAAACGGAAATCTATATAACGAGACAAATGCATGTTCTGAGCATTCCTTACAAATCGATTATACTGTATATTTCAATGAAATGGCAGCGAAAGACGAGGTAAATATAGTAATTAGCTCTTGACAATGAAAAACAATTGCATCATACGTAAACAAGAGTTTCCTTATTAATAGATTTACTATAGTGTTATATAATGACGTATTGCCTGGCTTTATACCTACCGCTGTTAAATTTTCCTGTGGCGCTTAAATAATGATAAAATCCAGCTTTCAGAAAACTTTAATCTTTCACATGTTGCTCTTGATGGCACTATATAAATTAAAAATCGCTAACCAATTGAGATACCGAGTCAATTGGTTAGAGCATCAGCAAGGAACGCTGATGATGCCGGTTCAAGCCCTGCCCGAGTCGTAAATTTTTTTGAATTCATATTCGGTTTTTAATTTTTTGTTCTAATTTAAATCGCTTTTAAAATATTGAATGTTTTTTCATTACACTCTACGTAAACAGGTATTACAATTAAACATACATATATAGCTTTACAATTAAACATTGAATAAAAAAACTAAAGTTATTTAAATTAAAAATCTATTTAGATTTTAAAAAATACAACACGGACTGGCATCAACAGCCTTTCTGTGCTTCTGCGCTAACTAATTAAGCTATCGTGTACGTGTATTTAAGCTACCGTTTAATTAAAATTCGTCGTCGTCGATTTGTTCCAAACATTCGACCACATTTTTTTTCTGTCAAGTCATCTCTCTCATTCACTGCCATATGTTCAAACTTCCAAGCAAAAAGTCCGATAATCATTTATCACTTTATCTGAGGGCAGTTAAAGCTAATCTTAATGGGTTTTTTGGACCATATTTGTGTAAAAAATACTGTGAATCGTAAACTTGTAGCCTTTTCATATAAGGCGAGAGACCAGAGGTTTTATTAAGCAATACTGTTGTAGCGGGGTTATGTTTCCGATTCAGCGAAAGTTTTTAACAATGAATGTTTAAAAAGAATACTTCGATTTGCAATTTAGGAATCTTCATAAATTGATATAAATTTTAATCTATATTATTTTGTTTACGCGTAAGTAAAATTTATTATCAAGTTTAAACGCACTTACTACATTTATAACAAGGGAGGACAATTAAGCGTGGGGTCCATTTGATGGAATGTGATATAATCCAGCCTAAAGCCACGATGTGTTATCGACGTATTTTAGCTTCGAATATTTGTAAATGCACACTGAAACGCAGTATGTTTCGGTTACAATTTATCGATCGGCAAATACAAGAAAAAAAATATTTTTAAAGCTCTTGTAGCTTTGAAAATGGTTTTATTTTAAAGTTATATCTCTTAAAACATTTCCCAATTAGGCAATAAAAGAAAAACCTTTATTACAAATAGGTATATCAGTAGGTGCTATCCTTCGCCACATATGTCGTTCTCCCATTACCCCAAATGGGTCTCGTGTACGATACTACTACTATGTAAAGAATAACGAACGTAACTGACAACGAAACTAAAATAATATTTTCCTGTGTAACAAGAAACCGTTTCCTTAAGGTTAGTCTTTATTACTAGCTGCAAGTTACAAATAAATATCTAAGGCTGTGGTCTCCTATACTCATCGTCGATCTCGTGAGCGTCCAGCTTCTTAAGCTTACAGTCGCGGTGTTTTCCAAGTCAAGGCTATGGCCCCCGTGGGGCACCCTTAGTCTCGCAAGTGCCGTCTGCCTTAGTATACGGTTTAAAAGGCTATATGTATAAGGTATGCGTATCTCTTAAAAAACACCCTACTTTTATTTCGAACAATTGCAACAAAAACTATGACTGTGGTGGACAAGATGTTGTGACCACCGACGCATATAATATAATTGCAAACATGTTGGCGTAACGCAATCGATAGCTTTATATAGCGATAGCTTTTATAGGAGACGGACATCTAAATTTCGAAGAAGCACACCTTATTGTCAGTAGCTTGGGGCAATTTAACTTTTCTCGTAGTTTTTCATGCGACAAGCGTCGTTTCCTGAACTTGTTAATTCTGGTGAATTTATATTCGAAAGGTGGGTCCAAACTTCTTAATATGGGTCGCATATGTTTCAACATGTTAGTCCCGTCTGCGTCGTCTAAATGTTTGGAGATTAACGTTTTATTCAACGTAATACTTTGCAATAATTGTGAGTATGATGGCGGTTTTTAATTTTTTTTTTAGAAGATAAATAACTGTATGACGAATCGTTAAATACAAACGAATATTGGCGTAGTACGGCGTTAAAGCGGCTAATTTTAATCAAAGACTAATTTTCTTTGTTTATTTAAAATATGTCAATTCGTTTGGAACATGATTCGAAACATTCATAAATTTCGGGTTTCTAATAGGCTGGCTATAGACAAAATGATGTTTGGTAAAATGGGAACTTTTTTTTACGTATCCCGAACGTAAAAAAAAGACCAAGACAATTTTAAAATTAATTGAACGTAGGATACGGAATTTGAACGTTACATCTGCGTGTAGTTGTTTGCTTTTTTTACTCGACATCTCGCATCC